TTGTAATGTTCCTAGGGGTCCTCAGGAGGTGCTGGAAATATTGACTCACCCTGTACTTACAGTTGGCAACTCTGGGGAAACAAATCGCAGACAGCGCCATCTACCTTTCAAATCGAAACGATGGTAGTCTCGCGGAACTTTTGAATTTGAATGACAGTCGGCTCGATATGGGTGGCACGAATGGACTCCTACGTTGTGTAATCGGTTCTTTTATGTGTTGGGACGTGAGACATAATCAGGAAGGGAATTAAATAAACGACAGAACTTTTGTGCGTAAGAAATGACAAGATCAAATAAATATATTAACGCACACACAAGACCATGCCAGGGAAACCTTCTCCGGGACTAAAACCCTGGCATAGGCCATACAAATACATAAAATAAATCACCTACAGCAATAAAATGCAAGAGCAAATACACATAAATAAAACATCTCAAATTGTATGATAAAAATCAGATAATCAAATCAAATGCAATTAAACAAGTTCATAAAAACAAAATACACAAGACATCATAAATGCAGTGGAAAACATGATAAATCAATTCAGTGCAAAAAACATCAAAATACCTGTACGATCAATAGAAATAACACAACTCGTCAAATACACAAATTGCATGTACATAGGAAACATGTAAATGGTGTGGCTCTACTCCATCCTTCAGTTAACATAATTTAATTTAACACGAAAAGTACATGTGAGAATGCCATTGGTCAATAGCAAATATTCATGTGAAAATCGATTATCGCTCAAGCAGAACATATTTTAAATAGAGGAAATGTAAATGAGAGGATCCCCCTTTCTCGCTAATGCGAGACGCTAAGAACTGCAGCCTGCGCGAGACGAGTAAGCAACAGATACAGCGAACGATCTAACTGCATTAGGTACCTACTCCACGGAGACAGAAATACCCACTCGCACACACAAACATCAAAACAAGTTCATAAAAACAAAATACACAAGACATCATAAATGCAGTGGAAAACATGATAAATCAATTCAGTGCAAAAAAAAACATCAAAATACCTGTACGATCAATAGAAATAACACAACTCGTCAAATACACAAATTGCATGTACATAGGAAACATGTAAATGGTGTGGCTCTACTCCATCCTTCAGTTAACATAATTTAATTTAACACGAAAAGTACATGTGAGAATGCCATTGGTCAATAGCAAATATTCATGTGAAAATCGATTATCGCTCAAGCAGAACATATTTTAAATAGAGGAAATGTAAATGAGAGGATCCCCCTTTCTCGCTAATGCGAGACGCTAAGAACTGCAGCCTGCGCGAGACGAGTAAGCAACAGATACAGCGAACGATCTAACTGCATTAGGTACCTACTCCACGGAGACAGAAATACCCACTCGCACACACAAACATCAAAACATCAAATAAAAGAGCCCCCCCCCCTTCGTATAGCTAACGCACAAGAACTGTAGCGAGCCACGAAACAGAAAGTAACAGATACAGCGAACAATCTAACTGTATTAGGTGCTTCCCTCACGGAATTGTTACGGGTCAATCGAACAGAGTAACATCACACCGATAATCAACTCCTCATGAATAACAGAAGTAAATTACTTAATTAAACAAAATAATGGCATAATCATCTGTACAATATGACACAAACATGATTCATCTAACGGTAAACGAAACAAAGGCATGGAGTACGCCATGATTCAGATATCGTAGTTTATGCAAAATCAGCAAAATGTAAATATCACATTGTGGCAAGAAATTCAATGATTAAATATGTAGTACAAGAAAGAATAAAATGGTTACTACCTGTAAATACATCTTCAAAACACCACCACCAAAAATAATCAAGAATAATCAAAAAAAAAACCGGGAAAGCGTGTGCCTTCCGTCGGCCTCGTCGCCATCTTCTCTCCATTCTCCCCTAGCTTCGTTACCAAAATCCCCTAGTATTCGGCATCTGCGCAAAACGGTCGTTGGTTATATACAGAGCATATTCTATTTTTGTTTCAGATGTAAATGTGTGTTGCCTAACCATCAGGGTGGATTATCACAATGCTATTAATAAAGAAACACATAGCGCACATAGATATGGGGATTCTTAAATTCTTATATTGAGCTATTTTATTTATTTATTTATTTCCCTTGTGCAAATTGTAATAAAGGACCAAAATTGGCTACACTAACCTTCCGTATCTTAAACACAATTCGGTCAAAAAAAATTTGAGGGAAAAATATTGATCTTTACGTCCGCTGTAAGCATTTGAAAATCAAGGGTCAGCGCGAAGAGAAAAAACGTACCTGTGCGCGAGACTCTTCCGCGTGACGTCAGTAGCCTACACATTTGCCGCCGCGCTGGCAGAGTATACGAATTCACGTAAACTGGGACCGATTTATTTATTGTATTTATTTGTGCAGAATGCTGTAAGGTTATCAAAAAGTTGATTCGCGAAATTAGTTACCAAATGTGAGTGTGGAAATGATGTAAGAGTTGTATAATTCCACTACCGGATTGTTCTGAGGTTCATTTAAATTTGCATTAGCCGAAAACTCCATTTCCACATTAACATTGAATAAATCTCGCCAATCAACTTTTTTTATACCCTGGCAGCATTGCGCACACAGCTTCGGGCTGACCCTTGATTTTCAAATGCTTACAGCGGATGTAAATATCAATATTTTGCCCTCAAATTTTTTGTGATCGTTTTTTAAGAACAAACTCTCCCGATTTCAGTAAAAATTAATGTTGAACCTGCCTATTGCGACCGACGGAAAATATGTACAGTCATTGACAAAAGTAATGATCGCCTAATAGGTAAATCTTGCAGCATACGCAACTAACATTGGAATATATTGTGCAACTTTGAAATGCGAACCAATAAGGTATCTCCTTGAAGAAACTGACGGAGCCCGATGTGATAGGCATATTGGTTGGTTATGCTGCAGAGTTTACCTATTAGGCGATCATTATTTTTGTCATTGACCGTGCATATTGATATTGATCATCATTTGGGGACAGTGGTGCCCAAAATCTTTGGATGTACACTATTTCCTTTAGAAAATTGAAGTTACGATCAAGAATTAAAAATTGATACTTCAATATGTTGGTGAACAATTGAGCATTTGGTAACAGTGATGCTCAACATCTCTATAGGTACTTTCACAGTTTTCCTTTGGGAGAATGATCAAACCTATAGTCTCTAGAACCAACTATAAAATTGATGATTGCGTAATAAATCCCATTTTCAGTGATTGGTGAGTGTTATGAGGGCACTAAAAATCGCTTCTGTACATGGCATGTGCCCAATAAATTATTACTTTATTCATTCATTCATTAAATCATGTGGGACATTTAGCGCAGTCGAATCAAATAAATTATGCGTTATCTCCATGCGTAGCTTTTTAAAAAATCAATTTTCGGCGCCTTTTGTAATCCCTATGAAGCCAATTAGTCTGTGCATCTCTGAAAGTAATAATAAATATACTGATGATAAATAGAGAGGAATGCGTATTCACAGCTGAAACTTAAAATGAAGGAAGAAAAAAAAATGCAATCTAAATTGGGAACTTCTGAATAGCACGGTACTAATTTGATTGCTTTTACTTGAAATTGTTCTTATACGCATTCGAATTTGGTTTGTAAATTTCTAGAGCACGACCACGCACTTTCGGACCGTTAGCGAATTGATTAACTGAAAGAATCGTGAAATGTCTGTTAGTTTTTTCGTATTATTTTAGCTATTTTAAGTAGATTTCTAAACCAAAAGCGTTACGTGTTGACTCGCGCGTAAACTAAATATTTGATGCGATGGCAAATTGACGTGTTTGATCTAATGAGATTTTCATGTAGGTATATATTGGTTGCCTTTCGTTTATTTTGATTTGCGGAAGGTTTTAGCAGTAACTAAACAAATCCAGTTACCTACATAACAACCCGCTCCTTTTAGCGATTACGGAATAGTAATTATAATTCAGGCAATTAATATTCATGTAGTCATCACTTCGGTGCGCACCGCTTGCGATTAATGTCCAGAGGATGGGTGATTTGACCCAGTAACCCTGGCATTGCAATCATGGGACATGTCTGACAATGTGCGTTCAAGCATACTTATTGATAATGCGTAAGAACATTGCGCTGAATATTAATGACTTATTGATATTTGAATTTGAATACGTTCCAGTCATTCATTTTAAGATGGTATTTGATAGCAACTGCTTCTGTTACAGGTGATGGTTCACAGCACTAGGAACAAGGATGGAACGCTTTAACAAGAGCTTAACAAAAGGCCGTCCAATATCTACAGTCGATGCGGCGAAGGCGAACGATGCATTCGACCACTTCATTAACGCAGGCACCTTAAAGTCAGTATTCGGATGTTACCGAAACATTTGCGAACTTTTGCATCTCAAGCCGAACGTTTTTCCGCAATTTTATCCTAAATTAAAAGACAACTTAACGTCTTGGAAGGCAAAAGCGCTATGGAAGAAATTTGACGCGCGCGCTAGTCACAAATGTTACGCAAGAGGGAAAATATGCCCGAACACCAGGGTGCTTATTATAGGAGCCGGCCCTTGCGGATTGCGTACGGCCATCGAGGCGCAACTATTGGGCGCCAAAGTGGTACGTAAAATCTCTCACTCGCATCCCTCGCTCACTTGGTACTTACAGGTCGTGGTGGAAAAGCGAGATCGTATGTCGCGCAACAACGTCCTTCATCTTTGGCCCTTTGTGATTGAAGATTTGCGCGCATTAGGCGCCAAAAAGTTTTTTGGTAAATTTTGCGCCGGTGCCATCGATCATATCAGTATTAGGCAGCTACAGTGCATTCTTCTCAAGGTGGCGCTACTTCTCGGAGTCGAAGTGCACACGGAAGTCAGCTTCGAAAAACTTGTGGAACCGAATAGTAGCGAAAGTAAGTGGTTCACGCGGGTCGGATAAGTCCCCCACCCCTCACCCACATTCGTTACGCTTTGTGCTGCTCCAGCCAACATAATTTTTGTGCTATTTTATTAATTTAGATAATCGCAATTGTATCTGGGTGGAGTTAATTTGGTCACCTCCTGTACCATGTGACCAAATAAGAATGGCACACATGTATATAGTCCAGGGAAGTAGCAAGTGCTTTTCTGTAAAATTTGGTCTATAAATGTGGCGAGGAAATGGTGAATTTTTAGTTTCATAAATCACCGCGGTGGGTGCCAAACAGCACTCCAAATCATAATGGAATGGTATATCAGAAAACGATAAGTACAATGTTGCGTGTCAAGAAATGTGCTTGAAAAATGCTGAAAAAGGGCAGGGAACATGAAAACTCTGTCTGGGTCGCACAATGGATTCAAATAAACACAATTAATTGCTTGACAATAACATTTATTCAAAAAAAAGGAAACAAAGTTTGTTTGGACATATTACCCCGCACGCACGCGGCGACAATTAAAATAACTGTCCACGATACAAAGATATACGGGACAACTTCGGGATATGCCCGATATGGGAAGGTAACTTTTAGCAGCGATGAACTGTGTTGAAGGGTGATTGGATTTTTCCAAAGTGTGGAAATGTTGCACAAACTGTGATATAATGGCTGTCTATTTAATTGTTATTTATTGTTGTGTCAGTTACCAACTTTGTCATATCGAAAATATTGTATTGTATGTGAGTCGACCTACCTGTATGTAATATCCTATTAGAACGAAGTCTGTGATATTTTGAGCAAATAGGCAAATGGCCATAGAAGCCGAAGGTGGGGTTTTAGTGGGTATGCCCGAGTAAGGGAGAGCCCCACACTACTCCAGACCTCTCAACCTGGAGTGTGCATAAGGAGCATTTCCCCACCTATCAAAAAAAAACAAAAAAAAAATAAAGAAATCTTATAATTACTTAGAGTACATCCAAATAAACAATGTTTGCGATACTTGGCGCAACAACACTCGCGGACAACGGACCACCCTGTACATACAGAAGGAAAAAAAATTTATTCTTTAAAAGTTGCTGAAAATGATTTAAAACGTCGAAATTTGCAAAATCACCCAATTAAGGAAATGTATGTTACTAGGTAAATATAGAACAATTTTTAATGGGGGGATGGGGGTCCTAACCTCACTGAAATACTATTGCGATTACCTAAATAATTGAAAGAGACCAACACTCATATTGGCTGGCATATTACATTTCTTATGTTATGATACTGCTAACAGGTGTCAAAACTTCGGTGAGAGGAGGCCAACTTTTGAATTTGTAAAGTGATTTCTTTCAGAGATCGGATGGCGCGCGGAATTCAAACCGGTCGAGCACCCCGTCTCCCAGTACGAGTTCGACGTAATTGTAGGGGCGGACGGTAAACGAAACACATTACAGGGCTTTAAACGGAAAGAATTCAGGGGAAAACTAGCCATTGCGATTACGGCGAATTTTATTAACAAACGCACCGAGGCCGAAGCACGCGTGGAAGAAATTAGCGGGGTCGCTTTTATATTTAATCAAAAGTTTTTTAAGGAACTGAATGCGGAGACTGGAATTGATTTAGAGAATATTGTTTATTATAAGGACGACACTCATTATTTTGTGATGACCGCGAAGAAACTAAGTCTGATCGAAAAAGGGGTCATTCTTCAGGTTCGTATTGTTATAAATCTGCGCATCGCGCGTCATTGCGAATTTCAGGATTATCCCGATACCGCCCGCTTGCTGTCTCCAGAAAACGTCGATAGGGATAATTTAATGGAGTACGCCAGGGAGGCCGCCGAATTTAGTACAAATTATCAAATGCCCGATTTGGAATTCGCCGTTAATCATTACGGACAACCCGATGTGGCCATGTTTGATTTTACATCAATGTATGCAGCCGAAAATGCTTCAAAAGTTATCGAAAGGCATGGATATAAGCTGTTTATGATTTTAGTTGGCGATAGTTTACTTGAGGTAAGTACTGAACAAAATTGATTTAAAAAAAAGTTTGATATAATTCATATCGAAACATTTTTTAAGCCGTAAAATAGGAAGGTATAGGTATTTTTCTTTTTTAGAAATGAAAAAATTTTGAATCTGTTTTATAACTTGCTTCAACAAGCACAATTTTCCCTTATTAGTAGTAGCGCCATCTATGATTAAAATTTCAGAAAAATATCTCAAACATACTGGCCAGGAAAATGTCTTCTAAGTTTAAAACCACTAATGGGAGTTCAATAATTGTTCTGGTTTGATCGCCTGTTTTTGACAGTTGTGACAGAGTACGTCTATGGTTTGTTGCAAAAACTATTACATGAGACATTTTCCTCTATTTAACTTTCTGCATACTTTTCGAATTTCTGTGCGAAGTCAAAATTAGCCATATTCATTTGGCGTGTTTGTTAACAGTTCATGTGGGGCTATACTAACTTATCAAGTATATTCATGCTAAAAACGGAAAGCCACAGCCACTACCATCAGAGAATTTATTGAATGTCCATTATAAAATTGGGCTCGCACAAAAATGCAAATTCAAATACCTAAGAAATCCACAAAATGTACACAACTGCACTCAAATTAAAAAATTGAAAGACTTAAAGTAGGTAAAAAAGAACGACAACCACAAGAAGGAAATTGAAAATACAAGAATTTGGAAGAATTAAGAACTTATAAAATCAATAACACTCGCAAGAAGAATAAGAAGAAATTTAAAATGATTTTAAAAAATCAAATTCAATTGAAATTTTCGGAATAATAACGAAAAACAACTCTTAAATTGGAAGAAATAAAAATTTATTAACATTCAGGCAAAAAAAAAGAAAAATTTTAAATTTCAAAAAATTCAAATCAATTTAAAGGAATTAAAGGGCGGGCAATCTCTCGTCTTACGGTTCAGTGTGTCTGATAGTTAATTTCCATGGAAATAAATGTGTGTATACAGGCTGTTTCACGCAAACCGTTACCTAAAAGTATTCAGGATCTCATTGATAATTTAAATCTGAAAATGTACATGCCAATATAGTTTTTCATGATCTATCGAAAGTAAATATTATCATGATTGTTTCACTTTCGGTTTTACCCCACATGGATAGCAACTTTCTCATTTTAAATAGAACACCCTCTATTTCATCGCATTTTCTACGTAGTTTTGATACCACATTTCCCTATAGGTACAGTCAAAAATCTTCAATAACTTGAAAACGTTTAATACTGGGTATAGGGAATGTCGTATCAAACCACGTAGATTTTTATGGAGATTTCAAAAGTCTTATAAAATACACGATGTTCTATTTAAAATAAGAAAGTTGCAGTCGGCAGCAACAACCCGCATGTGACGTCGGCGGAACGGACGGATTCGAGCGTCACCAAGGGCTACGGCTTTGCCCATGGTCAAGGTCAACGGCACGCATGAAATTTCTAAATTCATACTTCTAATTAACCCCCATTGTCTCTCGAAATTTCTCAGGTCAGAAAAAGGTCTCTTACCAAACTGATAACGTCGTAAACCTACATGACCTTGCTGATTTAATGCTCGTTTTCATATACCATTGCAAACTAAAATCTGCTAATAATGGCTTAACTGAGCTGAAATTCTAAAATATGAATTCGCCCTTTTCTTCTAAATGACAATTGATTAATTGAAATATCTTAACGGGAACGGTTGCAAACGGCGAATTAATTACAGCTTTTGTTTACAGTAACGGCGTCTGAAACAAAAAATTAAGTCAATTGCCTTTACTTACTATCTTCAACTCCTAGAACCAACACAAAGACTTTCGGCACGACACTTTTCTTAACGAAGCGCCTCCGTATAAACCTTTGGTAGTCGTCGTCTAGTATAAAAACGTCACGTCAATCGTCGCAGATCGCCACCTACTGCAAAACAGGTCGCTTTTGTGCTCAAATTAAGCTGTTATATTTTTTTCTCTATCTAGCCCATGCGAAGAGAAAGACAAAAGTTTTGCAGTGGGCGGCTCCCTGCGTGATTTACGTGACGGTTTTTATACTAGACGATGTCTAACAATAAACTGAATAGTATTTTCCTATCACTGCCGGTTACACATCCAAAATTGAAATGGCACTTGTATATTTTTACATGTTTGAATTTCACAGGAAATTCTACATCTGATATGTTGTTTTTGATAATTTATACGAGGTTTGGTAAAAATTTATCAGTACCTAACTAACTTATATGCTAATATAAAGAAAGAAGAAAAAAATCATTTACTTTTCTTATTTAACCCTCGATTTAACCATAGATTAGCATATAATTTTAGCATTAATTGAAAACTATATACAGAGCGCCTCAAAATATCCAGGTGTGCCACTATGGACTATTTGAAAAAATTGACTTGACAGCACAAAACTAATTTTGACAATTTCAAAATTGTTTAAAATCCTTGTTATTGAATTGGATATGCAAAATGGATTTTTTAGTACCTAATGTAGAGTTCATGAAGAACCATGTAAGTCCATTCATGGCCACCTAGATTAAAAGAACTGTAATCAATTTTTCGACCAACCTCGTATAAATTACTGAAAGCAGGTCTAAAATGGTAGAATCCAAAAAAGTATTTAAATTTCTACATTTTGGGTCACTTACAGTCAAACTGGAAGTGATAAGGCCCCTATGTAATCCTTAGGGGATTATTTACTGTTCTACATGAGCAGTAACGTAACATTGGTATAGGTAGCACTCCATTTAAAATGATTTTTATGACTACAAATTTTGTTATAGCCCTTTTGGCCCACCGGCTCAGGATGTGCCCGTGGGTTTTTATCGTCCTTGGACGCTTGCTGGGCTATAAAAGGATGGGGTAGCGGACTATCCACTCCGTTAGAAGTACTAGCTGAAAGAGAATCCATATATAGGTTACTTGCTCAAACTACACCAGAAAATTTAAATAAAGACTGCAAAGCATACACTGTCGATCCTAGCACGCGCTATCCAAATCTTAATAAGTCTGCTCTCCTTCCACAACAAGTACTAACGCTGTATGACACTGACGATCCAAACACCATCGAGTTAACGTCTAGGGCGGCACAACCGTTTATAAACGAACTTCACAGAAAACGAAGAAAGCGAGGTTTGTTACTGACTGACGTCTAGTGTGTCTCACTTTTCTGTTTTAGACCTACATCTCGACGCAAATACACTCATTGGTTGGATTAAAGAACAAATAAAGGACTACGACGACCTATTAGTGGAAGACCTCACGAACTCGTTTAGGGATGGCAGAGTCTTGTGTGCGATACTACACCATTATCGACCGGATTTACTCGATTACGGCGCGATAAAGTCGGAGGACGTCGCGAAGAACAATCAGTTGGCGTTCGATCTGCTCGAAAAGGAGATAGGAATATCGCCGATCATGACTGGCGAGGAGATGGCCAAGCTGGAAACGCCTGATTATCTGACGATGTTCTCATATTTGACACAAATATATGACACATTTAGGGGTGAAATACCTCACATCAAACATCCTAAATTGGTAAGTGATTATTTGTTATTTGGTTGTGATAATTTCAAATTGCCTTTTTTGTTTTAATAGGTGTAATTTTTTCAAATTGAAATTTTTAAAAATATAAAGCAAGAAAGGAAGGGACAGTAGTTTTTTTGTATGAATACACGAGAAGTAAAAATTAAAAAATTTCTAAACAAAAATTAGTAATCGTTACTTGGTTCAAAAAAGGTACACTAAGAGATAGTTCAAACGTATTGAAAATCTTAAATATTGATGATATTTGGTGTAGTAGGAGTTTTCTTAGTTGGCGCGCACGTCATCAGTGTATTATGACGTCATCACTAAGTATGTTTACATAGCGTCATGCAATCAATGGAAGAGAATACGTAGGTAGACAGTCATACAGACAGTGCTGCATTATGTGGCATTGACCAATTACTAAAAAAATGTTTCAGTTGTCTATGTCGCGGTGGACATTGTGAATAGGACGTAAAGAAAAATTAAAACAAAATAATTTTAATTGTTTTTTCGTACGCCCGCGGCAAAAGTAGAGAAACGACTACAATCTAGACTTACCCAATCTCACAAGCAGAGTTACTTTCATGTCAAAATGACGGACGTTTCGCGGCGCTTTGGAATCTAGATAGCAGTTGATGTTACAATTGGCGGTTCTTTTCGTACGCAAATGGGAAAAGAAATTGAATAAAAACTCATAATTTTGTGCATAAGAAAAGACCAGAACATATAAACTAAATTACGCACGCAACCAGGCGATGTCAAGAAAACCTTCTTTGGGACAAAAACCCTGGCATAGTCCAAATAAATACACAAACTAAATGAACAAAGCAAAAGAAAATCCACGAAATACTTCAAATTTTGTAACAATAAAAATCATGTCACGAGTTTCAAGGTTCTAGGAACGTTATATTTTTTTCCAAAAACATGTATGTGCATCATTCCACGTGGTTGTTGAACCAGTCTGTCGAACTGTACCGAAAGAAAATATTATCATAATCGTTTCACTTCCGGTTTTAACGGATGTGGATAGCAAGTTTCTTATTTTAAATAGAACACCCTATATTTTATTGCATTTTCGCAATCGACATGTTTTAAACCACATTTCCCTATACCCAACATCAAAGGCTTGAAGTTATTCAAGCGCACCTATGACGCCGTTGACATTATTTTTAAAAAGTCAATACTGACGTGATGATACGTGCGAATGATTTAAATTTCTACAGGGTGTTTTCAAATTGGTGGTCAAGTTTAATAATTTCAAACCTTAAAAACTTGATTTTTTCAAATGGAACCTGCTTGATTTTTTTGCATTTTCAAATGTCCAAAAAAATTAAATCGATCAAATATTATATCCCTTATACCTATCTGATATGGTTTTCGTTTTATTTCAGATTTTCTAAAATTGTGACCGTTATATGCACAACTTTCTTAGGAGGCCTTGAAATAAATGCGTTGGCAGATCTGTCAGACATTTTTTTAATGGTTATAATATTGTTATCATTTGTTGTTCATGATAGTTAAATAAAGATGAAATCAACAACAGAAACAGGTTACAATAACAAACGACAAAATAAAAAACAAAGATTAATTGAGGCTTTGTTTAATGTGGCAGTTCTTCACAAGAAACAACTTTTTTTTATAAGACTTCACACAGAAGAGTCCAGAGTAGCGTTATATCTGGAGATCTAGAAGACTAGCGCGGATCTGCAGACCTAATCCAGCTGTCTTCAAAAATTGAAAGTGCAAAAAAATAAAGCAGGTTTTGAAAAAGCAACTTTTTAAGGTTTGAAGTTATTAAACTTGACCATCAATTTTAAAACACTCTGTAGACGGGCGCTCAAAATTAAAATGATTTGCACATTGCATCACGTCAGTATTGTTGACTTTGGAAGACTTTTTGAAATTCAAGTCAACGGAGTTATACTTACTTAACAGGGGCCTAAAGAAAAGCAGTCTTCAAACGTCAAAAATTTTGAAAAATCTTGAAAACCTTTGATGCTGGGTATAGAGAAATGTGGTATCAAACAACGTAGATTTTCATGTAGATTTCGAAAATGCAATAAAATATAGGGTGTTCTATATAAAATATTGCCATCCACATCCGGGAAAACCGGAAGTGAAACGATCATGATAATATTTTCTTTCAATGGATCATGAAAAACTACGTTGGTGTGCAAATTTTTAGATTTAAATTTTTAATGGAAGTCTAAATACTTTTAGAAGCATCCTGCCAACATATCTGACTGATAGAGATATATTTTTCACCGTAAGTAGAACACTGCACATGCGCAGTAGCATCCGAATGTAAACAGCTGATAACCATAGGCGTCACAAAAATGGTTCACTTCATATTAAATTACAAAGTACATATTTTGTAACTTACCCATGGAATGAAATTGCACTTTCTGTAGTACTATGTTCACGACAAATGAAACACAGCATTCTAATTATTACTTTCATAAAAACTACTCATATTTTCTACTGTAATAGCACCATAAACCCCTTTATGTTCTACTGAAATGCTGGGAATGTCAATTGCATTGACAACGCAGTGCGCATGATCGGTATTCTACTGTTGGCTATCTCTCTCACATGTTGGCACATGTTTAGTGACTATAGGCTATTTCTATGGAATATATATTATGATCTAAGACAATTTCGATTGACAGGTAGGTAACCCGAAAACAAAAAAAAACCTTTTTTTCTAAAGGTTTTTGGTTTTATTTTTTAAATAACGCACAACTCTGCCCCAAGAACCTATATTTTGTGAAATACATTCATCAGTCTAACATAACACGTAATTCCAACGTTTATTGTGGATTAAAATGATTTTTTTTAAATTTTGTTAATACGTTGGCATTACATTATTCCGCAAAAATAGAATTGATGACGTGCGCACACAAACTAAAGAAAATCCTACTTTAAAAATGTGTCTACAAGTAGTTAAATCATAAGATCAATCTTTCAAAATCATCTGCAATCAACTGCAAGATGAATGAAATGCTACATAATTTTAACTAATTAATTGTCAATTACACTGACAAATTTAAGCGGAGCTTAGCTTAAGCGTAGCTTAAAATCCCTGGCAGTGATTATTGTGACAATGGTTACCATGGATTTTAAGACACGCTTAAGCTAAGCTCCCAAATTTGTAGGTGCAACCGGCCGTAAGTGGTGAAGTAGTGAATTAAGGACTAATTTGTTATTTGATGTACGTAAATGGTAAATAATGTCGTTTTTGTTTTAAAACAGATCTCACTGTTACCGTCCTGCTCTTCAACACCTTCCTTACCCTTTTCCCCAAATGCAGCTGTGTTTAGTGAAAAGCGTCATTGCAAATCATCAAAGATAAAAATAGCAAAGAACCTACGAAAACAAAGAGCAAAATTATGCTCTAAGAAAAGATTAAAGTTGACAAACCCTTCGCATTCTACTTGTAAGCAACAGACAGAAAATTTAAATTGTGTAACATGCTATGATGAGAATTTCCAAGAAATTTGTACAATTAAGAATTCCCGCAACAATAAGAAAGGGGCGAAAAAAAAGAAAAAAGTGGCCAAAAACATTGTGTTGCGTCATTTAGAAGAGAGTCCCAGAATGACAACGTTACAGGAGTTGACATTACGAGTTTCGTCAAATAATCTTCATATCTCCGTCCAACCTCCGGTTATAAACAGGAAACGGTGCTCTGGCGAATTAATCGAAAACAAGACAGTGTGTGACACTGAATTGTGTCACTTTTTGAAGGGATACTCCACATTAAAATTTTTGTATGCTGGCAAGATGAATGATTCAGTTTCTCCCATGTTGGATACTGAACATAAGGTCATTGATTGGATAAATGCAACTACATTTGAAAATCGCGTAAAGATTCCACACAATGAGGTACAAGAGACTAAGACTGTGCTTGACGAAACGGAAATTCAAAGTGAAATAGAGTCACCGCTCATTGAGAGCATGATGCACTCCATCAGCGACGTAAACATTTCCAATATTGTACAAGGAAACTGTGCTCCACACCAAGTTATTACGGAAATATGGGAAAAGGTTTCTACAATGCTTGAAACCGATAAAATAGTAGGTTGCCTCCTGTACATTTGCCTTGTATCTTTCCTCTCGATTTCCTTGTACTGTTTCGAAATTACCAGCATTGTTCTCTTTTGCCCTTATTAAACGGTTTGGGAATAAAGTTGTTTTTTGTCATTGTAGGATTTATCGGAAGTTAAAGAGAATATAAGAGAAAAGACGATACCGACTATCACCGCCCGCATTAACGATGGCTTCGCAAGTCGGTTTAACATTGGCAGATCGAAACGTCACGCGGAAATGTCATCGAGCAAACCAGCGACGACAGAAAGGAAAAATAAGAAGAGAAGGTCGTTTGAGAAGTACGACATGAGTGTGGTAAGTAACTTTGGTTAATCGTATAGTTGGGTGTGGGGTAGGTCTGTTTCCATAATTTATCCTTTCCTATATTTCCTTGCACAAAGTTGTTCAAATAGATATCTTCTGTCTAATTCTTCTAAACTTTATTTTCGTGTTTTATCATAACGCTCACTTCCTAGTGTGCCATATAGCAATCCGAACAGAATATCAATCAGTTTACATCCCTTGTTGATACCCTGGGCATACTTAATTTCACTTTCAGATATGGATTTTTGAATATATTTCAATTTTCACATAGGACTCTTTGAATGTGTCAGTTTTGACAGGAGTCTGATTTTGACAGGAGGCAGGAAAAGTGTTTCTGCCACTACCATGGAAACTAAAATTTTCTGGCGTAAAGTAGGCGTGAAAATGAAGGTTTTATAGGCTGGTCAATCTATGCAGTGAGGTAGAAAAAATTAGTAACAAAGTGATCTCTGCGGAAATGAGTACTCAATAGGGTCCTTATTAATCCCTCAAAAATCGCACTTTGTCGCATTGGTGGAACTTGGAAAAAAATGGCCGCCATCTTGATTTTTTTCGAATTTGTTAAATATTTCGTAAAGTATACATTATATCAAAAAAACTCTAGAGACTTTTTTATGGAGAATCAAAAGTTACCTATAATAAAAAAAAGTTTAAGTCGATTGATCAAAAAACAAAAAAGTTATTGAAATTTATATGATTTGGCAATATGGATTTTTAAAAAATCTTGATATGACAATCGAACTACAATTCTCCCTCCTAAATTAAGTTCACAATTAAATAAAAAGGCAGTTACGGCGCGTTCGGCGCTCTTCGGCGCTTAATGCGGTCGAAAAACAAAACAAATCGCTCACGTGACTTTTGCAGACCTTCGGGGGAAAATTTACCACGGCGCCGTCGTCCAAGTTGCCTCCTCGCGGTAAGCGGAATAAGAAAGAAAAAAACATGCCCGCAGGTACGTACGCCGATTCCGACCTCGAATCTCTTCGCCGGAACGCGCTTTTCAAAAACTCCGGTTTTTCTCCTCGGGCGACCCACGACCCCTCGTCTCGTAGATTTCGTCGAGATCTACAATCGCGCAATTGTACGTTTCGCTCTAACTCTAACGGTTCGACCTGTAGAAGACGTCAAAATTGAAAAATGCGAAAAATGCCTCCTTCGCGATCGGCGCTCCGGGTCGCGCCGTTTCCGCACCGGGGTGTCACTTTTAATCGCACCGCGGTAAAAAGATGCTCCTCCCCATCGCCCGACGTCTCAGAAAGCGCGAACCAAAGTTCCGGTGCCGTTTTCGAGTTACGAATTTTTTTCTAAAAGTTTCGATTTTTTCGCTTCTTATACTTCTTATGGCAGCTACCCCAAAGGGTGCCGCGGGAATTTTCTTAACCTTACCAAAAGTTGCGCCAATGATCGGAACTTCCCGAACCGGAGCCCCGACGTCCTAATCCTGACCGTATAGCTTCGGCGAATTTTTATCCGCACCCGCGCACCTCGACAACGATGCCCTCCGCTGCTCAGAAGAATTTCCCAGGGGTGAAATTCTCAGAATCGAAGCGAAATCGTCTCAAAAACGTCTCATAAAATTTTCATCAAAATCGCTGCGTTTTTAATTAAATTAAATTAAAAATGAAAATCGAGTTGTTGCCTGAGTTTCTTATTTAAGGAGTGAAAAGCCGAAGCTAGTTTTTCATTCAGCACATAAAAACTCTTTCAGCTTTTTTATGAAATGCATACTGTTCCAGATATTAATCAAATTTAAAAAATCCCTATACAGGGCGGTGACTTGCGTAACGCATCATAGGGATTTCAATGTAAAATTCATAACATGCGATTATTGGCTCCCCAAATTATTTTAGAGCAAAAATGTATTAAGGTTTTTTGTAGAAAATTTTTTTTTACGCCAATCAACCGTATTAGTTTTAAATTTTTTGCATAATAAAGAGGGAAAATTGGAAAAATAAAACCCCCATCTTTTTCAATAATCTGTGATGCCATGGAATTTTCTAATACAAAAACTACGCCAATATCCGTCATGCCATGGAATGTCTGCTATAAAACAAATCAAATTCTATCAAAAAGTATTGTTTAGAACAGCGAATTCAACATAAAGAAAGACCAAATTACTAAAACGTAGATTATTGAAAAAGATGCGGGTTTTATTTTTCCAATTTTCCGTCTTTATATAAAAAAAATTGAAAACTAATACGGTTGATTGACGTAAAAAATTTTTTCTAGAAAAAACAATACATTTTTGCTCTAAAATAATTTGGGGAGCCAATAATCGCATGTTATGAATTTTACATTGAAATTCCTATGATGCGTTACGCAAGTCACCACCCTGTATAGCCAATTCATATAATTCGCAATTTTTTTTTGTTTTTTAGAATATTCTTGAAAATGTCTCTAATATAGGTATATTTTGATTTTCTATAAAAATGATCTTTTGAGTTTTTTTTAATTAAATGCATACTTTACGAGATATTCAATAATTTCCACAAAAATCAAGATGGCGGCCATTGTCTTCTAAGTTCCACCAATGCGACAAAGTGCGATTTTTGAGGGGTTAATAAGGACCCTATTGAGTACTCATTTCCGCAGAGATCACTTTGTTACTAATTTTTTCTACTTCAACCACCTATTTTGACTAGCCTCACAAACGATTATTTAAAAATTTAAAATTTCTTGCATCCATATTATGTCTTTTAGGACAGATTCGTACCACTCTATCCCTATGTCTCTAAAATTGGATCTTTTAGTTGTAGTATTTCTTTTTGCATTTGCATGCAGTGAGCGGCTAAAATATGGACAAAATTCATTTAAAGATCAGGCGTTGGGTTTTAAAAAAAATGCTCGCACATGCCTATCATAATTTTTTCTTGTGCATTTTTTGCACTAGAGAGAAAATATACAAGGTGCGTCAAAAAGTAGATTTTGATACCAAAGTTTTTTTTTAATGGAACAGTGTTTTTTAAATCCATTTTCGAATTTTGTGTCAAATTCTAGGCATAAGAAAAATACATAATTCCAATATGGATTAAAAAAATATTGTTCTATTTTAAAAAATCAAAATCGCACCCTGTATGTTTTCTCTTTCGTGAAAAAATTACGCAAGAAAAAATTGACACTTAATTTTTAAATGCATTTGTTCCATATTTTAGCCGCTCACTGTATGTATAAGGTGGCTTATTTGCCATGCACAGGATTGTAATCTTGAATTCCTTAATTATAAAAATATCATAACCTATATTTTTTTTTATTTTAGCCATGAAAAATTTTTTTAACGGTTTTGTGAATATAAGGCCATGGATTCATGGAGATTTTGTTTTGTTTATTATATCCAATGATTAGGTAGCTGATTCCAATCAATAAAGATAAAGACTGTAGAACCATGTCATTTTAAAATTAAAAAATATGGTATATAATAATATAATTTTAAAGAATATAATATAGGTCGTGCGAACGAATGCAAAAAATTTACGTTAGAATATACAGGGTGTTGCATTTAAAAAATACCAACTTGGGATCAAATTGCGACGAATTTGGGGTAGTTCGCGCACATTCGACGAAAATTAAATAAATATTAGCGGAATAATAATTGCAATTTAATATTTAAAAGAAAAATAAACAAATATACTAATGATAATAATTAAATTGGACAGACTCGAGCGCCATCTGTTAAAGAACCAAGCCCAAAATAAAGCCTTTAGGCTGGCTTAAATGTAATTACAAATTAATCAAAACAGATAAGAGACACCTTACCTTATTATTATATGTCGTTTCGCTGGTGTAGGTATAGAGGCGAGCAGGATGATAGCGATAGCGCCGCGGCGGTGGTAATATTGGCGATGTTGCACTCAGGAAGGACACTCAAGGACAACATTAAAAGCGAAGTAAAGCTTGGCTCGTATATCGTATCGGTTCTAACGCACACTTTTGTGGAAGATAAGGTGTCATAAAGCGCGCGCAAAATAAAATTTAAATATTAATATAAAATTAATTATAGTTCTGTAACACCATCAAGCGAACGGCCCCGCGCCTAGGCGAGGTTGGCTGTAACAGCGGCCTGGCGGGTCGGTCTCGGGAACCTCAGGTGTAAACTCAACCGGAGAAACGGCAGCTCCAGGAATCAAACGGGTTCAAAAAACGTCGGAAAAACTAAAACAACATTACGGCAATCTCTGGTAACTTAATGTTTAATGGAACTGGCGAAAATGCAAAAAGCAAAAAGATTTAAATACAGTACAGTTTCCCAAAAATTAACGTAGTTACGGCAAACAAATTGGCAAAAAATCCTATTTCATAGTGCGTTTTCTATTTATCTCGACGTCCATTTGAGTAGGGACAAACTGGAATTCCCGCCCCGTACGCTTATACCTTCGATACGTTCAAACAAGTTAAAACTGATTTTAATTAATTACGCGTTTCCCCGACATCGGAAAAATATGGGACCGGTGTCTTCAAGTTATTTAAGAGCGCACCTGCAATCTCGACTTCTTCCGAGGTTATTTATAACCCGTTCAACTAATTACGGTTAATTATACTTATCCAAATAGTCGGAATGAAATCTCCAAATTCGGACAAATGCCCTTTTGTTCCTTGGAATGTGAGGTCAAGCGGCGCAATCGGTGATATTTTCCTTAAACTGCACGACCTTACCGGTTTCAATTCTGGATTTTCGTATTCCATTAGAAAACTAAAATCGATTCATCGGTAATTAACGGACCTAAAACTTCATATGATTGATTCTCTCTCTTCTTCCCTGGCAAGAGAGCTTTCGGTGGCTGTAAAAACAATTTAAATATTCCTACAGGAACGGTTGCAAAACGGATGAATTCATTAGGAAAGTTACTTGTGTTATCGGCGATAAGACAAACATGAAACAAGTTAACAAAATAGAAACACACAAAGCTCACTCTTCGTCTACTAGAGCAAATAAGTAAATTCAGAAACTATGCTTAGTAACGAAGCGCACAACTTAAAATGTTTCTATATACCGGGTGTTCAGCAAAGCGGGTCAACTTCACAATTATACGGTGTGGTCATAACTTCGGGTATGAATTACAAAATCTCAGAAATGGTCCTCCAAAATTTTTTAACTACGCCACTGGATTCTGCGTAAAAATAAATAAAAAAGGGCCGTTTTTACCTTTTTTTATCTTACATTATATGATAAAATCTCATATCTTCAGAACCATCGATCACTTAAAAAATATCACCTTTTGTTTGTCCTTACAACTGTACTTTGTACTTAGGTCTTAGAAAATATTAAATAACCAATATTTTGAAAACTGAAAATTTTTGGAATGGACTGCTTTATAGAAAGTTATCCATATTTTTTGTGCATAATAAGGCTAAGGGTTTCCATTATAAAACAATGTTGTGCACACCAAATGAGCTACTCTGTATATTTTTATCTTTATTGTCTTCTTAGTATCTTTCCGTTGCTTTTTCGAATCTCTTTTCGGGTAGATTTTTAGTTTTCTTGGGTATAGTACCCTTTTCCCCCAAATGTCAATTTGGTTACCACAATCCTATCCTAATGTTATCCTTTTTTACAGAACGTTGGGAGTATTATATCCAGAATCCGGAAAAATGTGTTAATTTGTTTAGGTTTGTTTTTATTTGATTATTTATTAAATCCTGAAAGCTACATTTAATGTGGATTACTGCAAATAAAATATTCAAAGTAGTTTTGTGTATTTGATCGACTATGGTGGCAGATGGGTGGCACATAATATATATTTTGTGCTGCCTACCTGTAAACTTCGATTTATTAATAATAATGACTATTTTGAACTGAAGGAAGAAAGACGAAAGCGATTAGAAGAAATTGCAGCAAATCGTTTGGATCGTCAAAATAAAAGGCGGCAGCAGCGGAAAATGCAAACGGAACAGTTCATTAAAAGCATGCAAATGTTACAAATGAACGCGAAACCTGACCAATCACAACCTTTCGAGGATTATTCGCTGTTTGTGTACAGACAGACGGCGCCAGATTTTCAAGATCGCGTTAAAAACTTAGAAAAGCAATTCACTTACATACCTGTAAGAAACTCATAGTCGTGTTGTAGTGAGCATGTTGTATTAACACGTTATAATCAGTGTGCAAACGTTGTAAGTTAACACTCCTAATAATTACCGACTTTGAAATCCGACAACGCTCAGTCATGACTTGTATCACATTTAAGTCAATTTGTCTAGGATAGAGAAAATCGCTTACCGACTCAATCGAAAACTGGCGCAGGCGACGAGGAATTTGCTGCTCGTATCAAGGACATAGAGGAGAAGTGGAGGTATCTGCAGCCCACCGAAAAAAAGCCCAAGGATCTGACGCGAGCGATCGGAAAGATTGAAACATCCGACTGGAATATTAAAGAAATCGAGAAGAAAATTTTGGAGAACAAATTAGGCAAATCGGTCAACAGAGAGAAGGAACGCGTGCCAAAGTGGAACAGAGAACAATTCTTGGCCAGACAGAAGAAGTGCATAAATAGGCAAAATAGTGGCGAAGGTACCGATCATTGCGCGCATCTTTTTTTTTAACCTTACTTTTGCAGCTAAGTTTTCGGAATTAGACAAGGGAATTAAGCATCTAGAGCAAAGGCTAAAGGAGGGTTCGTTGCGGGATCTCGGCACGAATAAGGTTGCAAAAATCACTGAAAAGTTGCTGCCTAAAGACGACAACCAAGAGGCGAAACCGATCAAGAAAAATGTAAGTGATTCATGTTACTAAGTAAGTGAGTGTGAATTGATGTTCTAGATTCCGAAGCCACCTGTTGTTTTACCGACGAATAGCGGCTCTGAATATTGCCACTTCTGTCAGAAAAGAGTGTATCTGATGGAACGGTTATCTGCTGAGGGGAGATTCTTTCATCGCGGTTGTTTTAAGTAAGTACCCTCTTACGAGTCTACTTTCTCTATCTTTTCCTTAAGGTGTCAGTATTGTTACACGACGTTGCGATTGGGCTCCTACTTGTTTGATAAGGAGGGACAATATGGGTATAGGTTTTATTGTTTGCAACATTTTGGTATGGTGGATGAAACGGAGGTTGACCGAGTGGATGTCAAGCAGTTGGGCAAGATCAGGAAGGAGCAGGTGAAGCCTTTGGAGAAACTGAAAATTCCTTTAACTGGTGTGGAGGGAGTTGATTTACTAAATAGAGGTACGTGAGTTTCACTTATGTGTACTATTGTATTGAAAAGAAAAAAGTTAGTTTATTTAACTTAATTGGCAGTTTTTAGTGTTGAATTAGAAAATAATGCAGACAAATTAGAAAAACCTTATACACCTGACTGGCTAATGTATTGCCCTTTCAATTTAGATACATTTAAATTAACAGAGCGCCAAAAAGGAAATCGGCAGGTGGCTAATATGCGACAAAACCACAGTACAACTAATTATGTGGGCTGTTTATTCTTAATTCCATGATTGCCATGGAAATGTCACTTGACATTCGCTTAAAAATCGCCGTTCATTCAATGGCTTGTTGCAAAAGCAGAAGAAAAGTTGGTACCTGTAAAATCGAAATCAGATAAAGCTTATTATAAAGAATATGAAAAGTTGCTTTCATGGATGAGTAGGAAGTATCTTACGAATCTTAAATGCATTAATAATGGTGGCATATATGAAGGAAATGTCGAAGGTATTTAAATTTTCTATCCTTTGGTGAATTCATTCAAAATGTAGTTAGTGGGATTATGTGAAATGTGCACCAAGATCACGTGATCAGGCACCATTGCATTACTTTTATTTGGGGGGGGGGGCAATGCTTTTCTAACATGGAATGACTACTGTGATTACTTTGCTATTAATAATAGCTTAACCCTGAGGGCGCAACGCTCTACTATCAACATTCACATTCAATTTGCTCTCAATAATGCAGACATAACATACTCTTTACAGGATAATCTTCTTTATATATCAAATTATTCTGTACATGCTTTGTGCCTGATCTCCTCCTAAACGGCTGGGCGGATTGTGATGAATTTTTTTTTGTGCATCCGTGGATGATTTAGAATCAGAATTTGGCCTGATCGGATTATAGGATTTTTTTTAACTTCTTGTTTCGTTGATGTCACACTGCTTTTTCGCATCAAGTCATTTGCATTGTACCGTGCCGGTGCCTTTACATTTTTACATTCTCTACGAACTTTGGTAGGAAGTCTGCGCACAAATGGCATGAAAAATAAGCATTAGCAGAATAATGCAAATAATTTTATTGACAAGAAAAATAAATACATACCTATTACAAATTGTAGTCACTAAATCGTGTGAGCACACGAAAGTAGCAGTCGGCGGTAACCTGGATGTTCTGTTGGCAGACTGGGCGGACATACTCGAGCGCCACCAATGGTGCAGCCTTGCCTCTGGTCCGGGTCAGCAGTACTATCATCGGTTTGCCAAACGGTCTCAGAAACCTCGGGTAAACTCAATGAGAGTAAACGGCAGCTCCAGGAATTCTAAAGGGCAAGCGGCGGCCGGCTACTTGTGAATGATAAAACAAAATTAAAGCGTACAGCATTTTCCCTAAAAGGGAACAGTAAATAATCGGATTCGGTAGCGGTGTCTACGGGACAGCAAATGCAGGAAAGCGAAACAATATCCCCCTCCCCCCTCCTTATAATTAATGAAACGGAAGTAGCAAAAAGCTTACCTTGCAATTAAAAGTAGCAACGTAATTATAAGAGTATCTGTAACTGTTCCACAACAGTTGTGTGTTTAGAACGCGCTCAATGGCTTTACCTTTTATAAAATTCAGCTATGCCATGGAGGGAACGACGGTTTTTCCAGCCGACACGGTGTATTCGGTTATCTACATCCAAAAATCAAAATTTCTTTAATTAATTGTGCGGCCTGCTGTAATGTTCCCAAAATTCAAATCAATTAACAGCACCTCTTTTGATACCCCAACTGACTATGTGGAATGACGTTTACTGCAACACATTTATTAAGCTATTGTTAATTTCACTTAATTAATTGGCCGGATTGAAATTTTGAAAATCGGTAGTCCAATTAACACCTATTCCTTGCGTCGGCATGAAGGTCGCCTATCAACCTGATATCGGCGTAAACCTACATGGCCTTGCAATTTGAATGCTCGTTTTAAATTAACATAGAAAACCAAAACCATCTAATAACTACTTAATGGGATTGAAATTCTAAAATATTAATTTGCCACTCGTCTTCTAGATGACAAGGGCTTTCGGACGCAACAAAAACAATCGAAATATCTTGACGGGAACGGTTACAAACTGCGAATTTATTTTATTGAAACACTAGAAATTAAATCAGTTACCTTTAGCTTCTATCTTCAACTCAGATACGGCGGAAAATGGTTTCAAAATAGCACATAAAAAGCACCATACGAAACTGCAATAAAAAGTATAGTGTTATATTTAAAATAAGGAAGTTCCATCTATATTTGGTTCAGTGTTGGAACTGCATCCAACCCATTCCATCATCTCAGTAACAGTTCCTCTTATTTGTAAAGGAGTTAGACCTGCGGAATGTAGGCATCGTAATTTTAGGTAAATAGACTTCTGCTAATTCTCTATTGTAATGTAAATTTAAGACATAATTTATTTAAATGTTTATATACAATTAATTATCGATATTCACAGGAAGTTACAATATTAACAATAAACTAAATCTAAAAGGGCCCTAAATAGATTGATTTAAAACAGTAACAATTAATATTTAGCACTTACTTGCAGTCAACTTGATAACATGGGTGCAGGTTTCATTATTTATCACTATTACATCGATGCTAAAACTAAAACTAAATACAATTCAAGCTTATATAGTAAACAAAAAGCTTGTACAAAACCACCGACCTGTGTGCCCTAGTGGAGTAGAAGCTTGACTGCGGTAATGATGGTACCTGGTTTGAATCCGGGGTCAGGTATGGATATTTATAAAGCTATTGCTATGTGCTCCACGTTGGGCGCCAAATGTGGCAAACGGTGACCAAACCACCCACTAAAACACCTCCAGTTAAGTCAATTAAATTCAGGTACTAACAAAACCTTTAAAAGAAATTATTATAATTTTTCTATGACACCATGCAACAAGTGATCGATTGAACAAACTAAATTTAAATAAAGTGTTAATTACCTTGAGTTAAATAATCCTTATCATCCAATCATAATTGCGCATTACCGCAAACTGAGGCACTAACACATAACACAAAAACCAAGCTGATGATGCTTCAGAACTTCACATAAAACTCGATTTCGATACTGATGTAATTACAATTATAGTATTGGCTCTTTGACGATGGAAAAACTCCCTTTAATGAGAAACAACTACTTCTTTGTAAACTTCACTTCTTGAATTCAACTTAAAATATTTACTTGCATCACCACGACTTAAATCTCTTAATACTCGTAGCACTCAACTACGTTTCAACTTCAATATTCTTCACCTCATATAAGTCACTCCAATCTAGTTGGCAAAGTGCTTCGTAGAGGAGTGGAAAGTTTGCATGTCGAAAATTGTAATTCTTTTTGGAACCACCGATAAAATTTTTAGAAGGTTCACTATTGATAGAAAGTTCAAAATACAACGTTGGGTGATAATAATCTTCTTCAACAAGATAATCCAGTTCTCGTGAATAGCACAGTTCAGTGATTTAGTTGTAATAATTCCTTAACAAATAGCTGCGTCGTTTGACGATAAACTGCACCTGTGTTTTCTTTACGCGCAAAACATCTGCTTATCTTGAAATCAATTAACCAACTTATCGCAAACGCCCGGAGATAAACTTTTATAAATATTACGCAAATATTCCAGATGTTCCTTATTTTTTTTTATTTTTTATTTTATTTTGCCTTTATTTTTGAGTGAGCGGGATTTCAGCCAAGGCTGCTCTACCAACCCAACCCACTATACATTTACAAAAATCCATGCCCGAACCCGGATTCAAACCAGGGACCCTTAGCACCACAGTCCAGCTTTAACTGATCTGCGCCACACGGACCGCCTACTAACACAAAATAATAATAATAATAATAATATTGCCTTTAATTATCTCCAAAAACAAAACAGAAATAAAATAACACACTTCCACAGTTCGGCGGATACTACCGTCGTCCTTTCTTCCACTTAACCTTGAATCAAAGAATTAAACAAAGCAATTATTTAAACAAAATTAACAATAGTGAATTCGAATTCGAATGACATTATCGGAATTACGTTTAATCCCAATTTATAACCACATTAAACGTCAAAATAAAAAAATTGAAAGGTACAAGAGCGAAGCCAAACAAAAGGCCCGCATGGCGCAGTTTTCACAACAGTATCTATAGTAGGTTGGGTTGGTAGAGCAGCCCCCACCGACTTAAAAATAAATATCATATTTCGTCTTATAATAATTATAGCTACTTTTCTTAATTGTATGCGGCCGCCGGTTTATGGAGGCAATATTATAAGCCAATCTTTGTTACAGTTCAAACTCCCGAACGAATTGAGTTCTCCAATCTATCCGCAGGACACATATCATCTGATCATGACGAATCGCTTAGTCAAATGGACGAGGACGAATGGACGGATAGAAACTTTGGCGCGTCGACGGCCGAAATTTGTTCTAGTGATGAGTATGAAGATTCCTCTAGCGCTAGGTATTTGCGCTAATATTTCCTTTAGATTAGTTTTAATTGTTGTAACGTTCTCTGCCGTAATTAACCGCTTGTAGAGTATTTAGTTGCATTGTAAAATAATACTATATGGCTTTCTTCTCGGTAGTGGTTCGGAATCCGATAATGAGGAAGTTTTCGAAGAGGCTTTAGAGGAACCTCCGACTAAGGAAGGGACGTTGCGATGGATGGAGCGTTACAAGCAGAGGTACTCGAAGGAGAGGCGCGATTCTGATTCGGAAGATTACATTAGCAGTTCCGACCATTCGAGCTATGATGAAAATACTAGTGGAGGTATGTATGGAGGAATTGTGATGAGCGCTCTAAACTTGATTGTGTAGATGAAGAAGATGAACCGGCCACCGAAGGCGAAGAAGAAATTCGCGCGAGAGAACTAAGAAAACAAGAAGTGAGGGTGGAACCGCCTGTTATACAAACTGATACCGGTTCCGATACAGAGGTGAAAATAACTTCTTTATCTAGCGATCCCTTGCCTCACTCTTCAGATTTACCTGATATTTTGACATCCTCTAATGATACCCCGGCCACTAACTTGAACCAAAAGTTCTTAAATAGTTTCTTAAACAAATCCCCTAGTAACATTTCCGTCACTTCAATCGATTATAATACTGCCGACTCAGACGCGCTCGAAAGTTCAAACATTGTAGACTCGGTTCCAGAACCGGCAGCAAAAGTTGAACCCTCATTTCCTCCAACACAAAAACGGGCTAGTTTCGGCAAGGAATTTATACCGCAATTTACTTTGGCGGAACCCCAACCTTTGCTTATAATTAAACGTACTCCCAGTAAAATCAACTTGCCCCAAGAAGTAGGTAAACCCAAAGTGAAAGTTAATACAAACGTCGACTCCATGCAAAAGTACTTTGGTGATGCAACCAAAAAGAAGGTATTTTCGAAGCCGGTTTTGGCGAAAAGTACAAGCAAAGATGTTCCTGTGGAGTTAATGAGTAAGCCGAAGGTGTTGGTGAAACAGAATTCGTTCAGTTTTGAGCCTGAGGAAACCGATTTGAAGGATCTCGATGCTTATATTGAGAATTTGTTGACGAAGGAAGATGAACTTATGGCACCTTGTAAACCTGTGAAAGACGACACTGAGGAGGAAGATGAAAAGGTATCCAGTAGTATTGAAGATCTCTTAAAGGCTTTGGAGGTTGAAACCGGAGGTGATGATGTAGTCAAAGAGATTGGTGGGGAAGAGAAAGTGAGTGACCTTTTGGATTGGATGGATACTTTGGAGCATCAGCAGGTGTCAAATAAGCTGTACAGGTCGTTTAGCGATGTCAAGTACGGCAAATTAGAGAATGAGTTAAAGATTCCGAAGCGCGCAGATTCAGTTGTCAGCAAAATTCCGAAGACCAACATTAAATTTTTCGAATCGTACCTCAAGGGGAAGAGGCTTGACACTGAAGAACCTACGCCATGTCATTATGGGTTGTCTAAATCTAAAACAGATGTTCTTGCAAATAAACTGCAACACCGAAGTTCTGTTGACTTAGATGCGGTTAAGAAAGTTAATGTGAAGAAGGTTTTGCAGCGATTCGAAAGTAACGCACAACCTGATTATGAAAAGCCGCCAAGGCCACCTGTAGCTAAACGGTTATCCCTTGGAAACTTTGACGCGATTAAACTAAAGTTCTTTGAACGCGAAATGCCAAAGTATTCCACCCCACAACTGTCAAAGGTGAATAATGGCGTCTTGGACATACCACAAAGCTCTGGCAGCAATGGAAGTAGCACCTCTGATGTGTCAGATGATGAATTGGAAGCCAATAATGATGGTTCAGTGCACAATAGCAAATTGCTGCAGGATCCCCACCAAGAGATGAAACCAAAAGACTTTGGTACCCATTCTGCATGTAGTGAAACTCTCACACTGGCAGCAACCAATTTGAATAATGGCCATATGTCCATATTGGATAAGCCACAGGAATCTGATAGCAGTGGAAGTGACACCTCTGATGAGTCTGATGACGAATTGGAAACTACCGACCAAAGTGAAGAAGTAGCACATCGTAATCAGGTTGCAGATAAAACAGGTTTCAGTCACTCAAACAGTGTAAATCTTGCACCTGAAACTACCAAATTGAGGAATGACCATGTATCAGTGTTGGATCATCCACAGAGATCTGATAGCAGTGGAAGTGACACCTCTGATGACGAATTGGAAACTAACGACCAAAGTGAAGAGGTAGTACATCCTAATCAGGTTACCCACGAAACAGGTTTCAGTAACAATAACAAATTTCTGCAGAATCCCAGTCCGCACCCTTCAAACAGTGTACATCGTGCACCTGAAACAACCAAATTGAAAAATGGCCACATATCCGTGTTGGATCAGCCACAGAGCTCTGATAGCAGTGGAAGTGACGCGTCCGATGTAAGCGAAGAAGTGTCAGATGATGAATTGGAACCAAACAAGCACAGTGAAGAAGTAGCACATCGTAATCAGGTCATCAATAAAGCACATGAAGATGGTTTAAGTCTCAATACCAAATTGCTTCAGGACCCTAGTCAAGTGATAAGCCCAAAAGACTTTGGTCCACATTCATCAGGCGTCGAAAATCTCACAGCAGTCAGAGGAAAACCTGAACAACACGGTTGTGTTTCACAAATTGCCTCCAAAGGTGACAATGCGGACGAAAGTGATGGACCACCTCCGGTCCCCCCTCGAAATATTTTAATTAAACACACCAATTTCCACCCGACTCCTCCGCCACGTCGGAAAGTGGTCCTATGTCTGCCTAAAAATGATGCGTGCGACAGTGCGAGTAAACTCGAGTCGAATATGCCGAAAAAGGAGAAAGTCACATCGTACGTTCTTCCCAAGCCGCAGAGGCCCGTTTTAAATATTAGTGCGTCCAATGAAAGCATTTCATCGAAAAATAAAGAATGTTGCATTCAGTAAGAAGAATCAATTCGAATCTCGACGTTTTCTAGTCATTGTTTAATTTTGTTGTGTTTCTAAAATTCTATTAATTGTTATCGCTTTAAATTTTAGCTACTCATAATCGGTGATATTAAAAGTAATTTTTTAATTAATATTCTTAAATAATTGCATTCGGTACAGTAGGAACAGGTTTAAGAGATGATTTTGGTTCCTGGGCCACAGTTACATTTTAGCAATGGTAAAATAAGGTAACTATAAGAGTGATTTTTCTAGATTTTGATGTATGTAATCGCAGTTGTGCTTAACATTCCATTGCTGATATGCGAGTTCTGTGCTCTTAACCGAATGATTTCTTTTAACCTAAATGTTTCATGTTTTAGCACTAACACTTTTAAATGCGAATATTTTAAAAAATGCAATTGCAAGTAGTGGTGAGTGAAATACTGTGAAAAATCGAGAATTTGAGAACATGTCTTTTTATACTGGTCACAGAAAATGATGCTTAATTGCTTACCCTTTATCCGCGTTTTTTTTTTGTTATACATATTGGGAGAACAAATTTAATTGTGATCGTTGCAAAATTATATTTATACAGGGTCATTCTTGACGAGCGTCAGTTAGAAAGATATGGAAAACCTTTGAAAATGAAAATAAACTGATAAGTTCTTTAAGGGTTTTGGGACATGATTAATTGAACTAAATATTTTCAAGATGGCGCCACTTCCGGAAATAGCGGAAGTAGCCATCAACTTTGTTATTTTAAATAGGGACTCCCTATTTTTTCTGCATTTTCGGATTCTACGTCGAATTTGGAGTACTTCGTCGATACTCAAGTTTTTATGTCAAAAATTGAATTTGTAGGGGTCATTTTAAAAATTTATTATTCGAAAACGGTGAGAGATATTGCAAAACAGCAAAGAGTCAACTATGGGGTATAGTTGTACTCCAAATTCGACGTAGAATCCGAAAATGTAGAAAAAATAGGGGGTCCCTATTTAAAATAACAAAGTTGATGGCTACTTCCGGTATTTCCGGAAGTGGCGCCATCTTGAAAATATTTTAGTTCAATTCATCATGTGCCAAAACCCTTAAAGAACTTATCAGTTTATTTTCATTTTCAAAGGTTTTCCATATCTTTCTAATTGACGCTCGTCAAGAATGACCCTGTATATAAAACTTCTTCTAACTAAACGACTGGGCGGATTTTGAAGAAATTTTTTTATGTGTCCCTGTGTGTCCCTGGGTGATTTAAATTCACAATTGGGGCGGATCAGATTATAGAATTAAAATTTTTTTTGTTGATATCTCACTCTGCGCTTTCGTGTATCAATCAATAGTGATGTTTCACTAACGTTAAACTTAACGTGCAGGTTATCTGTAGAAAACGTTATTTTACGCATATTAACTAACGCAAAATCACGTTTTTTGGCAGATATCCTGCACATTAACTTTCACGTTTCTGATGCGTCACAGGGCTGATTATCGAGAATACGAACTCGCGAAGGAAAGTAAGAGTAGTGATCAGTAAATTTTTGTTGTTTAATTACCCTTCACGGAAGGATGCATGTCCCTAACCTTTTCTTCTATGATTTTGGATTTGCTGTTTTCCAGTTACACAAAATGATGCATATCCTTTACCCTCTCTTTTTGATATAGTTGATTAGCAACCGTTAAGGTTGGTTATTGCGTTCACAGCATTTCTTCCCCAATAATGAATTAGATTATTGTTATTGTGTCTAATTTAAATCCCCATATACTTTGTAGTTTTATCTAGTGGTCAAAATAACTTTTATGTTTTATACAAAAGAGAATACTATTTCCCGTCATCAAAACAATAGGAAGCGTCATTTGTTTGATTCTTCAGATTGTTTAAATACTTTGAATTATTTTATTTTCTAGGTCCTTTGGATAATTCTGTTTAAATCTTGAAACCCATGAGATTGTTTGGTTTCAATAACTTCTGGTACAAAGGATTCCTCAGATTATTTCTTTAATCTTTCAGGGTCTCTGAATTCTTTTGTTTGTTTGGAATTTTTTAATTTTTTTGCTTCTTCTACATTTAAAGATTTCTTCATTTTCTTCAGGGTTCACATTTTCTTTGATTTAAATTCTTGAGAGAATTTTTTTAAATTGTTCAAGTCCTTCACATAGTACCACCTATGCTTCGGATTTTTTTAGGTTATTCAGACTTTTCTCACTATTAAATTTATTCACATTTTTAGGCTCTTTTTGTTAGAATCGTGATTTTTCAAATTCTTCAAACTCCAACACCTTCAGATTCTTATAATACTGTAGGTACATTTTTCCATTTTTTTGAGGTTTTAGATGTTCCACATATTTTTGGAATTCTCCCAAGTTTTTTGGATTCTTAAAATTCTTCAATTTTTTTTAATTCTGAATTTTTTCAACTCTTAGGATGCTGCAAATTCTTCAGATCACTGATTCATGGTCAGAAGTATACAAAGGTCTTACGTTAGTTGTAGGTAAGCGAACGTCAGGAGGTATGGAATACTTCCCAGAAAAAGAAAGATTCAATGTTCATTTCCCTACAATGTCATTAGACATTTGTATACTGGGAGGAGGGGGAAAGATATTCCCCCCCCCCCAGATCCTTCGATTCTAGGCTCTTCCAAAAAGTATTGTATAAGTACTAAGGGTACTCAACATTTTGGAGAAAAACTTAGAACCGGGGAGTCTATGGGGATGGGATCCCCCCCCCCCCCAGGGCAAAGAAAGATTCAATTTCTCTACAACTAACATAAGACTTTCGTATGCGAGGGGTATTCCAGACCCCCGGATCTAGGCTCTTTCCAAAAAGTATGGTATATGTGCTAAAGATACTCATCATTTTGGGGAAGAATGTAGATCTGGGAGTGTATGGAATACCCCCAGTATACAAAGGTGTTATGCTAGTTGGAGGGAAGCGAACGTAAGCGGGTATGGAATACTTCCCAGAAACAAAATTCATTCGCTACAACTGACATATTAAGACCTTCGTATACTGGGGATATTCCATACCCTCCGGATCTACATTCTTCTCCAAAACTTATTGTATAAGCGCTAAGGGTAATCAACATTTTGGAGAAGAATGTAAACCCGGAGGATCTGGGGGGTATGTACCCCCAGTATACAAAGGTCTTATATAAGGGGGTATGGAATACTTCCTGGAAAAAATTTGCTGTGGCTAGCACAGATACAATCCACACACCTGCGCGATTTTGCCCTTTTATGTCCAAGAATATGGGTACCAAATTTGGTTCCAATTGCTCCAGCCGTTTAGCCAGAAATGAAAGTACAGATGGACCAACATCAACAAGATTTTATTTAATTCGGATTCATAGTACTTCAAAACGTGTATTTCCGTCTAAAAAGTTTTTTACCCCAATGCTTACTCACGTACGGGTGGTAAAAAGAGAGATTCAACGTTCATTTCACTACAAGTAACATAAGACCTTCGTATGCGGGAGGTATTGCATACCCCTCAGACGTTTCTATACCCCCCAAACCTCCGATTCTAGGCTCTTTCCAAAAACTATTGTATAAGTGCTAATGGTACTGAACATTTTGAGGGTCTGGGGAATACTCCCCAAGATTCTACGGGGGTACCAGATACCATCATCTAGTACTTATTAAAAAACAAAAGTGTATCCAGCATCTAATCAGTAGAGTTTAATGATGCAGGAATACATGGAAATTATCCAAGATGTATAAAAGAAAGGTCATCGATAAGCATCTTTTCCTAATCAGTATAATTTGAAAGAACAATACTATTTAGCAATACCTGTTTAAATCAAAACAAATCATGATAAATCTCTATTTGGAAAGATGCTTACCCATAAACTTTTCTCTTTTTGATTATTGGATACTACTTTTGTTCAGCTAAAGTGGTCTTTACACTTTAATTGACACTGCATGTGCAAGGGGTACGACAGATCATGTTCTCTGAAATTCGGCCTCACTGCGATTGCGCTGTTAAAAGATGTTGAACCAATTAGACCAAATTGTACTGATCACAACTTAGTGGACACTGTTTTTGATTCCACAAAGGGAATTATAAACCATATACAATCCGTCCGCCTTATGGCGCCATTCAGTGTTTCACTAACTACTGCCTTGTGTATTCAGTGTTTTTTGCATGCTCTCAGCTTTGTTGTATTTCCTCCTAAAATTGACATGTAATTTCAGATTGTGTCAGACGATACCAGTCCAGAATCATCTAGCAAGCATAATTCCGCGACGGAGATTTCAACAGATTCTGAATTCGCAGTGGACGATCCGACGCCTACGCGAGAAATTCCGGCAATCGTATTTAACGACCAGCACGTAACGATGCGGAAAGCCTCATTCGGTCTGCCGAAAAAAGTACAGGTGAAATCTGGTATTTTAAATTCGCCAAATAACGGTAAAATTCAAAGTACGGGTATTCGGTTGGAATTTACACCTCTTGTGCCTTCACCAATTATACCAAAAGCAGCACCTTCTTTGCTTGGTAGAACTGAAGGTTACGCCTTAAATCGCACACAAAGCACCGGTGGTATTGCTACTAAAGTTTCGTTGGAGCTTAAGAAAAAGTATTTGTTAGGTGATAGCGAAGTTCCGGGAAGTATTCAGAAATCGGGAAGCGTGTCCACTTTAGACTCAAAATTCAAATCGTTTCATACGAATATTACCGATTGCCAAAAGTTGTTAAAACCCTCATCCGAAAACGTTCAGGCGACTCCCGCTCTTAAATCTCCATTATCTCCCATCATCTCTCAATCGATATCGAACAACGAAAGCCCACAAATACCCGCCCATAACTTCGACAAAACCAGTGAGAAGCAAGACCAAGATAAATTTCAAAATGAAATGGAGAATCGACCGCGAAGTCCCGCAGAAGAAATACCTGTTATCGTGCCTCAGATTGATTGGAAACGAACAAATTCAGAAAAAGGTAAGAGTTAAATGTGCAGGTGTGTGAAGTTAACTGGGAAGGTTTCTGAGTAATGTGATTTGAACTGGAGATTTTAAATTTCAGTTAATGGTGTTTTAGCACCTTGTAGACACAAATTAGGTGTACAACTTTGGTTAAACTGGTCACTACAAATCTAGCGCAACGGAATGTTTTGCACTTAGGACCCAAACGCTTTCGTGGTAACAATTTGCAAATGCAAATGTTCACTCACATATTAATACGGTAACGCTTCGCAATATTGCCGGTTGCTACACGAAAAAGTTCCCCTTTTTTCTTAAATCCGCCACTTTATTATTATAGTTTTCACTTGAAAATCTGATGAAAAACTGCAACTTTCGACAAGAAATCTTTTTGTACAACTCGATTCGAGGTTCCCACTTAGTTAACAATGAAATTATACGCGATCTCAAAAATGGCGCGCATAACTCACATGATTTGCTTTGAAAGCGTGACGAAAAATTTCGTGCTATGCGATCTGTACATTTTTTCGTTTACGTTGCGTAATTTTGCCTTGAAGGTCTGGCTACGAATTCAATACGCGATCGAAAAAAATGTAGCGCTCGACCTACATACAATTTCTTCGAAGGTTGAGTGAGAATGCCGCTTTCCCACCAGGTTTTTACTTACGTATTCGCCGAATCCCAAATACGAAATGGGTCCGTTGTTAAACCACGCGTTCACGTTCTTTTTAGCGCATTTTCCAACGAAGTTGGGTGCGCTATTGTAGCCACTTTCTTTGTCCGTCCATCTGTCCGAGGCCTTAACTACTCCTACAGTTTTCAAGATATTTAGTTCGTTCTTTTTGCATTCGGTAGCGTATCGCTCTGGCACCTGTGTCAAGAAAAATCTTGACGATTGAACTGCGCAATGCCAACTTTCTTATTTATGGAGATATTTCTTTGAAATTTTATCCAAAGATGCTTATAGTAAAAGCAAACGTATTGCGTATTGGAAATATCAGATTAATAAGCGCATGCGCAGGACGTGCAATATTAACTGCGCAGTAAGTGTCAACTTCCTTATTTATGAAGATATTTCTTTAAAATTTTAACCATATATGCTTCTAGTAATGAAAAACATAGCGCACATAGGTATCGTCTTTGGGGAAGTATTGATCAATTTATGGAAAATGCGCTGAAGTTACTCGCCTTAGGGCGAAAACCTTTTTACTTGTTTATACATGCGAAGGTATAACAGAGAGCACTCGATCCTTTCATGCGGTTTTTAGAACCGGCAACACTGCAATGTTTCAACTCTTATCTGCCTGAACATTTCTTTCTTATTTTAACGTGCTCCATTCTATTGCATATTAGAAGAAATCTAGAATTCTGTTGATAGCAACATCTTGTAGCATTCCCGGGTGCATTTTTTATTTTCTTCTTGCCCCCCCCCTCTCCCCTCTTTGAAAGTGCGTGTACCTCAAGGCCCATGTAGTGGAGGTGTCTTTTCATGCGACAATGACCTGTTGTAACATCTGTCATTTGTGCTAAACTTTAGCAGGTCTTTATCTTTTCGAAGGGCAGGCACCTTAAGTAGAGACTTGACTTTAATCTGTCACACTTTTGCAGAGGCTACTCATAGGAGTTGTCTCTGATTATCAGCTGACCAATATTTGCAGTTTTGCTGATTGACGAACCCATTCAGATGGAGGTGGGCTTCATGAGGAGTGCATTGGATTCATTTCATCATCAAGAATCTCGTCAAGAATAACCTGCATTCCTTAAGTAAGTATTTCCCATTGCGCCTAATCTCTTGGGAATATTGAGGTTCGTTAACGATTAACACCTTATCACTGCTAACTATCACGCTGAGATTTTTAAGTGCTCTTTATGGTGCCTCTTTAGAAGTGATGATGGTATGAATTTCGCGCGTAAGATTAGTATTTTTTGCATTAAAGTACGTTCACGTGGGCATGCGCTTTTTTGGTGGTCCTTCCCCCTCAAAACTTTTTTTCCAATTTTTTTTTATTTAACTACAAATTGGATTTTACATAAAAACATTAGAATAATGTTTAATGCACTATTGTGCCAAGGAAAATAATTCTTAAAGTTTTGATGAATTTTCGACGGTACCCAGAACGCCTGCAGAATTAGTTCAGACACGATTAAACGTGAGCCACAATGTGGCTAGGACACCTGGCTTGCACCTGGGCGACCCAGTTTCGTTTGTTTGGTATGAAAAAAATTTTTCCACAAAAATGCGTACGTAGTTGATCATTAGGTTAGTTGTAGGTTTAAGGTTTCCTTAATTTTTGTTTAAAACAAACTTACACAATACACAATACAAAAAAATCTACACAAAATGCGCATGCCCAGATGCCCACGTAAACGTATACTGCATTCATTATAAGAAGGTAGTAGATGGCGCTGTGTTTGAAGATAATCACACACAGGGAAAATATAAAACGGCACACAAATAATTGTAAGGTAGAAATATCAAGCACTGCTTACAAAAATAAATCAAACGATTTCACGGTTGAATCTTTGACATTAACAGCTAATGACAGTTCGACAGTTTAGTTGGCAACAGAATCCACCAGCTTACAAAATTCGTTAGTTGTTTTATTTTTCAGGATAATACTGAGTCGTGTTTTAACCAATAACAGTAAAGCGTCAAAGCTTCTCTATGCTTTCTACCGCTACTTTCTTAAAATGAATAAGAAGCGCTCGTTGAATTTCGTTAGTATTTTTTTGTTATGACATTTTGGGCCTACGATGTACCTATAATTATAGTAGGGGAGCCGAATAGGGGATTTTTGGATGAACTCGAGCGCTCCAAATTGAAGTAAGGTGGTTTGACTACGTGTTGAAAAGTGTGCATTTCAATAATCTGACGATTTAAGCGTGACGTGAGGGAGTGGGAAGGTCACAAGCTTGCCAAAACGAAAAGTTACCTTGACATTCTTGAGCGCGTTGGAATTTTTGTTTCAAATATTAAAATAATATTAAATTATTCAAGAATAATAGGAGTAATATAATCTGCCGATTTCCACACGTCAAAGTGGAACAAATCGTCTATAAAGTTCAGTGTGTTCAGCAGTTGAAAGTGGTCGTGTTGTGGTGGTACATATGGTAACTGATACGCATCATACCACAATTAGCAGTAGAATCAACACGGCGTGATGTGAACAAAATCAACATGGCGCTTTCCCCCATGCGGTGCGAAAAATCATCCCCACCATCGAATAGGGTTTTATAAGCCGAGCTAAGTATAACCCTCGCCAGGAAAGATTGCCAGTCACAGCACACCTTGTGTCAATTTGCACATAACATTGTAAATGTTTTTTTTTAAGATGCGAGCGACTTCCGGAATAGGATCGTGCCAATGTTCAACGTAAAGGCTTTTCGTTCAACAGTGGCACGATCCTATTCCGGCAATCTTTCCTGGCGAGAGGTTTATATAAAGTATATAAAGTGATCACTTTACCCGCAAGGGCAGATAAAGTGAAACAGATGATTATGCATTCTAATAACATCTTTTATTCTTATTAACTTAAAACGACCGCGAGGACAAAATCTAAGCTTGCTATTTTTGACGTCTAAGTTAAATTTAGAATTTTCAGAAGCCTTACAATGATTTATAGGGCTGGCTTCTGGTATAAAATAAAACTTGTATTATATGATTCCTTAGAAGTGATGATCGCTTGCATTTCACGCGTAAGGTTCTAGTTTTTTTTTGCGTTATTAAATTGGTTTGAATTTCATCACTTAAGAAACCAGTGTCCCCATCATGCAAACCGGCAGATTAACATACCTCCAATATCAGAGACACGTGAGGCATAGGTATACACTATCAATATTTGACCCGCTCGAGTATTGTCATGTGGTTATTTTTTTGTACATTATTAGAAAAGTGTAGCCCCCCCCCCCCATGTTTTCTTACGGAAATTACGATCGCGCACATTTAATTGAAAATAATACTATATATCCCTATTTTAAACCTTTTTCAACACTACTCTTAGATTGAAACTTTGCGCCATTTATTCAGTAAGGTGCCAACTATGCGCCGAGTATGTCTAATGGCATTTTCCAGTCGAGAGCATATTATTTGAAAATGATCTGGTTAACTTCACACACCTGAAACATTCACTGAGTCTCCAAGAATTTTCTTTTTTTAGTTAGTGATATGTCTAGCGATAGCCTCACCTCATCTGATAGTGACTTAAATCAACATTCCGGAATAAAGAAATCTCCTACTGTAAAAATTATACCACGCGTCGAAATTCATGACGACGATGGGAAGATAATCGCAAACGAAACGGTAACAAAACCCGAAGGCGTAATACCCGAACCTACTCAGGATTTAAAAGACACCAAAGTAGTAATAAGCGAAAAGAAAATTTTGAATCCTCCGAAAGCCTTACCAAATTTAGAAAATGTTTTATCTGATTTCCACACTGAGCTGCACGAGAGTAAGATCGCAATGGGAAATGAAAGCAGTCGAAGTACGCCGTCGGATCATGAGTCGTTCATTGAGCAAACTGCCGCGGCCATGACTGAAACGGAATTATCCGATTGGGCGCGAGACAGCACGGTTTCGGACGATTTTGAAGACGTTGAGTATGAACTGAATCCCGACTTGATTAATGTAAGAAAAAATAAACCACCCAAGGGTATTCGAAGTTTAAAAAATTCGGTCATTAAGGCGTACATTGACGAATTTGATGATCTAGGTCATGTGTGCCAAAAATCCGAAAATTTAAATAATATTCTGAGTAGTATTGAGTTTATGGACACGGGTGAGGAGACGAGTAGCGACGAAAAATTGTTACTTGACGCTTGCACGAAAAATAACGGTTATGTTGAATTTCATAATGAAGATGATATTGCCGAAGATAGTTTGAATCCTATGTTTAATATTGTAGAGACTGTGAATCCCGCCATAAGACAGGCGTTAGATTTGGAAAACCTGTCGAGTTACGATAATAATACAGGGTACTGTTTCATTGGTAATGAGGATAACTTTGGTAGTGAGGTAATCAGTTTGAAACCGTCCGATTTGCAGAAACTTAAAGAGAAACAAAGTGCGTTCGAAAATGAGGAGGACAGTTTGCTTGTTGTCGATACTGGAACGACAACAGAAGAGAATACTTGTAGTGATTCGACTGTAAAAAATTTCGTTGAGGTTTGTGCAAAAAAAGAAACGCCCCATATGATTGAGGCACTTCTCGAGGAGAAAAGGGTTGAGGATGAAAATCAAAATAATGATGTTGAGAAGCACCAAGATTTAGTGAACGCTGAATATCAAGAACATTGCCAAAGGTTACAGGGAAAGTTCGAATTTGGGAATATGAGGGATTCGATAGAAATAAGGAAATCAAAACGCAAGGAAAAGCCTGTGTCGTCTAAACCGGATTTGATTCAGGAGGAAGTGAGTCAGGTCAATAATGTAGAGTTGATACCTCCGAAAACGCTCCAAGAAATTTATACAAAAGAAGAAATTAAAAAAAGTAGAGATGAAAATCAGAGGTTGGTACAAGAAATGGTTATGAATAAAATGAAAGCACAGAATAAGTCTCTCGAACGAAAGAAACGAAGTCGAAATTCGTTTAGCCCCGGTTCGAGCCCGAACAAATTTTTTGAACTCACCAAATCACCCACTGCGGATGTTTTTTTAAATATGGAACATCAGCAGGTGGAAAATGAACGCTTGCCACCCGATGTTCTGCTGTCGAGCAATGGTTCCGTAATCAACTGCCATTCTGAGCAACAGCAAATCATCGAAGAGCCCCAAAAAATTAGCCCAATCGTCACCTTACCTGATCTTCAACAAAAAATCGTAAACGGCGAGAAATCGGAATTGCGCAAATCGAAAACGCGGTTAAAGTCGAGCGACGAGTTAATTTCGAAGATCGGCAAGGAGAATCGAAGTATTGACGTGCAGGACAGCATCGAAGCCTTGGTAATCAATACGGAAAGACGAAATTCCCTGCTCTACGCTACCGATACCCTAACGAAAAAGCGTAAGAACTCGTTTAAACGATCAAAAAGCGGCGAGGAACCTCTGACGCATAACATCCTGAACACCTCGGAACCGACGCGACTCGCCCTCAGCCTGTGCTCGCCTGAAAACCCGATGCGTAGCACGAAATCCGTTTCAGAAATACTGAAGACTTTCGAAACGGCCGACTTGCGACGAGATCTCAGCTGCGTCGACAAAAAGGCGCAGTTTTACAAATCGGACCCCAATCTGCTGGCGAACGCGGGCAAAGAGAAGAAGACAAAGTGTAAAGATCGAGATAGGCGGAAGAGCATTACGAAATTGATTTCGGAATTTTTCGGGAAGAAACGAGAGGGAGCTAAAGGAACCAATTCGTCCGCATCCAAAGGATTTTTGGCGAAAATATCTCCCAAATCCAAATCAAAGGTAAGTTTCAATTTGTTTGCGAATGATTTTTTTAGCAAAATGGACAAAACTGAGCGACTTTACTTTGTGGCTTTTTCCTTTTTAATGGATTTATTCGTCGTATTTGCCCCTGGAACTTTAACAAAGGTACCTTTTTTAAAAATTGTATTAAAGTCAAACATTGGGATAACTTAGCGCGCTTCCAATGACACTAAACAACCTAATCGGACGAGATTTTGTGCAACCAGTAATTATACTTACTGGCTAGGTTGAAATTCCAAAATTCGGATGCGAAAGGTCAAATCAAAACAACATAACTTAAGATTTTATCACAGTTTAACCCCTAAATCTTATCTCTAAAATAGTTATAATTAAACAATGTCATAGAATACTTTGACTCCATTGATTTGCATGGAAATTTGGATTTAGGTTATTCTCACCCTCCACTTCAAAATTGGACTTGTGCCGTTGGTTGCTTTTTATTTTTTAAGGGTGGAAACTACCCCTATTAATAATATAATTGTAAATTCAAGCAATTTTGGATTATTTAATTATACAGTAACATTAAATTTAGATTTCTTTGCTATTTTTATTTTTTACCACATAATTTCTACCCTTATAAAAACCAACCCTTGCGAAGAAATTCGAATAGTTGTAGTAATTTTTTTTCTTCATTGATACTATATATACAGTAATTTTTTTATTAAAATTTTACGAATTTATTTTATTTCAATTAAAAAAACAACCCTTATTATTTGAAATATACGTCCTAGATCTCTAGATTTTCAATAACAAATAGAAAAAAATAAAATTTATTTTTACATGAATGTTAATTTTTTATTTATATATACAGGGTGATTCCTATAGTACCTGCCACCGTTTGGGAGCGTGTAGGTGGTGCGTAGGGGAGTATTTTGATATAGGACACTTGGGGTCGGAAATCTAAAATAAGGGTGCCAGAGCCAAATTTACCTTCTGGAATTTCGCGCCTGTAGGTAGGCAACCCAACCGGCCGGCGGTGCACACGGAGCGATCTCAGGCGGCGATGTGTGGTTGACACTTGATCAGAATTTTGTTTAAACCCACGAAATCCCGTCTGCAACGACGCGTATCAAGTGAATAAACACTATGGCACGTTTTACTAACACGGAATACGCGGACATGCACTTCATGTACGGATTGGCAAATGGTAACGCACGAGCTGCACGACGAGCGTACGCTGAGCGGTATCCAAACCGTCAGTTACCCTGCAGACAGGTCTTTCAAGAAGTTCACTTCCGACTGTGCGAGACAGGGCAATTGCAGGTAAGCTGACGGAGGCTTAACTTTACACACAGATTCGTGATGCACATCGATACTTGGGTCATTTAAGCACCCATTTCGAAAAGTTTGTTTGTTTACACCGACCTCCTCCTATTTCGCAGCCCACTAGCGCCCGTGATCGCGATCGCCCGTTGGTAAATGCCTTAGAGGAGGATGTGTTGGAACGTTTCGAGGCAAACCCGCGTACTAGCACTCGACTTGTAGCAGATCAGGTGGGTTGTAGTCAACACACAGTGTGGAACATCGCCAACAAAAACAACTTACACCCCTATAAGTTTAAGAAAGTGCAAGAGTTACGGCCGGGTGACCATGAAAGGAGGCTGGAATTCTGCAACTTAGTCGTCCAGGAGGAAGAAGCTAATCCGAACTTTCTGAGGTCGGTTGGGTTGCCTACATACAGGCGTGAAATTCCAGAAGATAAATTTGGTTCTGGCGCCCTTATTTTGGATTTCCGACCCCAAGTGTCCTATATGAAAAGACTTCCCCTAGGCACCCCCTATACGCTCCCAAACGGTGGCAGGTACTATAGGAATCACCCTGTATATCTAATAAAAAAAAATACACGAGGAAACCGAAAATATGATTTGTGTAAATAGGCACATTATTCAAATTAATTTTTTTTAAACCCTTATTTTTGAAAGGATTGTAGTTGAAAGGGGTCGAATGAGTCACTAATGACGAGTGTATGCAAACTTTGAACAGCCAAATCTTAACCAATTTTTGTTTTACAGAAGAACAAAAAAAAAGCAAAACGTTCAGAAAAGCAAAAGCTACATTTTTTTTATTCTTGTAAATTTTTCGTATCATTAATACTTTTGAAGTTATTTTGAAAAAAAAGGTAATTTTTCAAAATTTCAAAATTTTTTTTTATTCAAAACTACATTTTTTTAAAAATAAGCACTTTGCACCGGTCAAACTTACAGATCATATAAACAATACATAAATAAAGTAAACTGTAAAGCGGTAACGGTTAATTACAATTGGGGTGCTAATTAGGGGGTGATTTCCTTGATTTTTTTGTATCAAAACTTTATTTTGAGCGTAACTCACTTGGTTTTGATGCTGGGAACTTTTCTAAAAAAACAAAAAGAAAGGTTTTTTCAAACACTTTAAAAAAGTATTCATAACTTTTCCCGAAAAGTGCTTCATTTTTTGGTTATTTCACGTTAAAGTATTCGATTTGGAATTTGACGAATGAGAACCTACTTTTCATGAGCTACAACTTTTACTGGGTCTACAGCCTTTATATATAGACCATTTTGTTTGTTTTTTTATAAGCTATGTTTTTGCTAAGAATTTGCGAAAAGCCGTCTGAAAACATGGTTTTTTTGTTGAAAAATGAACATTTTCACTCACAAACAACTCGAATACTATTGACTTAGTGAAAAAACTCTATAGAACAAAAGTTGCTTACAATTACTCAATTTATCAATTTCCGGACTTATTTTGAACGTATCTAACCCCCTCCCCCCCGAGAAGGGGTGGCATTCACCCCCCAAGTAAAAGCAACCCTGGTCGATACCTGCACTGCGACGTTTTGGTCTATTGTGTTTCTCGGTATTGTCTGTCTTCAAGAATACCTGTATCGTTAACAAAATCTAGGATTTTAATAGGGTGAACGTTACTTCCTCTATACTTGGATATGACTCATAAATGTACAGGGTGGCCAAATAAGAATGCGAGGTACGGTATCTGGGAACCTGTCCATCGTAGAGGCTTGCGGTAAAAAAATTTATTACTAAAACGGCCACGAGATAAACCTGGAAAATATTTTTAAGTTTCTGCGATGGCCGCTAGGGGGCGTAACTGCAATCTAGAATCTAAAAAAGTGATTTTTCTGTGAATTCAGCTATATTAACCTAACAAAAAAATGTCCGGTCTTTGAAGTTGACGATGATCTGAACCTTTTTTGTTTGACAATTTTTCTTGTATCTCTAAAAATGAAGTGGTGGGGGGTATTCAAAGGTTTCCGTAAAGAACACCCTGTATCTTCGAAACAACTGAGCCCTTTTTAACAAACTCGTGTTAATTGAAAAGAGTTATTCTTCGGCTACAAATATTATAACATTTGAAGTTTTGTTAGTTTCACATATCGCCGCTTGAGGGCTTTTTTCGACATTCTGATAGAAATGGGTAATTTTCTCAAAAAAATTAAATGCGTTGGTTTGATTTTTTTTTTCATGAAAAAGTAGCTGAATGATGCCTAAACAATCTCGCGAAAACCTCATCTCGCTATCTTGTTCCTAACATAAAATTTAAGCCAAAGAAAATTTTATGCCCTGAAAATTTTATTTTTTTAAGCTAATTTTTTCGGAATTATTTTTATTATATAATTTGTGGCCCTATGGTGGATCGATTTAAAAAAGGAAACTTTTAATGCCGCCGTAAATGCTCGAAATGCTGGCCATCACGACATAAAAAAATATATATATCTCAAGATATCGAGATGCTGTTTTCGCGAGCTTGTTTAGGCATCATTTAGCTATTTTTTCATGAAAAAAATGGAACCGATGCATTTAATTTTTTTGAAAAAATTAACCATTTCTGTCAGAATGTCGAAAAAAGCCCTCAAGCGGTGATTGTAAAACTAACAAAACTTCAAATAGTATAATATTTGTAGCCGAAGAATAGCTCTTTTGAACTAACCTGATTTTGTTTAAATCGGCTGAACCGTTTCGAAGATAGAGGGTGTTCTTTATGGAAACCTTTGAATACCCCCCACCACTTCATTTTTAAAGATACAGGAAAAATTGTCGAACAAAAATTGTTCAAATTATCGTCAACTTCAAAGACCGGACATTTTTTTTTAGGTTAATATAGCGAAATTCACAGAAACATCACTTTTTTAGATTTCAGATTGCAGTTATGCCCCCTAGCGGCCATTTCAGACACTTAATAATATTTTCCAGGTTTTGCTCGTGGCCGTTTTAGTAATAAATTTTTTTACCGCAAGTTTCTACGATGGATAGATTCTCAGATACAGTACCCCGCATTCTTAGGTGGCCACCCTGTACATCGTAATAATAAGCCTACTGTTTACTATGTCTCTTACAGTCGTACGCCCATTACAAGTTGTTAGAAAAGGATGACAATTCTCAACTTAAGTCTGTTGTATAGTTCATATTACCGGTCTACAGCATACGTTTCGCCTTAGCGTTTTGTCTGTCAGATTTTGCCAATTAAAATAAGGAGAGGTGGAGACATCTGCCAGTGCACATTATAACAAAACGCCGATTAATTGTGAACTGTCTCGTCTGAGTATCAAACCACTTGATTTTAAAAAAGTCATATCCAAATAGTGGTTCATAGTAAGCGTTGATGCCACACATGCGTCTTTTAGTAAGCTAGTATCAATGACACATTTGTGTTTAGCGTTGATGCACGGATTACTATTATAATTAACACAGTAAGGAAGCCAGTTCGTCCATTTTGCAATTTAAATTTTAAGGTTCCCACAGTAAATCTAATAAATGAATTATCTTTCAGTCCATGATTTTACTGAATGGAATATCTGCTGTAAGAATATTTCTCTTTTGATTATTGTGGTGTTTTTATGCATGTTATGTTTGTGATGGGTTTTTTTGTTATGCATGTTATTGTTAGGTCAAAACACAATTCTGCCAATAGTCAATAAAAGGTCAACAGTAGATCAGTAGGATTGTGGCGATATCACTTTAGTTACACATTTTGTTATCATGCATGCTGTATTTGGTTCACAATTACATTTTCAACCTCTGTTCTATGAGAACAAAAATGCAAATATGAAATGCATAACCACAGCAATAATGAGTGTTGTAGAATTTTATTATGTTTCATTCTGCAAAGTTAGCGAGTGTGTTAGTATTTTTATTTAAGAGTCTTCTGTACCCACTGCATCCAATGTAAATTTCCATAAGAGCGCCCGCCATAAAAACTCAAGTTGTTTTTCCAAAAAAAATTGTTTTAAACAACTATTTTATAAATTTAGACCTTTATCTACAAAATGTTCGGACTATTGTTTTTAAAAAGTGTATAGCAACTGAATATCGATTGTTTAAAGATTTGCTGTTTTGCGCCGATTATTGCGCTAATCTGTTTCATTTTTTTACTCGCGATCAAGACGATTTATGGAAAAAGTAAACCGACAGTTTTTTAGATAAGTTCCTTCTAAGCATTACCCCAAAAAATGAAATCATATTTTTTGTAAATGAAGTCTGTATCTTGGCGGGCGGTAAATAAACAATTTCAGTGTAACAAGTGGCGCCGCTGCTCAGTGTCGGCGGGAACTAACTAAGGACCAAGACAGGAGTGGACAAAGCAAAAATATCATCTTGTCTCTTGCAACTATAATCATCTATATACTATAATGTAAAAAAGTTGCGCTTGGGTAAAGAAGACTCTTAATAGAAGAGTGTTTAATCTACCAGACTTTAATAGTACAGTAATAGTGGTTGAATCCATATCAAAAGATCTGGTACATTGATGCTTGGTATGCGATTTTTTCTGTTTCGATTTTATGTTTTCTTCTGAGAACTTGTAAAGTTTCAATTTTCATGCTCTAGGACAAGATACCCGCCGTTAATTTACCGAGAAGAAACAGCTTTGGCGAAGCTCAAATCCGACAGAGAGAGGCCGTATCGCCGCCGCCCATTCCACCGTTACCAACAAATTACACTGGATCGGCGCCATCTCGTTACACAGGTTAACTTTGGTTTTTTTTTTAGTGAAAGAAACATAAAATAACTTTCGGTTAGCAGATGAGAGCTCTGAGGGCGACAACGATTACAAACATCACGATCAGAACTCCTGTGATACTTTGAATCATTCCGGAACGCACGGAGGGCGTCGAACCAGCCGAAGCATGCGTAGAGCCTCTAGACAGTCGCAGCTTAAAAGGTAACGCACATTATTTATTTTAGCAATCTCACCCGCAGTTTTCACAGGCACCGTATGGCGCAAGAAATACAACGAAAGCTCGAAGAGACTGAGGTCAAAACCAGGGAACTTGAACAGAAAGGCGTGTGCGTCGAAAAGGCTTTGCGAGGCGAAGATTCGGGAATCGGCGCGTTTAATACGTTAGACGAAGCAGACTTGCTCAAGCAGTGGTTTGACCTCATGCGGGATTTGACTGAGTTAAGGCGTTATGAGCGAGAGTTAATGGTGCGCGCGCAAGAGGTCGAATTGGAGGATCGTCATGCTAGGTTACAGCAAGAGCTGAGAGAAAGATTAGATAATGGTGCGATTTACTACGATTAATGTATTATTTATCAACGCACTTTGTTTTTAGATGAACACAAATCGAAAGAGGACATCAAAATCGAGAGCGGGATTATAAATGAAATGATGGAAATTGTTTCGAAGCGGGATTCTCTCATTGCTCTTCTAGAACAAGACCGTTTAAGGTTCAGGTTCATTCGTAGTCAATCTGCATCTCCGCTTTTAACTTTTGTATCGAACCTAAACAGTTCGACTCATTCTAACTTTCCCTTTATGTTTCTATTAGGAGTGATTGTCATTGGTTGTGGTGTATTATTTAAATTGTCGCTTAGCCGCATGTGGAACTAGTTTGTTTTAAAGTAGATGGTTTTTAATCGTATTACTTGTTATTTATGCACTAATTTAGCTTTTGCAACATTTAAAACAATTTCCAATCACACATTTATTAGAATTGCAACCGCATATGCAAGGCATGGTCACATTTGACACTTTAATTAGGTAAGAAAGACATAATTGCATGTTAGATAGATTTATATAGCCAATTCTTTTAGTTGAGATCCGGTAAAGAATTTACAAGTTTACACTGTTCATGCGTGGTTATGGTAATGATAAAATTTCTATGCTCATGCCAAGTAGGGGGTTCTGCGATATCGGAAAAAGATGGGCCGATGTCAAACTTCAAGCTTTTTAAGAGCTCGACTTAATCGGAGGTTGTTATCTGTAACCCATTCAACAAATGATGGATACTTATCCAAATAGTCAGAAAATTTAATTTTGTACCTTGGAATGAGAGGTCAAGCGGCGCAATCTGTTATCACGTTGATATTTTCCTTGCACGACCTTGCCGGTGTCAATCATGGATTTTTGTATACCATTAGAAAACTAAAATCGATTAATCGGTAATTATCGGACCTAAAACTTAATAAGATTGATTCTAATCCACGTTTAAAAACTCAAAACCTTTCCCATAAAATTTGTTTTTTGACTTCTTAAACGTGGATTATCATTGCACCCCATTTCGAGTTATATAAAGAGAAAATGGATACCCAACGAAGATTGATTCTGTCTTCTTCCCTGACTTTCGGCGGCTGTAGCAACAATTTCAATATTCCTACTGGAACGGTTGCAAAACGGATAAATCACTACGAAACTTACATGCGTTATCGGCTGTAAGACAAACAATGACATGAAAGCACACAAAACTTACTCCTCGTCTGCTAGAGTAAATAAGTAAATTCAGAAATTTCTTAGTAACGAAGCGCCCAACTTAAAACGCTTCTAAATACCGGGTGTTCAGCAAAGCTGGACGACTCCACAAATATACAGTGTGGTCATAACTTCGGGTACGAACTTCAAGGCGGAAACTGGGTGCTTTGTTATAAACTAAATTAACAAAGACAAAAATGCAGAAGAAAAACCACAAAACATTTCAAATTGTGCAACAATAAAAATCAGGTCACGAATTTCAAGATTCTAGGAACATCATATTTTTTCCAAAAACATCAACGTGCATTGTTCCAGACGGTTGTTGAACGTTCGCCTTACTTATGCACCGATCTTCCAGTTTGCGTTCTGGTAAATATTGAACCACAGGCTTTTTACTGAAGACGCATTCCTTTTGGATCTCTCCATGAATTTTAAAACACAGCAGGTGCCGTTCACCACCCATTTTGTTGACCCTCAAATTTTGAAGCAGCTGTTACAAAACTATTATTTTCAAAATATTTTGTTGGTATGCATTTTGACATCAGACATGCATCAATGGCTTGTTGCCACATATCTAAACACTTTCCTCTGCCAAAACCTTTCTCGTAAACATGTTGATTAGAGTGTTGTTTGCAAATTCTGCATATATTTTCGATCGGATTAAAAATGCAATGGTAGGGAGGCAACCGTAATACAGGATGTCCATTTTCTACTACCATTTTATCAGCAGCATACCGTTTGGAAGGTTTGTTTCTGAAACAACAACAGTTGACATACACGCCTATCTCCATTCAACCATTCCACGTGTGTTTTAACTTACTGCGTGTCACCGTCAACATCGCTAACGGGTTTCTTACATTACCTTATTTTTTTCCGACTTTCTAGAGGTTGGCCGGATTTAGAAATTTGTGAAATAGAAGTCACTATTTGTAGGCTATTATTTAAGGCATCCGCAACTTTTTGTGAAATGAAACTTGTTGCGTATACAAATTCTTATAATGCTAAAGTTACCACTAACCTCTCTTACTGCTGCGACCAGTGGACCATCATTATCTCTTTCTCGTTCAAAATAACAAATAAGAAGTTGTGTACTTTTTCTTGGTAATTATGAATTATGAAATTAACGGATTTTTTATCAACTTCTCCTCGAAGAAACCAACGTAGTCCGATGTGATGTGCATATTGGTGCTTATGCTGCAGAGTATCTATTAGGCGATCATTACTTTTGTCAATGACCGTACATAGCAAATCTTTTGTAAAATATAGTAATATAGCCGCTTCAGACCAGCCTTTTCAGCTCATTAGTCTACTTGGTATTATACATGGGGATTTAACATGGGAAATTAGTTTTATGCAATATCCTACCATCCTGTACATTTTACAGAAAAAACTGTTTAAAGTTTAAAGTTGTTCATAATTAAAAGGTAGGTACATACAATTTTTTTTTTATTTTTTAAGTTTTTGGCATACCCGCAAATTTAAAAATAAATTTCAACATTTTTGCTATTATACTTTGTTTCAAGGGTGCTGAACCTTTCGTCACACTATCTGACGTCATAGCAAAATTAAGGCAGGTCGTAAATTAGTGGTTGGTTTACATATTGTCACATTGACGTTTCAACTTATTTATTAAGGTGTCACTATCGTTCATCATTATTAGACCGCCCAAGTTGACAATCACTTGTAAGGCATCTGGTTCTGATAGGTTTTTTCCTGTTCTTAGGTTTTATAATGGCTAAATGGTCATGTATTTTATGTAGAGGAAGTCCGTTGGTATGAATTAAACCTTTTCAACCGTTTGTAATCACCTCATGTAACCGATTCTTTGCACATCCAAATGGATACTGCCAGAGCATCCGAAACTCTTTGAGATGAAGTGTATGATGGTTACAGAAAACGCATAGGAACATTTGTGACTTAAAGTTTGTTTAGGCAGTTCGTAAATTAATATTTTGTTTACATAATGTTGATGTGAAATTAAGTATGCTACCAATGTGAAGAATACGCGTTAAGTTGCGCGAATTTTAATGACCCTTAACTAGCCATTTGCAGAAGTAGAATAGGCCATGGTTTATCGGTAAGCCTTTTGCATTTATACATCTTACAAATTTGAGATAAAGCGTAGTCATTATACCACTGGCTCATTGAAATAACAACGCATACATACAGTTTCTGTTTCTTTTGCCACACAGTCGAGATATTCGCATAAGGATCTTGAATATCTTCTGATCCGATTTATTTAAAAAAAAACGCAATTGTGAAAGAAAACAGGTAGTGAAGAAAAAACTCTCAAATGTTCATATTCAAATCGTATGTACAAAAGACAAAAAGCGACACTACACCACAAATCCATCTTCTGATCCTGCATGGAGTATTAGGTATATACCGGACCCCTTCACTACTTCTTTTTCTAACTGTTTTGAGAGTACCATCTTGCCAGCTTCTTCTAAAAGACCCTTTACTGTATATCCAGGTTTCGTCTAAAACCACAGGTCGTAATGGAAAGAGTGAAGTTTCGGTGTGTTTAAAGTCTCTCAAAAATTGTAGTCTTCATTGAACTGCATAGGGCTGTTCCATTAAAAATAATCTATTGGAGACGGTGCATCTCCGCCACGTGAATTTCAGTTTCTTCAAACTGCGGGACAAAGAGGTACCAGATATTTCTACGCCATCAAGTCGTTGAAGATTACTGTGTAAGGAACGGAGTGTAACATTCTCACCTATAAAATCAATTCAATACCTAAGTGTTCTGGCGAACATCTTCATTCTGTGTATCGGTTCGTCATATTTACCTAATGGTAACGGGAATGACCTAAATTCATGATATGAGCGAATCGAACCATTATGTGGTAAAATTTTTAAAATACTTGTCTATTAACGGCGTTGCTGCACTGTCGACTTGCCTAAGCGTTTTTAACTTTGATGATATTTACTTCACTTTTAACACAAACTAACCTAATCAACACTGGAAATCTGTCTATAACGAAAATCGTTTGACGGATTGATATTATGACAGATCAATTGGTTTATTTGTCACGACTTACGTTAATGATGTAATTTTTTTGTCTCAATCGATTTAAATGTAATGAAGAGAGAATCACATTTATGACGTCAGGTTCAGCACCAGTGAAACAAAGTATAGTAGCATTTTTCATAAAACAACAAGTCATGGCTATTGCTACTAATAACAGAAATGTTGAAATTTATTTTTAAATTTACGGGTATGCCAAAAGCTTAATAAAACATGTAAAAACCGCTTTGTATGCACATTTTAATTCTGAAGAACTTTAAACTCTACAGTTTTTTCTGTAAAATGTACCAGGAGCGCAGGATATTGCATAAAACTAATTTCCCATGTTATGTTCCTACTCACCATGCACCACCCGGTATAAATTCTTAAGACCAGACTGTGATAAGACACTACTGTCTTTCGGTAGATACCAACATAGTCTTTTGAGTATCTCTAAATTGATACTCCAGCTAAGCAGTAACTGTACTTAAAAAATATAAATTAAGTCAATTAAAAAAATCGAAAACAATTTGTAGCACTTACATACTTATACCTCTTACATAGTGGGATGGTCTAATTGACCATGAATAGCATTTAAAGCAATGTAAGCTTGAAAATTCTTTTGAATGCGGGCCGGACACTTTCTACAAGCTGTTACAACTTTTCAGATATTCTGAAGAAGACCGCGACTTTGAAGAGCAAATGCTAGCGAAAGGTTTAAGGCTGACACCCCTTCAAAAGCAGCCGGTAACAGAAGTGATAGATAAAATATGTTAGCTTTATTAATTTTACCATTATTATTATACTTATGTCCATTATAAAAATAAGTTTTTACACTTTGCCATTTTGGTACTAATATTACATCCTTACGTTCGTTACTCTTATTGTACAGGATGTTTTAATGATGTAATATAATTTAAAAAAACTATAAAAGCTTGATACCAAGATTTCTGTTGAGGTCACATTATTATTGTACCTATCTGAAAATAATATAAACAATGTAGATTAGACATGTATAGCAAAAATTACCAAAATTATTATTAATATAATTTAATTTTACAATGTAATCAAGTACAGTAAACAATTTATTTCGGCTGGTCGAACTTATTTAATTTGACTAACTATAGGCTTACCCCTAGTCACATAGTTAGGTGATACCACATGAGACTGGATGGGTTGCACATTTTTTGCGATAATTCAAGGAAAATTTAATACGAGATGGCGTCATTAAAAATGTGCAATTTGTCGCCTGCATCGTGGTGACTGTATTTTTTTGTCATTTATCGCTATTTATTGTTTTTAAATATATCTATTTTTAAGTGACAAGAAAATTTGTGATTCATGAATGTATTTTTTGATAAGTGAATTGTAAGTAATGTACAGAAACGTTTATTTTGTGAATGCAATTATTTAAGTGTTGTTTTTGTGTGAATTTAATAAAAAGGCTTTTATATATTATTACTATTCTACTGGGAGGTGGCATAGAGGAAACATTCCTTTATGGAGGTGGTGACCAAAATGGGTCCCAGTCACGAACTTATAAATTAAGATGGACTGCTGATCAAACAGTTGCATAGAGGTAGAAATGGCCCTAGCATGGGCGCGGCCATGATGTGCACGTTTTAGTTATTTTCTAGGGGAATTTTCCTAGTGCTCAAGTTTTGAGACTATTGCAGCCTTGGAAAATGGCATGTGTCACAGTAATTTATTTAGAAAAGGTGAGGTTAATGCTTGTTTATTAGTTGATTTGAATTTCGCGCCAAGTGAGTGCACATCATGGTTGCCCCCATGTAGGTGTCATTTGTCAATTCAGCATTAGCAGTCTATCTTAATTTATAAGTTCGTGGTCCCAGTACAGCAACAGGTAGGATGTCTAATTTATTTCAAAAAGCTTCTCCAGAACATGTACCAGGATATTTATGAATTCTTGTTGTACGGTGTCAGGTAGTTTTTTTTCGATCAAGTAACAAGAGCACCCAAAATGACCACCAAGCACGGATGTGCTGAAACTCGTATGTGGTAGATAATGCCACTAAAAAAAAGTGTAAAAATGCATTGTTTAAGAATAGGTCATACCTCATACCTTTGTTTATTCATCTCGTACGTAAATAATACACCAACATATTCTTAAAGGTGAAATTGCCTGACAGTGCGAACAATTTAGGACTAATGTAACCATACATTATGAATGCCTCATATGTAGGCTTACCATAATTTTGAGGCACTAAACCGGGACAGAGTCACTAGTAAACACAAAAAATAACAAGTTCAAAAAGTGATTATAAACGATTTACAAAAAACATTGATAGTCTTTTCCCAAAAAATTAGTTACTTCAAGCAAATTCGATTTCAGCAATTTAACCAAAAAATCCGTCCACAAGAAAGTAGCACTGCACATGTACCTACATACAACCTATTCTTTGACTTGAGGTCGAGGGAGGAGGGCTTTCATTACAGTATAGGTACCATGAAGGATAAAACTAGTTCCACTCCCCCTACACCCCGTACTTTGATAAGAGGACAAAAAGAAGGGCAATAGTTGATAGAAAACGGTTCCTTTCGTTGAGACCTTAATTAGAATACAATGAGAGATAAAATTAATTTTTAACCCCCCCCCTCAGGCCCCGTCGCTCTCTGATCTCGAAAAAGAGTTGCACAGGAAAGTTATAGTTTGTAGAAACCAATTTATTTCCACGAGACCTTTCATTAGAATACCATGAACGGTAGAACATGTGTTTACCCCCCCCCCCTTTTTTTTTTCTAAAGATTAACTTGGCACCATTAAAGGCATGCGTATGCAAAATCATGTAAAAGTTATTCACGTTTTACTTTCAAAAACAGCATCTCGGGAAAAAATTTGTGGGGTGGTTCCCTTTTAGACAGCGAAATTTAATGGTCGTCTGGCACACCTTCAATAAGGTATAGGCTACCTACTGCAAAAAATTCTAGGACTCTAGGACCATTCCCCTAGAAGTAGTTCAAAACGGTAGAAGTGGGTCCGGACGGATGGACAAAACGCAAACAATAGCACGCATTTTTTTTAATTCGTAAAAAATGCGCTAAAAATTGGATTGCGCAAATACAAAATTTATGTTGCGCATCCACAATATGTACCTACTAACACAGAAAACCCGGATATTCATATGTTCTTTGCAACAAAAATGATACAAGACCCCATTTTTTGGAGATTTGGCCAGTTTTGGGTTGTAACTTTTTGGCCCGTTAGTCTAGCTGAAAAACAATAGCGACCTTTGTTATAACCTTCAGAACATGCGTACCAATTTTTGAAAGCGATCCGACGTTTTTGCCCAAAGTTATCGTGCACACGGACAGACGGGTGGGCAGACAGATGGTCTAACAGACAATACAAAATTGTGTCTCGGGGATCGTTAATAAACGGCAAAAGTGTAAAATTATGGAACTTGTAAAAATAGTTTTTAGTTTTTTTACAATAACTTTTTTAGCAATAAACGTAGAAAAAATTCCTTCCTTGGTGCAAGCCTCGACATCATAACGAACCAAATAGCGAAAAAAGTAGAATAATAAATTGCTCTAAAGAACTAGTAGCGTCCAGACGGATGGACAAAGTGGCCACACTAGCGACTTTTGGAAATGCGCTAAAAATTGTAGGTAAAAAAATGTTTCATTCAAACAACCACGCATTTATACTCATTTATGACACCAATTGTACTTTGCGCTGGAGTGCAGAGTGTACTTTTGTTAACAAATAATTACGTTTCTTAATTTTTTCATAAAAATCGCCACAATGTAACACGGTCATTGAAAGGTGCCAAGGGGAAATATTTCCGCTATCAGTTATCTGACTCGCGCGACTGCAACGCAGCCCCCGTAACAGCTTGTTGTCTTATACTCTTGTCCCTTTTTAATACACTTTTCGGCAGCAGTGCATTATTCAAATTCAAACGCAGACCAATCAGGACCTAAATGGCAAACCGGCCATGACATATAGATGTAAAACGGGGACAATCCAGATCAAACCGGGACATATGGTAAGTCTATATGTATGGACTACATAAGTCTAAATCATGAGTATTATTGGACACTTCTGTGATATACAAGCACAAAAAATACCCTCAAGCAGTAGTTGTATACGTACAGATTTAATGTGAATATCGGATTGAGACACCACTACTGTGTACTCTCTCTATATGTGATTTGAGGGCGCCCTAATTGGTGTAATATGCCATAGCAGTTAATGCCTTCAAACAAAAAATAAATGAATGCTTGCATTGAACAAATCTATACTGGCTTTTGTTTCTTTATTTTTTTGTACTTTGTGGACTGCAGTAGCATATTTAGTAGTCTTCCATTTGAGGGATTCAAAAGATGAGTTTCATAGGGAGGGCGATTAATATGGTGATAGTAAACAACGAAATGTTAACTATAATTTAATATATGGAATGATTACATTCAAATGTACTTTGCACATAGTCATTATATACTTATTAGTTATTAGCATGGGGATTTCACTAGCAATTTGAGTATTCATAGTAACAATAGAAATATTACCTTCCTAGAATCAAATAAAATTCATGTAGATAATTATTCATAAAACTGAAAAAATCAAAGCTTTGCAGGTGTGTACTGTTTGAGTTAGAAAATGTTCCATGCCATCACCCATATATACTTGTTTAGGGTGACCATATGTACGGAATTTTGCTGTATTGTACGGAATTTTGACAATCTGTACAGCGTCGAGTGATGTACAGCCAAATGTACAGCATTATATCGTTCAATGTAAAATAAGGAGTATGCATATTGCTCCGTTTATTAAATTTGCAACTCGGCTTTGCCATTCCGGGCTTCCGCACAGTGTGGAAGGCAATCGATTCGCGCGACTCGGCAGTCGTCACTCGGTAAGTTCTCACCGTACCTCACCCACCTAGGTCCTAGAGCATGTGATGCGTTATAATGCTGCGCCAGTGATTTTTCGAAAAACGTGTTTTCGTTGAGGTTGAGACCAACTAGAGTCTAGAGTCTAGACTAGTCTTGTGTACTCCTCTACTGGTGTAACTTAGGACAGTCTGGCGAGGACTTTTTGTCAAAAATTAAAGATAATCAAGCGTTATTGAAAAAAGTTCATTCAACTGAGAAATATCTTTAAAAATAAATGGCATCATAAAAAAAACTGTTTTATTATTTGCTGTACAGCATTCATGCTTAAAATATATGGTCACCCTATACTTGTTCCTGGGGGATTGAAATTTTATGTGGCATTTATAGATTGATTACCTACCATAAACTATTGGAGACCCCAAAGCCCTACCTCAGTTCGTGCCTACCTCTAACCAATTCAGTTATGTAAGATCTACTTCATCGATATATTCAAACAGCAAATGAAAAACCATAATGCAAATAATACTTTATTGTACAATGACCACACGATGAACTTTTAAATGACTGACTAAATTCGATTTCCGTTTTGTAGTATAATGGCAGTGATAACAATTGAATTCTTCGAAACCATGAATCCATTTCACATGAGAGTTTAAATATGCTCTACATTTGGCGACGTAATTACACTGTTCACAATTAAATTGTTGTAAGCAGTGATTTCTCCGCACATGCTGAATTAAATTTGTTCTCCGATTTGTGGTGTAGGTGCATTCTTGACAATTAAATTCTTTTGGACCATGAGCGTCCTTTTCGTGTGCTTTAAAATACGCTTTACATTTTGTGGTATAAGTGCACCGTTCACAATTAAATGTTTCGAGACCATGACGTGCCTTCGTATGTTCGATTAAACTTGATTTCAATTTTGCACGGTATCTGCACTGTTGACAACTAAATTCTTCCAAGCTGTGGTGTCTTCTCACGTGTTTAATTAGATTTGGTTTCCGTTTTGTTGCGTAGTTGCATTGATCACAATGAAATTTGTCCGAGCCGTGATACCATTTTTTATGAGCGGTAAAGTATGATTTACATTTTGTGGTATAATTACACCACTGGCAGTAAAATTCCTCTAAACTGTGATACCTATTCATGTGTTGCGTTAAGTTTGATTTACGTTTGGTGGTGTAGTCGCATTGTACACAAAGTAGTTGTTCTGTACCGTGAAGCCCTTTCAGATGTGCGACCATATCCGATTTCCTTTTTGTACTGTAGCTGCAGTGGTGACAATTGAAATTTTGTAAACCGTGGTGCACTCTCACATGATCGTTTAAATACACTTTATATTTTGTAAAGTAGTCACATTTTTGACAATTAAATTGTTCGGAGCCGTGTACTCGTTTTTTGTGCTTGATCATATCCGATTTCCGCTTTGTGGAATAGTCGCACTGTTGACAATTTAATTTTTCCAAACCGTGACACCCTTTTACGTGTTCAGTTAGGCGTGGTTTTAATTTGGTTTTGTATTTGCAGAGATGACACTTAAATTCCTCCAAACCGTGACGTCCTCTAACGTGGCGGGTTAAATTTGATTTACGTCTAGCCTTATAGTTACAGTGGTAGCAAATGTATTCTTGTGAAAACTGTTTCTTATTACCAAGCATGCAAGTTAATGAGGCCTTCATGCCATGTACGTCTAGTATTTGCATTGTACAAGCTGCGGGCAGTTGCCGATAGTTTAAAAATGGACAAACTTCATCAGTAGTAGTATCATTAGATTCCTGTTTCAATTTTATAGAACAGTAATTATATTCTTGCTTTATAGGAAGGTCTTCAACAGCAGAGCAACTTTCGTTCTTTGGTTCAACCTTAATTTCTACATGCTCAGTACAAGGAAAATTTGTGGTTACTTCCTCCGGTAGTTCATTCTTAATAACTTGCAACATGGCCAAAATCACGTATAGAGGTATTTAATTACTTAAATTGTGTCCCCTGTTGTTCATGAATCTCTTCAAAACCGACATAACCTCAACATCAATAACAAAAACACAAATCAAACCCGTGTGGGCATGCGTAATACAAACTGTAAAATGGGACGGATTAGACTGGTTTGTTAATTTTTAGTAGAGACCGCACTCAGGGCGTCGGCAGTCGGCACTATATACCTACCGTTCACGTTTGCTTCAAATTCGGAGTATCTATGAACATTTTGACATTTTAGTTCGCATAGTCATTAATAAATATATTTTAGGCTATAAATGAAGACAACCATGAGACTACCGCGCACTGCTGTCAGCTTGCTACATTTTTACCACCCACACGTTAGGTATTACCATTTCATACAAAGGTATTACACTGGGGCCAAAAATGACCCCTAATCAAACAAAATCTCGAATATGTCTGTCGGTTCGTCTGTATTATCATTTCCGGTTAAATGGCTGGTTCAATTAGAATCAAGTTTGTTACACATATTCTTAGACATAAAAAGGCAGAATCGCGCATGCGCAGGTGTTATCTGTCCTAGCCATAGCAAATTTTTAAATATACATGTGAAAGATTCTACCCTGTATATACAACTTACGACGATACATACATTTTTGAGAGTTGGCAACCATGCAATTTCTAAGTGAGAAAAAGCTATCTGCGCCATCTAAAAAGCAGTAATGTGGGTTACGTTGGGCATGGCAGTCGTGAACGCATCGATCCATAAATGTTTGTTGTTATTTTGTATTATTTAATGCAGATAGTAATTTTTGCATTTCTTTATATCGTATGCCGTATTTTATATTTTTTGTGTGTTTCAACCTTTGTTTTTGAAATTTACTTGATTTAACCGCAATGCAGAATCATGTTTAATACCATTATGCTATTGCTTGTAATTGTTTACGTTTTTGGTGTAATGCTTGCTTAATTTATGTTTATTGATGTTGATTGCTTGGTCTTGTCCCTGAAGTAACATTCATATTGATAATTTTATTTTAATATGTGGAAATTACCGATTCGTTTGATGTATGTACTGACTTGTTTATAACTACCATTTTCTCCGTGAATGAAGCAGTCACGGGGGTGGTAAAAACTGTAGTCAAAATTGAGCTACGACACCTAATTCCGTGATTACGAGATTACGCTAATCAAAACTCTTCAGTTTAGAATCTATGTACGATAATGAGTGGCGATTCAATAATTTCCACATATCTTGTTTTTAGTTAAATTTGCCTACATGACCATGTAATTTTCCATCTTGCTTTTAACAAAAGGACTTTATTGCACCAAAGATGAGTCACATCCTGTGTATTTCACCCTTTCTTAGAATCTTGGTACCTGCTTACCTGACCCATAATTCCCAAAACTTGTTTTTAACCTATATATTACCTCTTGGAAGTCTACCTGCTCCTTTTTGTGATGTTATAATTTTATGTTACACATTCACATCATTACAAAAATTAATTTTACAACACAATTTGATATTAATTTGACGGCTGGTTTTTTTTATTGGTAAGTTCTTTTTTTCCCAGCCTATTTCTATTCTGATTCGGTGAACTACAATTTTTCAAAGTTTATCTTTGCAATGTAATTTATTTGGACTTAAATTTCCGAGCTTTTACAATCAATAATAATTGCGATCATTATTAAACAAACGTTTCATAATTTGGGTGTTTTATTTTACGTTCCTTCCCTACTGTGCTTCAGGTCATAGCGTTGTTTACAACTAACGTAAGGGAACCCTGCCTTAGATGTTTGATCACGAGCCACTTTTCAAATTTAAGTGGGATCTTGTTTAGTTTTGAAGGGAATAGTCCAATGAATAAAGAATACCAGGAAGGAGAAGATCAACAATATACGTGAGACCGCGATGGCTTTTGCAAATGGCGGGCAGTAGTTTCCTACTCCAGTGGCGTACCTACCTTACAGTTGTAGAAGAATACAATTGTAAATAATTTTACACGAAAACAATCTAAACCCCCATATGTGTCTACTCCGCCTATGACTTTTGTTTAACTAACCTCAAACTACATTGCCATAAAAAATTTGTAAATTTACATGTACCTACTAAATAAAAATAATGTTGGTATCAATACTTACACATGAAATGTAATCCCCAACTTTTATTTTTTTCCATTTTGGAGCAACCACAAGCACAACAACTAACCATTATTTTATGTCACTGCAAAAGCCACAACAAAAATCAGTCATAAGTGGCTTTTGAAAATGACCGACTTCCGTCCCGCTCTCTCTTGTATACAACCTGAGTTAATGCTCCTTCCGGTATTCTTTAAGGTAAGTTCATAGCTCTCCGTTCATACGTTTCCGTTTGTCCGTTAGCCAATCAGAAGACAGCAAATTTTTAAATCGTACGTCGTCCGTTTACGACGGAAAAGTTTGTTGAAGTTGAACATTTACGTTTCCGTTGGTCCGTTTTTAACAAGAGTGAGGTTATGTTTGGTATGTTAACAGCGTTCGCCTATTCGTTCTTCACGGTAATAATCAGATAGCAATGTGTTCTTACTTTCGTACCATTTTCACATACTGAAAATCACGGAGGGTACACTACAAAATAAAGTTTTCGTACTTCCGAGACTAAAGTGACCACTTCACTCCATTATGACAAGTACTGAAGTGTCACTTTTTGTCCCGCCGGGATTAAATTTTGACGAAAATCCCGGAAGGATGAAATTACTAACAAGGCAATTTCAGTAGGTTGTTCCACATTTTGTATGCGGCACTACTTCTTAAACGTATCGTACTGCTGCTCATATAGTTTTTTGGATTTCGGTGGTATCAATTCTTTACCTAGTTTGGCTGCTTTTTATGAATACCAAATACACTTTTGTCACCCACCACCAAAATTATGACACTAGCAATGACAGTTTCCAAATTATTTTTGTTACCACAGCATAGGAATTGTCGTACCAACGCTTCGTTCCTATGGTAACTTGTTAAGTAGCGATTTTTTGAAAGAACGCGTTCTCTAACTCCATACATATTAAGTGTTTCAGTTTCGGAAGTACGAAAAATATCGTATATACCTTGCGACTGAAGTAGTGTCTTAATCCCTCAGGTAAATTATGGCCCTCCCTTCGGTCGGGCCATAAACTTTACCTTCGGGATTAAAAGTACTACTTCAGTCCCGCGGTATATAATATACTATTAGGTTATGGTTATACTTGCAAATGTACAATGTAGACGGATTGCTATTAACCTTAACAAAACGTACTATCCGTTTGACGGATCAACGCAACGGATGAACGGAGAGCTATGAACCATATATATATATATATGCTATGAACCCACCTTATGTCATTCGGGTGGCCATTTTTAAACGTTGCAAGATTGACTTTATTTCCGTGTTCTTGTAGTGTGAAGTTAGCGTAGAACCTGGGGTTTAAGTACACTACACATGTAATTGAATAAGTTACTCACTATCATTAGATAACACTTTCAACTTTATTTGACACGGAACATACATTAATATTTATATCGGAGTTCTGGTATATCTAAAAAAAATTATCAAATTTGAAAAACTAAAATTGGTAAAGGAATGGATTAAATTTCAGGTATTTCCTTTGTAATCTACTAGTTTAAATGTAGTTATTCCTGTAATAGATGTTTTATTACCAGGGTTCTTTATTTTCGCTGTTATAGGTTTCTTTTACAATAGTTCTTTGCTTCGCCGACAGAGGTCGTGCGTCGTTTGGTATCTAGGGACTTTAGGTATTGCTAAAGTCACTAAGGTATTGCGTGATATTGCTTGGTTGCAAATTATTTTTTTCAGTACGCCATTACTTTTTACCGATTGTTGTCTACCTTCTACCTTCATCAGAGATATTGTTTACGCTGTTACCATATATCTTTGGAGTGGTTTCTCTTTCTTTTTTTACCTGGGACTTTGTTCCATTGAAGCGGTTAAGGCGGATTTGTATAAGTTCTCATTGTTTCCTCTTTTGTTTTATGTTGTATCTACTTGGATATTACCTACTATACTTACGCAGTACGTGAATGATATCGCATTTCACTTGGACCCGCCATTTTAGTAAGAGTGACAGTGGCGAACGCATTGAAATAAATAACCTGGTGACCTACATACCTATATGAAATTTGTTCACCTGCACTTCTATATTTGTTCCTGTTGTAACCGCAAGTATTAATGAAACTGTTTGGAGATTAACGCTCTTGTAAATTGCTCCGATAGGTATAGGTATATAAATCTGATTTTTTTACATTATTTTGTTTTACTCCGAAGGATTTGGTCATTCTATTTGACTTGCATTTTGAATTGATTAGATTTCATTGCTGTTGAATGGAAGTTTAGTTATTTGTGCATCGTAAAGTAGTTTTCGTGAAGTTAACGCCACGTTTATATACTTTTATTTAGGTATGTATATTCACCGATGGTACGAGTAATCAGTGGTCGAGTCAAAATTTTGCCTTTTATGTGCCGCGCTATTCACTACCCCTCTTATTAACGAGCTCCTAGAGAGTTTATAATTTTACGGTGTATTATATAACAGTTGAAAAACTTTGACGCGCCTAGATTCTAGAAACTTTTTCGGGTGCCTACATAAGTACTTGACTGGAATAAAATTAAAACAAAAACTATAACCAATTTATTTAAGGATGTAAAGGTTTAACGTGTAACTCTTCAGCCAGTTGCTTACAAGTATTCATTTGATTTTTTACATATCGAACTCCACCAACTGAATCGACAAAGTTCATGTGATTTCTTTCAGGATCTCCTGGGACGAGGACAGGTATGGATGGATCCGCCTGAAAAGACAATATTTTAGTTCGCTGGAATAATTCAGGTAGGTAATAAATGTTTATACCGGTTCGCAATTACGTATATTTCCCATTAAGTCGCTCATTCTATCCTCGAACCCCGGCGCGAAGCAATTAGGATCGACTGCTATGAAACATTGGCCCAAATTTGCCACTTCTGTGGCATTTCCCCATTTCCTTATGTTGGACCCATAATTTGCACCTGCAAAATTAAATAAATTCGTCAAAAGATCTTATACTTATTATTTTATAGTAAGTAGTAACAAGTACTTACCTCCCAAAATTCCACAGAATATTTCTACTAGCATTCCAAGGCCGAAACCTTTATAACCCGAATTGATCTCAGGCCCTCCTAATGGCATCAACAATCCAGTTTCGTACGCAACATCCGGATCTGTGGTAATTTTCCCCTCGCTATCTTGTGCCCATCCTTCTGGAATGAGCGCTTCTTTTCGCCTTTGAATTTCAATCTGGGAATTGGGGGCGCATTAGGCTGTTTACAAAACGTTAATTTACCTTTCCTACTGCGACGGCAGTAGTAGCCATATCCAAAATAAAGTTATCGTCGCCTTTCGCCGGCGCCGCCAAGCATATCGGATTGGTACCCAAGGCCGCCTAAAACTAATTATTGGTTTCACTATATACATAGGACGGTAGTACCAGGATACCTGCTTGCCACGTGTAGGACACATGAATGGTGAAGAGTTCGTAAAACTCATCCCTAATAATCCCTGTCGCATTGCTTGCAATGCGTACATACCCGCAATTCCATAATGATTGGACCCTAAAGCGGGACAGTATGAGAAACTACTGACTCATTTAAAATGCCTATACCTTTAGCACAAACCCACCCTACACCTACAGTTTTAGCCTTCTTGATAGCTGCTTCCATACAAAAATTACCGACCACAGCACCTAAGGCGTTTTGTCCGTCGACCCATGCTGTTGCGGGCGTTTCTTGTAAAATTTTTGGAACTGCTTTGGGATCACATGTCTTAGCGTTGATATCGTCAATGTATATTTCTGGAAAAAGATTACACATGTTACAAGTGGGGCTTAAGTATCGACACGCTTAGCAATAAAAACATCAAAAGCTATATGTTAAATATTGTGAGACATTTTTCGTATGTGAAGCAGATATCCCCCCTCAACCAAGGGGTGAAAGCCATAGACACTTGAATAGAAAAGTCCGAAAATACGCGCTTCATTTTTTATGACGGATCACCTATGGTAAAAATAACTGGAACAATAGATACTTATATCGTATAATTAAAAATCCAACAAAAGTAATAGTTGTGCCATCTTTGCGAGTAGTGATGGGACACATCGAGTTTGAGGTTCGCCGGTATATCTCTTTGGTAACACATAATGTGACATATTTGGCAAAAAACGCCATAAAGGTATGGTTAGCACCTTAGACGTATATGTCCATTAACATAGCAGAGCAAGGTCAGCAGAACACAATCAAACATTGCATTATAATTAGGTGCTAATATAGAGGAAATATTCCTCTATGGTGCTAATTAAGTGCCCCATTCCCGAATTAAATACTCCTTTTTTTTTAAATTATTACATGTTCTGCCAGGTTCGTATGAACTCATCAGAGCTCTACCTCAAAAAACCAAGAAAATGAAAAGTGAACTAACTATAATTAGGTGCTAATTAAGTGCCCTATTCTCGAATTAAATGCTCCTTTTTTTTAAATTATGAACCTGGAAGAACATGTAATAATTTAAAAAAAAGGAGCATTTAATTCCGGCATAGGGCACTTAATTAGCACCTAATTATGCAATATGTTTGATTGCGTTCTGCTGACCTTGCTCTGCTAGGTTCATGGACATTAGACGTCGGGCAAACGAACGTGTTTTCTCAACAAAACTGGTGCGTATATAAAAGATTTTGCTGTTTTGAGTAAAAAAACAAAAGAAAAATTCGCTGATATTTCTCTTAGTTATTTGGGATTGTAATGTATCCATTTACAAATAAAATGAATAATAGCAACTTTATATTTTTAATGGTTGAGTTCCTCCCATGGCAAATGATTTAGCGCTCATTGACTTGATAATTACAATGCCAATGGTATATCGCACGCTACGAAAAAATTTAAAGTAACCAAAAGCCCTTGAAGTTGTACTTGATAGGTATTGATTTATCAACATTTCTGATACTTAAAGTATTTTTGCGCAATAATTTAATTATTTAATTAAAAAATTGATGCATCACTTGACTACCGCAATCACTTGATAAAGAGTTTTATCAACTTTTCTGAGACTTGAAGTATATTTTGCAGAGTAATTTAACTAACAATTAACTAATCTTATAATCGAGAAACATTTTATCCTCCTTATCAGGATTTTGCTGAATTTTGCTGCCGACATTTGTGTAAGAAATTTACTGAGAAAGCCACTTCTGTGGACATCACATGAAATTTTGCGGATGAGTATTGTATCAGAAGCAGTGGCGGCTCGTGCAGGGGGGCTCTGGGGCGCCGCCCTCCCTACAAGAAACACTAGATCACGTCGTAACGCATATTTCACATTTTATAAATGTTTAGTCATTTACCACAAATATTGTTTTCAAAAATTACATAATTTCCGAATTATTTATTTAAAAATAAAGGGGCAATCAGTTGTATGCATGAATGAAGCGCGCGTAAAAGCGCGGCCGAAGGGCTCTCTATCCTCCGCCCGAAATCCTCTGATGTTAGCTAGCCCGCAGACGCTATCGCGCCGGCGCGCTGAATGTGGTTTCCATGGTAACGATGCGTGCTTACATTTATACTGCGGGCGGAAACTGCAGAGCCCAGTTGCTCAGTATAAACGAAACGGTTTATACTATCACGTTTTTATGTCGTAGGCGTAAATTTGCAAAAAAAAAGCAAAGCAAATGAAGGTTTTAAATTTAATTATTAATTAATTACAACTGTTGTACAAAGCTGTTTCTGGGTATTAAAATGAATTAGAACTTGGGTATTTAAGGAAAAGAGATTGACAACGTTAACGATGTTATCAGTTGATTAATTCAATCGTATATTTATATAATTAGAATTGCTACGGTTAGGTACTGTCCATACTTCAGCGATTATTTGCAAACGTCAAATTGTGTTGCGTAATTTGATATTTATTCAGGAAATAAATATGTACTTATGCCAAATATATGCTCAAAAAGCTCTACTTCAGATCATTTCCTACTTCTAAGAAAAAGTCATTGAAAAATTCATTTTTGATAAAAACGGAAGGATAAAATTCCATTAAAAAAAGTACCAACATTGTAAGTAAGCATGTAACAATAAACTGTTGCTTTTTACAAATGTCGAAGTTTTGCTCGGCGCCCTTCCAAATAGAAAGCCCACCAGCCGCCACTGATCAGAAGGCACACATTCTACCCTACCCTTACAAAATTGCATGTGAAGTCCATAGAAGTGGCTTGCCCAAAAAATTTCTTACAAAAAAGGTGGGAAGCAAAATTCAGCAAAATGTTGATAAAGTTGTATCAAGATGGTAAAATGTGTGCCGAACTGACCTTCGGCTCGCTCGGCAATCAGCGCAATGACTTTAAATTATCTGATCAAAATAAAAAAGTTCTGCATCGGCAACGATTATTTTTGAGTGCAATTGTTGATTTACACCGAGGGAGCCGAAGGCGAGTTCGGCAGACAATCTACGCTTTTGATACAATTTACCACGATTTAAAATATGCGATCAGATACAAACACAAAAATAAAAAAAATTGGGGTAATGAGAGCATGGTATACAAAATGTGCGAGACCAACACTAACGTTTGACACAAATCGGGTAAATCGTGTACGGGTATGTTTTATAAGTCACAAACGCAGTAAGAACCCACGTTCTCCTTCAGAATCGGCTTTGAGCAAGCGAAAACCTAAGGAAGGGGAAATCGATCAATATTATTGAAGTACAGATACTTTCCGTGACCTCTAGTGGCAGAACAACTACGATATGAACCCTATACCAATAATATAAACTAGGACGAATTTACAGAAAAAAACATACAGATGGCGTAAAGAGTATCTGAAATTAATATTTAAATGGCAAAAATGGAAAAAACCGATACACAGATCATTACTTAACTTGTAGCTTTTTTTGTACCTTCTCATAGTGCAACGCAATAAATCATGTCACTTATTTGAAAATTTCAATACAAATCATCAAGCCCGGTTCTGCCTAATATAATCGTGTTCCGAAAAACCGAAAAAGAACCAAAAACCGGACCGAAACCGGTATTTCTTTCTGCACCGAAAACCGAACCGAAACCGTTATTCCTTCAGAAATGGAAACGTATTGAGCGGCAGAACCTATATTATTTTTTTCGGTTCTTTTCGGTTGTTTACGGTTTTTAACAGGTTATTGGAAGTTGGAGGACGTGCCGGCAACCACGTCCTGAAAATTGATAAAATATTACTCTATGTTTGCCATCGGTGGACGGTGGATGATAAATTTTTAATAAGGTGTCGAAATTGAAGGTTTTACGGGTGGCGGTGGCGGTTAGCCACTACTTAAAAAAATAAAAAAGGAGGAGCGAGGTTTTAAAAAATAAAATTGTCTGTTTTTTAGTAATAAATTAAGTGTAAGTACATATTTCCCTCTTCCTCCTTTATTCCCCTTGTCGTTATAAATTAGCTACACTGACGATACGTCACGTTTTAGTATTCATGACATTTTCTTCACAACAAATCACGTTGTTATAATGAATTTGTTGAATGACATACTTTCTGAAAAACTAGAACCGAAAATAACCGTTATGGACCGAAAAAAATGAGCAGAACCGAACCGTTATTTCTTTTTAGAACCGAAACCGGACCGGAACCGTTATAAATATTTTCGCTTAAATATAAACAGAACCGGAACCGATATTTCATTTGGGTCCGGGTCCCTGCTCGTAACTCGCTGACATTCGGTCCTTACGTCGATTGTGCTGTAAAACAGCCTTACTATTCACGGATTAATTACACCGACCACAAATTAAACAAAAACGATTTAAATTACAAAAATTGCACTTAGCACAAATTAAATTTTTGAGAAGGTTGTGTGTGTTAATAAGCGACGCTTTATGCGTACTCTTAATTGTAGCGTAGGTAATTACACTGATAGCAGTGATAGAAAGTTATTAACCCGAGTGTGTCTGAGAGTGACTGATGAATATCTTTTTTGTTGCGTAATTGCACTGTTCACAATTAAAAGACTTTGGAAATAAGTGTTAAACGACGATTTGTTAAATTATCCTCATATTGTTGATTGCATAATTGCACTGATCACATTTAAAATTCTTGAAGTAACGTGAAATGTTGTGTATTTACTTTTACAGTCGTAAAACATACAATTGTAAATAAACAAAATGGTGGTCTTATCCTCTTATCTCATCACTGACCTCTATTTAAACTGGATTCCATGTGATGCGCCGTGAATTTTTAGAGAAATTGAAACGTCCTGAACGTATTCGTGAGTCTGCGCTGTCTCTTTTTTTTTCAAATTTCCGTCTTATATTTTGTCGTTGATCAGAAAGAACCTGTAAAGGTACGTTTCCTATGAAGCGTCTGACGCGGTGCGGCTGACTCAATGCACCGCCTTAATAGAAAGCAATGGAAGCATGTTCTAACCTGCATGCGGCGGCCGTCTCCAGTTGCATGCGTAAAAGCCGCACCGCGTCAGACGTCAGACGCTTCGTAGGAAACGTACCTTAACTTGTAACTTGTTAAATACATACAAATAAATGATTGCTCGATTCCAATTGTCAAGGAAAACCAATTTACATTCTATGGATTTTTAATGCACGTATATAAGGTATAGGCACCTAACATGAAACATCACAACAATCACTTTATGCAGTACTCGTTTATGTCTACTGCGCATGACGCCTAAAGCTGGATTCACATGCATACGAAATCCGACGATACTGTAATCCGAAAGGCGTATGATTGGTCAACAACTCGTATCGTCGGATTTCGTATGCATGTGAATCCAGCTTAATATATACATTGCGCGAGGTCGTAATTTGTTTATTATTAAAACACAGCATCCATATTAATTACACTGTACTGCCACCAGAGGTCTCATTGTTAATCTGAATTAACTTATCGTATAAGCGTGTCTGGGGTCGAAATCGCCCCCTCACTCCCTCCTTGTTTCCCAGTTACAGTGACCAAAACTTTACCTCGACGGACCGAGGGAGAACGGGAGTTTGCGATCTCGCTACACGGCGCGTCCGGAAGGTCGCGTCGCGTTCGATACATATGCCGTAGCGTACCTAAATGTCATTTCTTAATTACCCTGACCTCGCCGCGCCCTTACCCTGCCCCCCGAGATGGCCACTCCGGTCTGAAAAAAAATCCACGAAGACATTCCCATAGTGTGTTTGCAAAACATAACAATAAACGAGCAATGCAGTTGCATTTTTGAACAGTGTGCAATCATAAATTGTTATAATTTAGGATAATCTGGAAGTCACGAGCGTCGTTAAGCTAACGGCCCGGTCATCAAAGTCAGAATCTAAATCGGAGTAGCCTATAAATCATAATAATATAGTTTTTAGTACGTTTTCTAAAAATAATCCTCAACCTTGATTAGAAGGATTCATTTTTTACGTTCGGTATTAATAGGACGACCTACGTTAATTTAATTAAGTAGCTTATATCACGTCACGTTCTTCCTCTGAGGTTACAACACACTGCGCCCTGAATGAAACTTCAGCAATGCCAAAATACTCGGCGATTACGATACGCGCGCGCCGAGGTATCTCTCGCTAATTTAAATTGAATTCAGTTTTATTTACGTAATCGATTCATTCCGTGGCTGTAATGTCCTCGATAGTCCGCCTCGACGAGAAGATCGGCTTGAAGCGATGCATGTATCCGTGGCGTCCCGACGGCCTCCAGGCATTCGACTATAAACCTGCGTGCTTCCTTCAGCGGGATTATCGGCGTTTCAGGGGTGTCTAAAAGGTGAAATTAGCGGTATGCTAAATAAAAACTGGAAGACCCAAGAATGTAATTTACTTACCGGCCGACATAGTTCGCGCTCGAATCTGAATCGTTTCTGGCAGCAAACGCGCAGCGAATAAGCGAAAGTACGAGATTGCCATTATTGTATGTGGGCATAAACGCGCGCAAAGCGCTCGTCGAACAAGTAGGAATCGAAATTATCAGCGTATTATCTCAATAGTGAACGCACACGTAGCCCGAAGGTTTTCACGGTAATGTTTTATAGAAACGTCGTCCTAAAACTTTTCGTTTGAATTTTCATTTTGCTTTATTTACAAATACTAGGTACTATACGAAATACACTGTCTACAGAAATCAGTCTACTGCACCAGGAGTGAAAAAACTTGCGTGTCCAAAACTAGTGGGAACCGCAACTCACAAGGTTACTACGTTGTAGTTTTTGAGTTTAGTTGTATAAGTTGATAAACCATAAATAAAATTGTGCAAAGCGTATTGTTCAGGCAACCCATCGTACTTTACTGCGTTGATGCTTTTATGTCCATCCAATACATTCATATATCTCTTATATATATGAATACATTACAGTGTATATAGTCACAGTGTATTACTGTGGTATAGTGTAGGTAATTATCACAATTTATTAATAGCTTGAAGGATGGCTGTTTGTCTGCTGGCTGATTATGCTGCTTCCAGAGATCGAAAAAATAAATTTTTTACACTTTTATTATACAGGGTGACTATGAAGATGGAAACAATGCTGTCACGCCAAACCGTTTGAGATATAGACATGTAAATTAAAACTGTTCCATTTGAAAGTATTTCACATATTTTGAGGTTACAATTTTTTTGACTCTTCGTTTTTGAGTGCGAACGCCATCTTGAAATGTTTTTAACTGTAACATAGGTCATGTGATACGTCATTAGAAAGCTTTTTAGCGCATTTCCACAAAAATAAAAAAATGCGCTTTTGCGGCCACTTTGTCCGTCCGTCCGTCCGCTCGTTCGTTGAGACGCTACTACAAGTGCCACCATGCTCAGAAAAGCCCCGGAAAATATGCGAACTAATTTTGAAATAATTCAAGCTAGCCAATAGAAAGTCTGCAAAACCACGCGATACATTCCGCGGCATAATTATTAATTATTCCGTTTTGACAGTTGACGCTTCACGTTATTTTAGTTTACACTTTTCCTGTTGTATTTGCTTTATTTTACGTTTTCCGTCTCTAGTTTTATACAAACTCGTCTTTTTTCAAAACGCATAGCTTGGATCTACGATCTGATAAGGTATGTAATTCCCTTAAAGTGTTTTTAAATTTTGTATCAGAATGTACGGTCTAAATTTCTAGCGCCCTCGGACACGCCTTGTCAGGGACTTTCTGAGCGTGGTGCCACTTGTAGTTATTTATCTTAAGAGCTATTGTTTTTTCGCTTTTTGGTTCGGTATTGTGTCGAGGTTTGCACCAAAGAAGGAATTTTTTCTGCGTTTATTGCTAAAAAAGTTATTGTAAAAATACCAACAAACCGTCTTTTACATGTTCCATAATTTTACACTTTTGCCGTTTATTAACGATCCTAGAGATCGTTTACAATTTTGTATTGCTGTCTGTCGTCTGTTCCTTTGTCTGTCTGTCCCTCTATCTGCCCGTGTGAACGATAATTTTGTTTAGAAATGTCCGATCGCTTGCTTGAATTGCATGAAATTCAATATGGGCATAGCTTACTTTAGCCACAGATAAAATATTTTTTCTATTTCGGTGTCACAATGATGATTTTGTACAACTGTTTTCGGCCGAAAACAGTTGTACAAAGACAGTGATTATAGTCGTTTTTTTTGGTAACTCATCTCTTAAGTTGACAGTCACTAGTTAGTACAAGTAGGTACTTCGTTGGGTACTTCCATGTTTGAACTTCAAAATGTCAGTCTTACTACGCTGCCAACCTAAAACTTAACGGCATAAAAAGTGTTCCCAACATAAAAACATGTTAGTTCTAATGTTCCCTATAGTTTCTGATAATGATTTTTTTAATTAAATTAAAGCACCGAAATAGAAAAAATAGTATGAAAAACGCGTGTTACAATGCTTTTTGTAATACTCCTATCTTGCGGACACTCGTGGCTACGCTTCGCGTCGCCACTCGTGCCACAAGATAGTCGTATTACAATAGGTCGCATTGTAACACTTGTCTAATATACTATTATCTGTGCTTTAGCCATATAATAATACGCAATGCCAAAAGTTGAGTTGAATCGATTCAAAATTCACAGCGCCCTTTTCGCATCTCGACCATTTATAAACCGAATTGCAAACTTTTTTGTTTATAAAAGTATTTGAATGAAATTTGATACATAGGCACTCGGAATAAATGAAAATCTAACGCCAGTTTCAGAATTTGGTTTTGCGCATGCGCAGTGCCAACTTTTTTTATCTATGGAAGCATTTAGGTAAATGAAATTCTTCTTATAAACAGATTAGAAATTAAAGTAGCACGCCAAACATGGATTGCACATGTGCAACGCTATCTTTCATATTTGTGGCCGGATTTTTATGATTTTAACAGAAGTTGCATCTTACAAATGGGAAATGAATACAAGTGGAAATGCGCTTTTTGTAAATCGTTTACGATTACTGTTTAACTTGTTTTCTCTTTATTACTACCATAAGCATGTATGGTGCAAAATTAGAAAGTATTAGGTAATACTGAAAAATTAGAAAAACCTTGCCATATGATTGGCTGGTTAATGTATTGCACTTTTAAATTAACAGAACGTGAAAAAATAATGACGTGTCACATGGCCTATGATGTTGCTATTTAAAAAACCTCATAATAAACCATGCCAAAAAAAATTTTTAACCTCTAAGTATGTGAAATAATTTCGTATGGAAGCGTTTTAATTTTTTATTTCTAACGATTTGCGTTTGAGAGCTTTGATGGTTCCCTCTTTAATAGCGACTTTCTACCTGTATAAAATCGATAAATGCGGCAATACATTACCCGTTTATATCTGAGCCCATATTTGGCAAAATGAGAGGTCTCTCGGACTTTTTTCTGCGACTTTCGGTTACGATTATTAAGGACGCAGTTTGCGATTTTGACGATTCTTCAACACATCGTTACTGTTATTGACGTTATTGCACCAAAAATATAAAAAAGTTAACAAAATCCGTTAACTTTTTGGCTCATTTTCCAACGAAATTGGGGTCCGTCCGAGGCTACTAGTTTTCAATATACTTAGTTCTTTATTTTTGTATTCGATACCTTTGTAGCTCTAGCACTTAAGTATACTGTGACTTAAGTAAGAAAAATCTTGGCAATCGATGTGCGCATGCGCAGACTGCGTAATATCAACTTTCTTGTGGAGATTTTTTTTGAGATTTTAACCCTAACTCGCGTCCATGTCGAAACTCAAATAAGCACATGCGCAATTAATGCACAGGGTCAACTTTCCTATTTATGAATATACTCCTTCGAGAAATTATCCACGCTGTGAGCTATCTAGCTTTTTGGGGAATACTTATCTAGGGAGCGAAAACCCTTGTCTTGCTTCGTCAGTGGCGTGTGTAAACCTATGCTATCGATCCTCTTCAATGCATGCGCCATCGTAAATAAAATTTTAGTCAAAATGTCACACCTCTTCCTAGCGCTAGCATTACAAACAAAATATTTAACGTAAATTTAATTACATTCTACAATTATTATGTACAATACTAATTATTAATGAATTTACAACTGTCCTTAAATTGATTGGTTTATAACAATTAATTATGAATTTATCACTTATACTTGTACCTTTGAATATAAATATATTCAAAGCTTGCACGCAAATTTGTAACCTGTAAATTTATAATATAAGATGTCTATATTCCTTTAAATACCCTGTATATTTCAACGTCGGATGCAACCGGTCAAGTATTTTTGGGATTTGGGTGCTTGGCATCACTTGTTGATTGTTAAAGCTTGTTGGTGGTGGGATTATTGCATTTTGAGTTGTATCATTGAATAATAAATCTGAATATTATTCAATGGTTGTATTCATAGAGTTTAGCTTTGTTTTTGGTGTTTGTGCGTAAGATCCAACCACTTTGGTGTCGGGTAAAGTATTTTATGTAGTTTACTCTTATGTACTTATATGAATTTTGCCATTTGTTATATCAGATATTTTCCATCTACCATTGTGCTAATATGTAATTTACAACATGCGAGGTGTTAACTAATATCCATGTGCTTGTGGAAGTCTACGATATCTCAGGTTTAGACCACGTTTAAGTCAGTTACACGGTCTACGGGTGTGTACCTATGTAGAATCTCGACTTCCGTGAAGTAGGGCATGCAATGCTAGGTGTATTTAACATTCGCGAATGTGTGTGCCTTGTTGTATGTAACTCATATCTTCTTACCGTGAGAGGGAGCTCGGACGCTAGAATAGAAAGGTATTCTAGAGCTAAGGCACGAAAAAATCCGAGGGCCCTCGAACGTCCAACTTTAGGGACGAAGTGCTGCTAACCGAAGGCCGTCCTGCCTATGGGCGGCGACCCATCTCTTAACCATATTCAGTTTTGTGTCGTTACGTGACCAATGTCAGGGGAGTGTTACGAAGCACAGGTAGGAGTTCCGGAAGTCTGGGATTTATACCAATGTCATTATGTGGAATCTGAGCATAATTGGGGGCTCCACGAGCACACTGTGTATTGTCATAACTGCCTATTGTTACATGTAACAATAGGCAGTTTGTTTTCGGGAACAGGTAGTTTTGGGCATGAACCTATAGCTATACTATGCGATCAAAAATGAGTATTTGCTGTTGAGTCACCTTTGGAATTTTTGTTTACATGAGAAATCACGCTTAACTTGAACTTCCAAAGGCGACTCGATAGCAACTCATTTTTGATGTTGAAGGAAGCTCTCTCAATAGGAAAGATATTATTCATTATCAATTATCTTCATTCAAAGTTTGAAACGTTTGCCAAGCTTTAAAATATTTTGTATCGGTAATTAATTCCTTATTCTGTATTACGATAAGTCCCAAAATTCCCTAGTTGAAAGCTAGATTAAGATATACATCGGGGATTTTTTAATGAAGTTCATATTGTTTAGAAACAACGGCCGATAAGATCATATAAACGGGGGAAGTACCTAAGTAAGTACTTAATCTGCAGGAAGTCTGACCTGTTTCACATGTGCTGTGTATATAAACCTAACGCATTTTCCCGGTAACTTCATTGCACCTCCTTCTGTAAATCAGTCAACTACCCAACAATGCCGTTTGAAGCATACGCTCAACGCAGACAAGAATTCAACATGAATATGAAGCCTACCGGTCCAGCCACCGATTCCTTTGGATTGAGCTATATCCACCACAATGGAGTTAGTGCATCGGCCAGTGCTACCTGTGTCCAAGGAACAGCTCCTGTCGGATCCTTCGGCCTGCACGTTCCCGTGGCAACCGGAGTGAATTTTACAGCATCAACTGCAGTGCAACATGGACGTAAACCTCAACATGAATTTGCGTTGCGCGGTTCAATTCCGTTGTAATTGCATTGTATTTTGTTGGGATTGGGGGTGAAAATCCCCCCCCCCCAAATCTTTGATGATTTTTTTATGTGAATAAAAATATGGTCGTCTATGGCTAATTGTTAGATATCATTAACTGTCCTGATATTGAAATAGTACAGTACATTGTAATTCTGGTCTAAAATTATTGTTACTTATACCGGCTGATTCAAATTCGAGGTCCACCATGGGGATCTCGGAAACTGTAAGAGATAGGCAGGTAGTTCAAATTTGGCAAACTTACGTATTTTGATGCTTATAACAAAATGCTATTTTGAAACTGAAAAAATTTCGACAATTTGGTATGTTCTGAAAAAATCGAAATTTTGCAAAATTGTTTTTATTTTTTACCGAAGTTACGTAAAAAAATATATTTCAAAATAAGTGACACATTTTAGTGTACTTAACCCCCAGGTTCTACGCTAACTTCACACTACAAGAACACGGAAATAAAGTCAACCCGGCAACGTTTTCAAAATGACCACCCGAATGACTATTCCCTCCAAAACTAAACAAGATCCCGCTTAAATTTGAAAAGTCCCACGTGATAAAACATCTAAGGATGGAAAATTACATGCAAATTTACCTAAAAACAAGATATGTGGAAATTATTGAATCGCCACTCATTTATCGCACATAGATTCTAAACTGAAGGGCTTTGTAGCGTAATCCCGCTCCTGCAAGATGTGTAATCTGCCCCTGGTTTCGAGCCTAGGTGTCGTACTGCAATTTTGACTATACTTTTTACCACTCCCGTGACTGCTTCATTGACGGAGAAAATTGTTAGTAACAAACAACAAGTCAGTACATAGATCAAACGAATCGGTAATTTCCATATATTAAAATAAAATTATCAAAACTTACATGAATTCAGGGACCTGACCAAGTAATCAACATCAATAAACATACATTAAGTAAGCATTACACCAAAAACGTAAACAATTACAAACAAAAGCATAACGGTATCACACATGTGATTCTGCATTACGGTTAAACCAAGTAAATTTCAAAAACAAAAATTGAAACACAACAAATATAAAATGCAGCATACAAAACATAAATACGATATAAAGAAATGCAAAAATTACTACCTGCATTAAATAACACAAAATAACAACAAACATTTATGGAGCGACGCGTTCACGACCGCCATTCAAGACAAGAGCCAAACGTATAACCGCCGTTCGTGCTTTCTAAGGGCCGGTTGTACAAGTATAGCTTAAGCAGAGTTTAAGAATTAAGCTGAGTTTAAACCGGTTGTACAAGTATAGCTTAAGCAGAGTTTAAGAATTAAGCTGAGTTTAAACACAGTTCAATTTTTTAGAGTGTTGTACATACTTCACTCAACAACTAAACGCAACTTAAGTTTTGTTTTATTTAAGCAGCCGATTTTGTTGGTTTAAGCTTAGTTTTGGTTCTTTGCGCATAGTCACCGATTTGTTAGTTTTGTTAGGTTATAATTTTATGTAATACCTGTTACCATTGATTAACATAATCAATGCTGTTACCCTCCAAATTGTAATGGAGTTGCATGCACTAACAGATGATGAAGATTTCCTAGAAGTAATTAATATAATTGGACGCAGAAGAGCAGCAAAGATATATAGGCACCGAGATAACCACTTTACAAAGTGGAATGATAAGGAATTTTTAAATAGATTTAGGTTATCCAAAGATTCAGTTCGTTTTGTAATTGATTTAATACAAGAAGAAATATCACATCCCACAAACAGGTATAAAAACGACCCTATAGTGTAGCTACCACCCAACCACATCGTATAATTTCGTTACAGAAACTTTGCAGTAAGTGCCGAGTGTATGGTATTATTGGCACTAAGGTATTTAGCAACTGGCTGCTTTTTGTCAGTTGCAGGCGACTTTATTGGCATCGATAAATCTACTGCAAGCAGACTTACTACAAAAGTCTGTCGAGCCATTGCCAGTCAACACCGCATTTTTATCAAAATGCCTACCACAGAGGAAGAAATGAGAGAAAGAAGTAGAGGCTTTTACATGATTAGTCGTTTCCCCAAATGCATTGGTGCTATTGACTGTACCCATGTGAAGATTATATCCCCCGGTAACAATGCTGAGATTTTTCGAAATCGGAAAAATTTTTTTTCTTATAATGTGCAAGCTGTTTGTGATGCAAGCCTGAGGATTCAAAATATTGTATGCAGATGGCCTGGGTCATCTCATGATAGCACAATATTTTTACATTCTCAAATAAGAAATCAATTTGAGAATGGAGACTTTAGAGGGTACTTATTAGTTGGAGATGCAGGATATGCTATTAAGCCGTATTTAATTACTCCTCTAAGAAATCCGATCACTCGTACTGAAAATTTATTCAATGAATCCCAAATACGCACACGTAACCCAATAGAACGGTGCTTTGGTGTGATGAAACGCCGATTTCCCATATTGTCATTTGGGATTCGACAACGCGCAGAAAAGGTCGAGGCTATAGTAATTGCAACTGCAGTATTACATAATATAGCTAGGAACTTTAATGATGCACTGCCAGACATAAATGAGGAAGAACAAGAAGCTATTGCAGCTGCTGAAATAAATTTCGAAGTGGAAAATGTTCCATATTACAACAATGGACTAAATAATGCTGTACGTCATCACCTTATTCACGAATACTTTAATCGCTTAGCATAGTGTACAGTGTATATTACGAACAAACTTATTGTTTAACATTTTTTAATAACATATCTTTTTGTAACTTCAAAATTTCCATTTTTAATTTGTGTTCTTCTTTCATACATTCTAGTTCGAACTCAGATTTTGTCTTTTTTATTTCTAAATTTAACTTATGTTCCTCTTCCGTATGTTTTAATTTTACTTTTTGTTCTTCCAAAACACCTTCCATTCTACTCTCTTCCAGTTTTGTTTTAGCCTCTGCCCACTGCGAAATCTTCTTGTTAATAACACCCTGGGATGTATCTAAAATTTTAAAATAATTAGTATTTATAGTACATTTCTGAAAGTGATTTTACCAGTGGTGTTTACACAAAGCGCAGCTGATTTTTTTCTTTTAAGCATATTAGGTGTGTACTTTTTCCAGTTTTTATCACCTACAAATTCAGAAGGAACTTAGATTTAATACTTTATGACCAGTACCGTATACTACCATTATTTTCGATATCATCTGTTGCAGATGGTTTTACGGTCGAACTGTAGTCGTGATCGTTAGCAAACTCTACTATCATCTCTGTAACGAAACAATATTGAACCACACACACACTTGGAAGTCCTTATTTACCATTACTAACTTGCAGGTCGTCTGTTTCTGGTATTTCAATTTCAACTGGAAGTAGTAAAATGTATGTAAATTGTTTATAATGTACACATTTTTTACTTACTAGCATCCCCATCAAATTGTGATTGAAATCCCTCTGCTCTTGGGCCAAGTATATCTTTAATGCCCTCTTCGGTGTCATTTAATGGGGTGTCTTTGTAAGGACCACCCCCAGTTCCCATTGAATACGTTTTATTTTCAGACAGTTTCTTTTTCACCCTTTTCTTTAGATTTTCGAACTTCTTTTTTAACACAGCTTCACTACGGTGGCTGTCGTTTACTACATTGAACTCCCGAGCAACATTTGACCAGGCTTCGGTCTTTTGTTGGTTCGTAACCGCATCTGTTTTTTTGCACTCTAAGACATGTTCATATTGTTTTACTAAACTGGTTAATATTGCCTCTTCTTTCGCGGTAAAATTGGCTGCACGCACTTTTTTTTCGTTAGAGCACATCGTTATAAATAAACTAGTATTGATTGAAGGTTAAGTTTATTCACAACAAATATCCAATTAATTCTTTATGCGCATGTTTGCACGTTGCCAACAACAGAAAATTGTGGTTTTGGTAAACGAAGTTTGAACGCAGTTTGTACAACGAGGTTAAACGAAAACTACGCTCAAAACTTGGGCGTAGTTTAGTTAAACCATCCCTGAACTTCACACTTGTACAACCGGCCCTAAGTGGCGCAGACAGCTTTTCCCCACCTAGAAATTACATGGTTGCCAATTCTCAAAAATGTATGTATCGTCGTAAGTTGTATATACAGGGTGGAACCTTTCAACATTATTACGGCCACTTTTTTCCCTCTAGTTTTAAATTTTGTCTTACGTTTCGTCTCCGGTTAACCATCATCAACTTTGTTTTTTCTTATGCAAGATATTTTTACTTTTGTGTCATTTGATAGTGCATTTTTTTCTGATTCTTCGGCAAAAAAAATGCAAACAGCTGTTTGAGCGGCCCGGTGCGTACACGTCTTGTTTTTAATGGTAAGGGCGCCGCTTGCGTGAAAAAACCATAGACATATGAGTATTAGCAAATGTTTATGGAACGAATCAGCAACGTAAAATTCAAGGCACCCGTGAACACGCCCGATTTTTAAACGTACGTTGCCGGTCCGTTCACGCAGTGGCGCGTGTGTGAAAATCGGACGTGTGCATCGGGCCTAAACAAAAAAGTAAACAGCTTTATTCACCAAGAATATGCCAACCACATGAAAATTTGCTTCATAGGTAATATCAGTTCCCCTCTTCCATAGCCTAAGAAAAATACCATTTTTGTTGTCCGAGGACCTCATGTGAGACTTAGATTTGTACGGTGAAAAAGTTTTTTTTTTTAATTTTTTGTTCAATAAAGCACAGAAAAGGGAGCTTAAATCAAAGAGTATTCATAATGTACTCTTTGCTTAAACTGTGGTTTAATTTTAAACATTCGGCTGCTCTATTTGAACATACCTATTGTCCAGAGTCTTGGGCGGATCATTTTTATGGATAACTAGATCGATATGAAATTTATTGAAAATTCTTGATTATTCAAAGTATTTTTGCTATGGTGAATTAAGAACTTTCATAGAGAATTTAATAAGGCAGTCATATGATGTAATAATATACAGGGTGTTCTATATACACAATTTTTGTATATTATCTGACAAATGCGATGTTGTTTTTTTAATTGCAGATTTTGATTCAGTAGAATTAACGTAATTGTAATTAAGTCTTTCTAACTCTACAAAGAAGGTTAGCAATAGTGGCATCTTAATTTGAAATAGACATGTGAACATAAGTTCCCGACAAAAGTTAAAGGTTGGATTAGTTAAATAATAACAAACGAAAGTATGTGCAATGGATGATCAATATGTATTTGCATAAGTGATTACTCAATGAAAACATAACGTGAATGCTATTCTTTAGGTATTGGTACAGTTTACCCTCATTTTGTCATTGTAGTTTATCAAAATATAATAGACAGGATAAATTGTTCCGGAAAAGTTTGTTCCTTTATTACAAGTTGTGCGTCACCTAACATGTGAATAACAATAAAATAACAGCTCTAACACCAAATGGTACTCAAAGTTTATTGCGTTCAACAAAACTGTGGACATTTTTTTAATTAAGCCCTCTATGGACTACACCGTGAACAACTTCCGTAAGGTGTCAACATACATAGAACAATTAACTAAGATGTTTAATGTTATTAGCATAAATGCAACATAGTTTAAAAATAAATATATATATAATATGATAAGACAAACAAATAAATATAAATTTATTGAGGATAATTATTGAAGTAATTATTAGCGTTAGGAAATCGTTCTGGAGTAAAATCTTCATTATTTGTTAATCCAGATTGCACGCTGGAACGTAACAAATTGCGATAGGCTGTTTGTATGCTTAAATCCGCTCCGGCGGCCGCCGCCACCGTTTCTATGGGGGCAACCGAAGAGAGTCCACTTGCAGATACAGCTTGCCGAACACTTTCTACAACGCAGGCGGACATTCATTTATTATTAATTTGGTTGTAACTCACCTGTGATGACTTGCGGAAGACTTCCTTGTGGTTTAGAATTAGTAACAATTTTACGTCTCTTACTAGGCATTCCAGAAAGGTAAGCGTCACTGAAGGGTGGTTGGGAATTTTGCCTACGTTGTCTTTGGGTGTCTCTCGCTATTATTGGTACCCAATCCTACAACAAATTGCTGATTTTTCCGTGCTAAAGTTTTTAGATACATACGGAAGGCACCTGTCCGTGCCAAGATTCGGAACCAAACACAACTTGGGGTAAAGGTTCTGGATCATCCGCCAAGTTTATTGCAGGCAAAGTGCTTTGTTCTGGAGATGAACCACCGGCTGCAACTACTTCGTCATCTACCTGCATTAACTATTTAAAAGTTATTACAGTGTACTCCAAATCTTAACTTACCTCTACGTGTGTAGTAGTGGAATTTTCTTGAGGGACGACTGGCTCGTTTCCCAAACTGGGCGTGATCGCGTCTATCTCTCTTACAATGTACGGCTGTAAAATACTTTCGGGTACGTCCAACGTGGACAAAACTAAACTCATTTGCCCTCTACTGGTCATCAAGGTCCACTGTTGCAAATCTTGTGGTATACCTTGCATGTACCGGGTCTATAAGAAAACCATCAATACGAAGAGAAAAACGTTCGTAGACTTTACCACAATTAAATTAAATATGTTCTCCACGCCTTGGCGACCATTTTGAGATGCTCGCACGGCTAGCGCGCATAATTGTCTACCAGTCGTACGTATTTGATCCACCACCATTTTTAATGAATTCGGGCTACGTGATGTTACCAGAGAGATGATGTTCGGAAGGCGAGCTCTTAAAAGTGTCTGAACAGATCTTACTATGTCTATATCGTCGCGCGTCGGTAATCCACCCTAGAATAAGAAACGTGGACTGTAAGACAGATGACAATCTTAAAAACTAAAACCGCCGAGAAATATTACAATGTACAACAATAAAATATTGTGGTGAAAACAACGTCATGTAAACGTTATTTCGATCTAAACACTAAGAACAATTAGGGGACACTCTGTATATGAGAATGTAAATGTACAGGATTATTTACAAAATAGTTAAGAGCGCGCTGCCAGAGTGGTGGGGGAGCTTATTGCCTTTAGTTTAGATTGTTACCATTTCAAAATCAGACGGATAACGGCAGATGGCGCTAATGTTGTCTGAAAGCATTGTTTTTATCTGGAAAATTCGTCGCGTCCTTCGGAGACTTTCGCACGTACATTTGTAGTCAGGATATACAAAGAAAACAAGATTATGCTAGTTGGAGCATGACGTCACGTAGAACTTTAAAATCGGGATTCTGAATTTGTGTTTTTATGATTTGAATTTGTATTTCGCTATAGATAAGGACACATCTGGTCATCGCGATAAGTACTTTTATTAGGCGAAAATTAATTAACGCACATGTTTTATCGCTGTTGTGAGATAGCGAAGACGCAAGTATTTCGAAGAATTGCGCGTTTCTTATTGGAGAGGTGGGGACGTTTGGCGCGTTGCGTCGTTGATTTTTAAAGTAGATTAGATTATGGTGGAAGTGGTGTTTTTTACTGGAGACGGGTAAACGCGATTGCTGCTGTTAGTTTTCGTGACAGTTCAAAACCGTGTACATTTGTTTACGCTAAATTAGGGGCAGTCAGCTGCATTCGTTATGTGGGAGATGCAGTCATTTTTTTATAATAAACCTTTGCAGAAGCGTCATCAATTATTAATCAAATATAATCAAGTGACTTATGACAGGCTCGTCCTTCATTAACAGACATGTGCAAACTATTAAAGAACTTCAAGTGAAGACTCTGTACTTACCAAATGTTCCAAAAACGGTTCCAGTTCAGTCAATAACCTTTCAACGCCCCTATCTATCGCCGCCGTAGTTTGACATCCGTCAAGTACGCGATACAAAAAGAAGTTCCTCAGCTGTGTTCTAATACGAATCAACGGCTCTAAGCGCCCGCTGTTTATGTGTATGACGTCGCTAAAAGCACGCTTTGTTAGGCAACGAGGGAAAATGTAAGCGCATGCGTACCTGATCGTCAGATTGCGAGACAAAAGCATGATTAAGTCTGAAAAAATACTCTCTCCTTCAGTGTGGGTTTCGTCTGAGAACTGTTGCAGTAATTGCGATATTGTAGGCGACGAGTTGCGTAGGAAACTATCGGAGAGGTTCTAAAATGTAGGGTATTAATGGCGCACTTTACCAGCTAAAATTCACCATGTGTTCCAGGTTGGATACCCAACGTGGACTGGCTGCAGGTGGATTGGAGCTTTGTGTTGTGGTAGATGCGTTCGCCGTGGCTGATGGAGGTGCGCCTTGTTGGGTGCTCGTGTACGCATTGTGAACGGTATTAATGATTGTTCGCATAATGTTATAAAGCGGATTGTTCTGTTCGGAATTTCGTGTTTCGCCGCTACCGTCTGGGCCGGTTTGGCTTGCATTGGTGCCAGCTTGGTTGGTGCCGGTTGGAGCCGTCGTCACTCCAATAGTCTGATGTTGTTGCCGCCTTCGCGTTACGTGGTGCGAATTGCACGGAAGGAACGGATCGAATCCTTGCATGGCATGTTGGGCCAAGTGCACGTGGGGTCGTGGTGTAGAGCGCGTATGCGTAGCGGTGGTGGGTTGTGTTTGAGTGTTGCCTCTCGCTTGCGAATTTTGAAAGGGCGTTACACGAGCGGCGCCGCCGTTGGAGGTAACCGCGGCACCGTTTTGAGACTCGGTAGTTGCTTCAGATTGGGGGGCGCTAGGCGTGGCCGATCCCGATACGACAGTCGAAATGTTACCTGTGGCTCCCTGTGCTCCTCTGTTGATTATTTGTCCAGCCATTTGCATTATTGACTGTATGAGTTCTGGTGGAGGATTCAATGCTCCTTGCAAAACTGTAAACATTTAATAAGTGTTAAATGAAATTTCCTAAAAGAGACAGTCGATCTGATCATGCAAATAAATTGAGTTTCTATTTCAAGTGGTAAACTAGTAGCCATAAATTTTTATTCTTTTATTCAAAGCTAATGTGCCTTATGTTGAGTACTCTCACCCAACCAACTTCACTCACAACGATGTACCTTATGCGTGGGTCACCTAATCGACTTCCCCGGCCCCACTGCGCTCATTTGGCTTGTGACGCTGAGAAAAAAAGCCCTGTTTTTCAAAGAATGCATTTTTTATTGCACAAGTCCTAAAAGTACCTTACTAAAATAATGAACATCGTCAGTTGCAAATGTTAAATGTTAAGATGTGCTTTAAGACTGGATTTATGTTTGGTGATGAAATGGCACTGGGCACATTTGATTTTGTATTTTGTTTTATAATTACATTTATCACTAGTTGCATAGTCACACTGGACACATTTTAAATTGTTGGTAGTCTCGCGTGTCAATGCCATTGCGCTTGTGCGGTGTTGTACGTACGGTGCAAAATATATCTCTGTCTTTGTTAGTGGAGGGCTATGGTTGGTAGAAATTAATTCCTTTCGTTGAGACCTCTCATTAGAGTACCATGAAGGATAAAACTAGTTCCACTACTCCCCCCCCCCTCCACCCCGTACTTAAGAGGGTAAAAGAAGAGCAGTAGAAAACGGTTCCTTTTGTTGAGACCTTTAATTAGAAGACAATGAGAGATCAAATTAATTTTTAACCCCCCCCCCCCTCTCAGTCCCCGTCGCCCACTGATCTCGAAAAAGAGTCGCACGGGAAAGTTATAGTTTGTACAAACCAATTTATTTCGATGAGACCTTTCATGTGAATACCATGAAGGGTAGAACACGTGTGTACCCCCCCCCCCCCCCAATTTCCTAAAGTTTAACTTGGTACCACTAAATCTTCACTAAATTTAAATTTTCGGCATAGGGGCCTTTTAGAGATTCCAATACATACTACCGAATTCTTTAAAAAATCGTTTTCTTATAATGTTGCAAACATTTTTAATAAATTGTCACCAACTTTACGAAGTTTAAGTATGACTACGTTTAAAAGACAAGTAAAGTTCCTTTTGTTAGATGATCAACTCTCTATCATGGCTTAAGGGGCTTCTATATTGAACATAAATTTTTGGTTTAGGAAGTTTTGAGGAGGGATTTATGTGTAAGTGTTAATGTATTTGTCCATATACCATGTTTAGTTCATGGTCATATATCATGATGTAGGGCCACATGGAAGAGCAGTGTATATCGCACTGAATGTGGTCCTTTTTCCAATGTGAATGTACTTTTTTCTTTTTCTTTTTGTTCTATATGTTGTTCATTGGAAATAAACATAATAATTATTATTATTAAAGGCACGCGTATGCAAAATCTGAGACCAATTGGTTGTCGTATGTAAAAGTTATACACGTTTTACTTTCAAAAACATTTTGGGAAATAATTCGTGGGGGGGGGGCCCTTTTAGACAACGAAATTTGATGGCCGTCTGGCACACCTTCAAGGTATAGACTACCTACTGCAAAAAATTCCAGGACTCTAGGACCATTCCCCTAGAAGTAGTTCAAAACAGCAGAAGTGGGCCCGGATGGACAAAACGCAAACAATAGCGCATTTTTTAAGAAATGCGCTGACTACATCTACATCCTTAGACAAAACTACAGGGGGAAGTTACACAACAAGAAACAAATTCAGCGAACAAGCATAAATTATTCACATGCCATGTGTAGGAAAAGCGCATTTTTTAATGCCCCAGAAATTAAAAATTTTAGTCGCAGTTCAATGATGGCCATTGAGTTTTTCAACATGCTACCTTACGATACTTATTCTTCTTCGTTCTCAAATATAAAATATATGTATAAATATATATAAATAAAAGAGTAGTAGTTGGTAGAAAACAATACCATGGACGATAGAACCAGTTGTATCTGCTTCTCCTCAATCCTAAAGTGGAAATTTCGGAAAGCTTTGATCACTTCACAGTTCCAAAGAATTATTTAACAGATTTTTGATTACCACCTGACGTTAATCCTGGATATGAATAGAAAAATATGACACGGGAACTCTTACACCCTGGATCGTAATTTGGGCTTGATTAAACACATCATTTACAGACACTGAAATAAAAATAGGCACTCAGGACCAGAGTGTAAATACCACGCAACAAGCAATCGATTGATACACGCTAGATTTAAAGAAAAATTTTAATCAGTTAATAATGGGCTCGTTCAGCCGTATTCAGCGCTGACACAGCTGTTTCCAGTGCCAAAGCGGAAAGTATTTTCGCTGAAAAAAATGGCCGCCGCCAAATAGTCAATAGTACCGCTACATTGGCGCTATGACAGCACTGGTCCGACTGAACGCACCCAATCCGTAACAAACACCAGGTGGCATTGCTTAAAAACCACACTCCTTTACTTTTGCTAGATTCTTGAAATAAATGACACTGGCTTTGATGTAAATTTAGAAGTAAAACGCTAACCAACTTTCTTCTATAATAGACTTTAATAAACACAAAGACTGACTACAGTCGAAGACATTTCCAAAATAATACTCAATTACGGCAGTCTGCCATACACTAAAAATGCGCCCATCAAAAAGCAACTTTTCCTGTCTGCTTCGTCTTCATAAAACCTTCTTCCCTTCTTTCATTTCTACCTTGTATCAAAATTAATGAGCGTGTTTCAATAAACTGAACAGCTATGTTTACTTTGGGGAAAAACATCTGCTTATCTTGTAACTAATTAGCTTTACGCAGCGACAATGAACTCTTATGATAATGACCGACTTTAGAGATAAACTTTTACAAAGCAACACGCAATTATTTACAAATGTCCCCTATCCTTAATACGCAATTCAACTTTATAATTACAAATCAAAATAAACAAAGCCATTGTTGAAACAAAATTAAATATCAAATAATTCTGATACAAAATCACATTGACCTCAAATTCAAATAATATGATCGAATTTGTGTTCAGTCCCAAATAACAACCACATTTAAACAATTTAACCAAAGATTTAAAAAAATTGATTACACATGGTGACCTAACATTACCATAGATGCTAATGCCAAGTAAAACGTTCGCACGACGTAGTTTAAACAGCAATATTATCGAGCTAGTGTTGTGCTGGCAAAAAAAGATGTTTTGAAAAAAAGTGACTCCATCACCATTACTAAAAAGATCATTTTCTTTTAACATATCACTTCCTTTTGTTCAATAATATTAAATAACTGGATAGTGGATTGCTCTGTATGTAAGAACTTTTGTGCATGATCGCTTTTCTTAGAAGAAAAGAGGTTTCCCTTGGGTGCATGTGCCCGTTTAAGAAGATCGCCACATATAAGGAAGTTTCTTACACGCACCTTCCATAATTACGCGCGTCTGCTACAGATTAAAATTTCAGAAAAATATCCATAAAGAAGACAATCGATTCTGCGTTAAAAAATGCGCAAAAAAAAGGTTCGTTCTGCGCATGCGTGCACTTTGCTTTGAGATGCAAATACGGCATGGTCTAATTTAAGTAGAACCTAATACACGCGGCAGCTCAGTCAACTTACTTTCGTTAGTATGATCCCCGCCGACAATAGCAGTCTCGAGCGAATCAATCGTAATACTTTCGGGAGTGACTTCCATAAAAAATTCGACAGGATTATTCATGGCTCCCGGCTGAGCGCTATTCGTCGTAGAATCGGCGGCGGCGGTTTGGCCGGACGTTTCCCTTGCGACGTTGCTCGGAACGCCGGCCGCATTGGAAGCTACAGACGCATTTGTCATATCGTATGTCTGAACAGATACAGTGTAATCGTTACCGAATTGTCCACTCGCGGCGGAAGCGGCGCTAGCAGCGGCCAGGTGTACTTGGTTCAGGAGGTCCTAGAAAATGTTATTAAATATAGGATGTGAAGGGGTGATGCTAAGCTTACTGGTGGTAGCTGGGGAACATCTCGATTGTTGTTGTTGTTGGTATTAAGAGACGATCGGTCAATGTTTATTGAGCCAGGCATGTGAGGGAAATGGATCGTTTCCACTCGGACTCCGGGGATAAGTGGGAAACCAACTACCGTTGATGGTATGTGTCCAGAGGGTGCTGTGGTACTTGCTGTTGTAGTGGTAGTACTGTCTGTACTACTTGTAGATGAGGGTTGTGATTGTGTTGTTGCAGTTCTATTACCGTTTCCATTACGATCAGAAGAGAAATTAATTTGTGCCTATGAAATATACAAAAAAATTATCATTCAATGCAATGGTTTGCCTCCTACCTCACAAGTACAAGGGTAAGTTTCTCCCAGCCCCAAATGAGATCTAATATGCCTGATATGTTTTACATACAAGTATGGTTCTCAAGGATTTGTTATATAGCTTCTCTTATTTTTAATGGCCAAGAATGTGCATACACCTAAAGTAGGAGTTTCCTTAGTTTACGTCCTCAATTCTGTTTTTGAGGAATATTGTAATGCCAAAACATTAACAAAATAAAAACAAGTTATAAATCAGCATATGCATGATGAAAGCCCCCCCACTTTTTGAATTTTCAAAATATTTTTATTTCAATCGTTTGTTAATTGATAGTATGTTCAGAATAAATTTTGTAAGTTTTGGGCGTGAAGTTATCTCCCGAGATTCAAATTTGTGAATTTTTTTATTTGCGATCGTTTTTTGGTCACTTTTGGTGTTTGGTGGATAGTATTTATAATTTGTTGATTGGTAGTATCTTTAGAATAAATGTTTACAATGTTGAGCGTGACATCATTCAAACGTGCTGAAGTTTTTCACACACTTACACACAAAAAATGCGCTATTGTGGCCACTTTGTCCGTCCGTCGGTCCGTACATTCGTCCGTCCGCTTGTTCGTTGAGACGCCACTAGTTATTTATCTTAAGGGCTATTGTTCTACTTTTTTCGCTATTTGGTTCGTTATGGTGACGAGGCTGGCACCAAGGAAGAAAAACCAAAAAACCAACCAAACCAACTTAAAAAAGTAATCGTACTTCTGTTAAAATCGTAAAAATCCGACCCCAAATATGAAAGATAGCGTTGCACATGTGCAATCCATTTTTGACGTGCTACTTCAATTTCGGTTTATAAGAAGAATTTCATTTCAATGTATTTCTAAATAATAAAGTTGGACTGCGCATGCGCAAAACCAAATTTTGAAACTAGCGTTAGATTTTCATTTATTCCAAGCGCCTATGTATCAAATTTCATTTAAATGCTTCCATAAATAAAAAAGTTTGCAATTCGGTTTATAAATGGTCGAGATGCGAAAAGGGCACTGTGAATTTTGAATCGATTCGACTCAACTTTTGGTATTGCGTATTATATGGCTAAAGCTATGCCCATATTGAATTTCATGCAATTCAGTTCATAACAAACGGAGATGTCAAAGCGATCGGACATTTCTAAACAAAGTTATCGTTCACACGGACAGATAGAGGGACAGACAGACGACAGACAGCAATACAAAATTATAAACGATGTCTAGGATCGTTAATAAACGGCAAGTGTAAAATTATTGGATCATGTAAAAAACGGTTTTTTGATTTTTTTACAATACTTTTTTAGCAGAAAAAATTCCTTCCTTGGTGCAAGCGTCGACACCATAACGAACCAAATAGCGAAGAAGTAGAACAATAGCTCTTAAGATAAAGGACTAGTAGCGTCTCAACGAACGAGCGGACGGACGGACAGAAAAAGTGGCCACAATAGCGCATTTTTTTAAATTTTTGTGGAAATGCGCTAAAAACTTAAGCACGTTTGAATGATGGCGTCGTAAACATTTACGACAAACAAATGATAAATAATATCCACCAAACACCAACAGCGACCAACAAACGATTGCAAATAAAAAAAATTCACAAATTTTAATGTCGGGGGATAACTTCACGCCCAAAACTTACAAAATTTATTCTGAAGACACTATCAACCAACAATCGATAAAAAACACCAACAAACGATTGAAATAAAAATATTTTGAAAATTTAAAAAGTAGGGGGCTAACTATACGCCCAAATCTTGAAATTTGAATAATTAAATAACGATCAACCAACAAATGATTGCCATAAAAATATTTGGAAATTCAAAAAGTGGGGGGCTAACTATACGCCCAAATTGTTAAATTTTGAATTAAATAACGATCAACCAACAAACGTCAAAATGTAACTAACAAACGCCAACAAACGACTAACAAACGATTGGCATAAAAATATTTTGAACATTCAAAAAGTGGGGGGCTAACTTGACACTGTGCATCTTTGGTAATACAGATCAGTATAATTTTATTAACAAAGTTTAAAATTAATCGATCTCACAAGTCAGAAAGCTTTTAGTAAACATTTGAAGTCTCTAGCTATTGTAATTGCAGAGATCTCAGCCAGACTTGTCAATCGAAATTGTGGTAGTTTACATTAGGGGTATTACAAATACGTTCCGTATCGCAAACAAAAATGCTATCAGGTTGACCAAGAAAAAGTAAGCAACTTAATTGGATTACTAGGTATTAGGTAAGTAATTAAAATATTTTTTTTCCTTTAGGTTATCGATTTCACTATTTATTAATGTAGCATCTTCGGACCTTTGCTGAAAGCGAAATCGATAACCTAAAGGAAAAAATATTTTAATTACTTACCTAATACCTAGTAATCCAAATAAGAAAAGTAATTAACCAACATGGAGACATACATCAATACAATAAGCAACTTAATTTTAATCGTATTTGTTATTTGGACGAGAAAGAGATAATGATGGTCCACTTTTACCAGTCGCAGCAGTAAGAACGGTGATTGGTTACTTTATTAATATAAGAATTCGTATACGTAACAAGTTTCATCTCACAGAGTAGCCTGTGAACAGTAATTTCTGTTTCACAAATTTCTAATTTCAGCGAACTTCTAGAAGTCCTAAAAAACAAGGCAATGTATGAAACCCGTTAGCGATGTTGATGGCATGACATGCTGTAACACACATGTACATAGTCATAATCCACCCATGACGTGCGTGCAAACCTTAGACAAGGAAAGAAAGGGGACCCGTAATACCGCATCCACGGCATGCGTGAATTTGACGCGAATTTCGAGACGACCGCCATATTTTCGGTGGCACTCAAAGCGCGGTGGCAGTGTGAATTTTTTGACATTTCTTCATTATTGATAAAGTTTGTGTGTGCAAAAGTGTGTGATATAAACGTGGTGAATTGTTCTGCGTACAACTGTAAAAGTTGCAGTGGTCGTTTTCCAGCAGGAATATCATTTCATAGGCAAGATAAAAAACGGCACGTTGTCTGGTTTGGCTAAATTTAATTAAATCTTTATGGTAGTTAATAAAACACTTTTAAGGTCTTCATTTTCATAATCTTACAATTGTCCTATATTTTTGTGCATCAATCAAATACTGCTTTATACTTCTTTTCATTGATAATTTCTCGATTACAGTAAGCAAGTGATATAACCTGCAAGCGATATTCCAGTGACGGCGTGACTATCTAGTTACATGACGTAACAGATATGTACATGTTTGGATGCCTAACCCTTAGGCGACTGATTACTTTGTATGGAGTAGTTTAACTACAGTGTATGTTGCCTTTGTACTTACATGTGGTACGACAGATAGGATTTGGTCTTCAAAAGAGAGAGGTCATCGATCGATGTTCGAAGCAATACACATCGATCGCCGCCACATTCGATAAACACAAGATATCCTGAAGGAAGATCGTTATGATTAAACCCGTTAGGGGAGAAGACATCTCAATTCAATATTATCACAGTCGTCATCGTCAACGGTTTGCTATAGTATCAACAGCTTATTACTTAAGTACAAGGAACTGAGAAAGGGGTTTAAAGAAATTCTTTTTAGACACGTTTTGTATTTGTCTTATGCGGCTATCGATTTCGACCTAACTGGTCATCTTCAAGCGTCATTTATGAAGTGAAATGAATACAAAATTTTTTTAACGATGTTATAAGTAGTGGTCAGGAATGACAAATTAATGTACGAAAGAGTGAGGTTGTGTATTAGTATTTTAAAAACGCTGCGTAGAAATGGTTACAATTGATTATCGAAATCAGAGCTCCGTTGGCCTAACGTTCCGTGCGGTGCGTCCAATTTATGGCTTTCATGGACATCCTGCAGAGTCCACAATCCGTTGTTTAATAAAAAATTTGAGACAACGGGGGGAGTGATTGATGAAGCAGTTCCTGTACGTCAAAGAAACGCAAGATCGTTGGAGAATATTATTGCCGTTCGGAATAGTATGCGAGAAAACCCCAGGCAGCCCATTCTGCAGAGTGCGCAAGAGATGGGTCTTTCTGGCATGTTAACTTGGCAGTTCCCTTCTTGCGCCGAGACTTGGATTTTCAGTTCCCTAGTCTATGCAGACCAACCACAGTCAATTGCTGCCCTAAAGACCAGTATAACTCGCTTTCTTCGTGAAATTCAGCCCAGTTTAAGCGAACATGTCCAAAATTGGTCCACCACAATGCAACGTCCACAGCGGAGTCGCGGGGGCCATTTCACTGAAATTATTTTTCATAAATAATGTCTTCGAATATCATTTAAAATATTATAAAACTTGTGGTAATATCACTTAAACAGGTTGTTTTATTTCATTTCAAAGTTCGAGCGCTCTTAATGAAAAACCCTTGGAAAAACCCTTTACTTTCAATAATATTGCGCTTATATCGCGAACCCAGTTTCTGAAACGATCAAAGTCCAGTCGTATGTTTACGTTTATCGCGTTTTTAGTCTCTCTATTCAGATAAGAACCTAATATTATGTCCGACAACTGTACGCACAGGTTAATCATACCATGATGGCAGTATAAATAAATTGTAATTTCCTAATGTAATACCCGAGCGGGCGCCACTGGTGGTAGCAGTATGATCGCAATTTGCTTCACGCGCGCGCTCTCTATTACGGGTCCCCACTCTTTTATAGTCTAAGGTGCAAACTAAGGAAAATCCTACTATACCTTATTACGAGGGGACATTTTTATGTGATTTTTTCAATTCACTTTTATGCCAGTTTTTAAACCTCTTGTTAATTATAATCGCAATGTGAAAACAGACAGATCATAGCGATACTTACTTCAAGCTGTATGGGTATACCGGCTTGTACAATGGCAGAATGCTGAATGAGAATTGGCCGACACAGCAACGGGCGAGGAGGCGGAGTCCTCACTCTAACAATGATATCACTCAACGAGTGATACGCATGACCCAAGGTGTGCAAGACCTCCGACACTCTATTAATCATCGCCTGAGTGGAACGTGCGTTCTAAAGCAAAAAAATCGCATCATCCGTACACGTTCTTTCACATTACCTCTAGCGTGACAGTAGGATCTTCGCGCATAAAGTTGAGGTATTGTTCCATAAATGGCGCAAAGCGTGTCTGAATGGTGTTTAGTGATTCCAACAGCTCAGCATACTCAGTCGTACGAGAAATTGTACTAAAATATCCAAAGATATTATCCCGTTTGTGATAATCACAAATAACTTACTCTGAATTCACATTACTGGCGGTGTTGGCGCTTGTAGCAGTGTCGTCTTCGTTTGCTGTGCTTGGATTGGCCGGCTCATCGCCGACAGCAGTCAGATTCTCAGAAGAACTGGCCAGAGGTGTTGTTGTTTCGGGTGTGGAAGATGCCGAATGTAAGTCCCCTTCGGCGTTGATTGGAGGAGTCGAGTCAGAGATATGTACTTGGACATCACTTGGAGGGGATGTTGTTTGCGGTTCGTTGGCCCTTTATTGCGATTAGTTGAGAAACATTAGAAATTTGATTTACTTACAATGCGTTCATCAGTGAGTTGATCGCAGTAATTGTATCCTGCCGTTCAAGAGACTCGTTCTCTTGTACATTTGGTACAATAACTCTCGCTTCAAAGACCGGTGTTACTTCGCCCTGTGCATCTTGGGTTGATTGATCGGTGGGACGAGTCGGATTTTCTAATGTGCCGATAATAGTGTTGGCCCGACGCAACATCCTACAATTAAATTCTTAAATTGAACTGAAGCGTCAAATCAAGGGGTGAAAATATTCTGTACACTTCCTGTTAAATGTTTCAAAAATACCACAAAATCTGAATAGTGTCCAAAATGTATCAACAGCTAATTTATTTCAATCAACATAACAAATGGTTACAGCTAACGCTTTTGCCTTTCTAATTTGTATAAAATTTACCACTCCTACTGGAAATTGACTTTGGTTTTGATGAGGTAATCATGAATCTATCGTTCCTGCTTTTATGCATTTCAAAAAAATAAGAGGTAAACTTCAGACCTCCTAGATATCGTTGTCACTAAAGTAAATTCAGAACTGACAGGGTATGCGAATGAGAATCATTCCCCCTAATTCGGTAGGACGCGATTTAGTGAATTTCTTGAATGGTTTTTCTCAAAACCTAACCCTACTGTTCGAAAATGTTGGCTAGCTGAGTAAGCCTCGCAAGGAGCTTCAAATGATTTGCACCGGGCCCAGAAGTCAAGTAAGATTGAATGTTATATTTCCACGCTGGAGTTCTAACCACGAACACAAACCCTGAACATAACCCTATATCGTTGTTATGGTGAGACAGGTGCCTGGGCTCTTAACCATAAACAAAAGGGATATACAGGGTGTCTTAAGTTGAGGAAGAAAAAATGAAAATTGTAATTTTACCCATGTTTATTATTTGAACGATATACTATACATATTATACATGGTTGGAAAGAGAAAAAAAAAACTGTATCAAACTGAGAAAAAATCCAATATGGCGTCCATTTAAAATAAGAAAGTTGATGTCAATATCTCGAAAACAGTCACTTTGAAAAATTTTTTTCTAAGCCCATTGAATTTATCCCAACTTTTATTTGAAACTTTTTTTGATAGCTCTCTTTTTTAAAAATGTCCATTTTAATTTTTTTCGAAATGATAGCTATGTTATCCTACTCAATTTTAGTCACCCTGTATATTATGTTTTCTTCGTAGCGTGTGTGTGTGTGCCACGAGTTTAAGATAGTTTCGGCGGAAGTTTTGACTATGTCATGGGGTGTAGATTTTTCGCTCGATTTTTCGTTTATGAGGGGTGGGGGAAACGGTCTGGTTAGCGCGCAAGCTCGCCATTGCCATCAGTACAACAAAGACCAAGCATGAAGACAATCCGCTTTTGAGATATAAGGAACTATATTCGATTACGATACGTAAGACTATTATATTCGTGCCCCACGACACTACCTGTGCGGCATCTGCAGTCAACACAGACGTTTAATCCATTCACATTCGCGGTGTTCACGCATTATTCTTAAACACTGTCAAATAAGAAAAACTTTTCTGAGCAAATTAACAACCATGTAGTTTTGCACAAAAAACTATGTGACAGCAAGTATAGGTTTCAGTCACCTTGCGTTTTGAAATAAACACTCGCGAGTGTGATTTTCGTAAGAAAACTTCATATAGAATCCACTAAGTGTAGTGTAGACTGAACCTACTTTGCAGTCTCTTTCTTACATTGGACAGTCATTAAATTGATTCCCAATTGAAACAGTTCATACGCCTCTAACTATTTTAGATTGTGGTTATAATGCAAGTTCCTTGAATATTAGTGTGAAGTCGGAGTGAAGTAATTCATAATTTAACAATTTTACAATTATAATATTAACTTAGTAACACCTCAGAGGCGGTATTAAAGTTACTACCACTGTAACATAACCTCACACGTCTAGAATATGTAACATATTGTCTAAAATAAATGGAATATCTATTTTTGGAACTTCAAATTTGCATATACTTATCTTCCTCATGTCATTTCATGTTCATCGCGGATTTGACGTCTGAGTAGATATAATATTTCATGTTCTTAATATGTACAGTAAAAATTTGGTGCATGTTCGATAACCATTTTATATACAATTAGAATGGCAAACAGTATATACAGGGCAGGCAAAAAATATAAAATTTTGTTAAAGAATAAAAATAAAGTGCCACAATTTCTTATAGCAAAATATTACATAAGAAAGTTGTCTAGAACTAAAAGCTATAGTCAAATATATAGCCTCTTATTCAGATTTTTATTCTGATGGAAAATTTCGGATTATCCCTGTGTAACATATTTTTATTATTGGGTTCAATACACACTCCAATACACAAAGATTGTACAGTGCCACCATGCTCAGAAAAGCCCCGGAAATATGCGAACTAATCTTGAAATAATTCAGGCTGGCCAATAGAAAGTCTGCAAAACGACGCGATACATTCCGCGCCATAATTATTCATTATTCCGATTTGACAATTGACGCTTTACGTTATTTTAGTTTACACATTGATTCTTGTTTTTGCTTTATTTTACGTTTTCCGTCTCCAGTTTTATACAAACTCGTCTTTTTTTTTTACGATCTGATACGGTATATAATTCCCTTAGTGTTTTTAAATTTTGCTCAGAATGTACGGTCTAAATTTCTAGCGCCCTCGGACACGCCCTGTCAGGCACTTTCTGAGCGTGGTGCCACTGTATTTAAGCATAAAGGACTACAATAGGTGACCAAGGCCTGGATACCCCAAAAAGCTATTGCCACCTATGAAGAAACAAAAGCTAGTAACGCTCATTGCCACAAAACAAATGACAATTGAGATTTAACTTTCTGTCTCCCTTTTACTAACTGAGATTCCAATGGTATGAAAATATGGACACTCATAAATTCCCTAAATACTTATTCTACATATCGTAATATGAACCCCAAATTTTCAAAATATAACTGAAATACCTAAAAACTAAAATCTAGAAAACCTTTAAAAGTTGATTAACAAATAAATGTATGTATGCTCTTTGCTCTCATGTAAAGTATTACCTTTTCGCAACATTAAGCCGACTGGCCGCCAGACTATGAGTTGGAAGCGGAGGCATTTGATCCATGGCGTTTGCTGGTAAGCGTAACGAACCTAGATACTCAACTCCCCGTATGCGCCGATGCATATGTGGATGCATAGTTGGAGATTCGGGACGTTGCTGGTTCGGTTGATTAGTCGAGGGCGGTGGTCTCTGCACCAAATGTACCACTTTTCCGTTAACATCTGGGGGTGGAAAACATTATAACACTCGCAACAAATAAAAAGTACACAACCGTATTCGCTGAGTTTGGTAGAATCTTGCAAAATACGACCGCAGTAAATAATTCTCTGTGTATCAGCTGGAATGTTTACAGTATCTGCGATGTGCTCCTTAAATTGTGCTACCGTAATCTAAAATGTTCGATGGTAAGTATTAGGTTACAATACAGAGAGCGAAGGTTGCTTACATCGTCCTCTACAGTAAAGTCATGATTCCGAGAATCCAAAGTTTTGACAGTTAACACAATCATTTTATCTAAAAAGGGATAGTTAAAACTAATTAGATTAAAGACATTTTGCAGCATCAAATATTGGTTTGATTTAATACAACGTCAATTCACATGTAATTTATGCCAATGCTATTAGTAGCAAGCTACCCATTTTGTTTAAATATAGACAGATTGCGAAAATAGAAACATTCAGTTGTTTAATAAGTGCACATATAATACCTCTGGTGTATTTTCTGTAGCAATAATTTAACTAATTGTTAATCACAAAGCACAACAAACACTTTTTATCACACCCTTGCGTTAACCATTTTATGATGAATATTGCAAGTGTCTTTCAGCACTGCCAACCTACAACATGAACCCTAAATATCCCTAACCTCTATAATGCTATTATACAGGGTGCAACAATTGATCAATTCAATGCAGTAATTGTAAATTAGGACATATCATTTACCGTTTTAAAACTAGATGCAGTTTACGCAACATATGCAAAAAATATCAACGGCTGCTGGGGTATGATAAATCACACATGGAAATAATCATGAGCGCCACTACTAAAGGCCAAGGAACCCCCCCCCCTCCCCCCGCGACTTGATAAATCGCTTAATCCATTTTAAGAAATGTTAAAAGCTCATAATAAAACCAGTGCACAGCCACTTTTTCTGTCCGATCGGTGTTCGGTGACAAAGTAAGTAATAGTATATTATATACCTAATACCAAGGGACTAAAGTGTGTGTTTTAATTCCGAGGGTACAGATTGTTTCCCGAAACGTAGTTGTGGCAACATAAGGATCTTACTCGCTATTGGTCCAGACACGTGATCGGCCATAGCTCCTCTGATCCACAACTCTGATATTAACGCCGAATATACCCGTAGTATAGCTATACACCTCAGACTATCATAGTCTAAGGAACTTTCCTTCTCTAAGCTATAGACTGTGTAAATACCTTACACCATATAGTACATGGACTGCTAATTGTAACGAAAATATGGTCAAGGACATCGCCTGGGTATGTGAGTTTCAAGGTAAACGAGTCTGTCCGAAGTTGTGCGATTAGACACGATTTGAGACTGTCAACCTATAAATTAACAAACGTCAATTAATTAAGCGCCTAGATATGCCAAAAAAGCAAACCTATCCGTATTTGTGGACGTATAGAAGATAATCAAGAGTATTTAAAGCTTCCCGTACTACGTTGTTACCATAAAAGCTACTCTTTACGCGATCCGAGTGGTGTTCATACGACTTTAGTTTACCCTAGATTCACATACCCACTACAGTGCCCTCTATCGGTGACCACCCATTTTGTATTGAAAGCATAGGGATAATAGCAGTCCATGTACTATATGGTCTAAGGTAAATACGCAGTGTGGTCGCTCCAAGTCCACCATGTTTTTTTCCCAATAATTATTGAGCTGATTGGTTTGTAAGCGAATTGCGCAGTAGATTTTGCTATGGTTATAATAATATTGCAACAATTGTTTCCAGCAAGATGACTTCATCACCTTGGTTTCCAGGTTAATTTCTACCAACAGGGTGTATTTGGTTGAAACAGCTACAAACAGAAAATAACATCACTATATAACCACACCTGTCTCTATAGTCTTTGTAATTTCTCTTGATGGTAAAAACGTCTACGTTTGTCAATTTGAATTATTTAAAATCTTCACATTTCTTTCCAACCGACACATTTTGATAGTTGTAAATTCAGGAGAGCAACTTCTCATCCTACCCAAATTGGAGCTTTTACCCAGTGTTATGAAAGGTACCTACTTTTATTTGAATATCTAGATACAAATACATTTAAAAACGGTATCTATAGATACATTTGCTTCAGTGTATCTAGGGACAGATATACCTACACATACTTATATACATATTTTGTATCTAGATAACATAGTGGAAAAAAGTGTAGAAGGCCCTGGAATTGAGTTTAAGACAAATTTATATCTAATAACTGTTGGATAAAGACGTGTGCACTTATTTCACCGAGACCCACTCGTAAACCCAAATTCCATATTTGTGAGTAGGTACAACATCGTCTTTTGCCATTGGATGAATAGGTAGGAAAAGAAATGCAATTGGATAAATCCGGTAAATAACACTAATATTTTTATTTGTGAATAATGTAAACGTATAATTGTCTTACCATACCTACCACTAGAGATTAGACTTAACTGGATATTTTTTGTGGTTGTTTTATCATACTTACTTTCATTTAACTATAGATAATTGTATTAACTTTTTATATTTGACAAATAATATGTACAAAAAAAATGTCAAATGGCGTTTGCACCGACAAATTTAAGCTGAGCTTAGCCATTGATTATGAATTTATGAGTGTGTATAGCACGAACTTATAAGATAGACTGCTAATGCTGAATTAACAAATGACATCTACATGGGGGCCGCCATGATGTGCACTCACTTGGCGCGAAATTCAAATCAACCAATAAACAAGCATTAACCCAAGATTAACCTCACGTTTTCTAAATAAATTACTGTGACACGTGTCATTTTCCAAGGCTGCAATAGTCTCAAAACTTGAGCACTAGGAAAATTCCCTAGAAAATAACTAAAATGTGCACATCATGGCGGCGCCCATGCTAGGGCCATTTCTTCCTCTATGCAACTGTTTGATCAGCAGTCCATCTTAATTTATAAGTTCGTGGTGTATAGTCAATGGCTTAGCTTAAAATCCATGGCCACCATTGTCACAATAATCGTTGCCATGGATTTTAAGCTACGCTCAAGCTAAGCTCCGCTTAAATTTCTCGGTGCAAACGGCCATAAGTATCTAGGACGCTCAGATACAATGAAAAATGTATCTAGTTACAGATATCGTTACATTTTTTAAGTATCTATAATGTGTAAATTGATACTTAAAAAGTATCTAACTGTATCTAGCGACAAGTATCTACTAATAGGTATGTCACAATATTGTTTTTACCATACACATCATTATGGCTCTTATATTTACAAGGCAAGATCATAGGCGTATACTGGATGCTTAGATCCGAGCGTAGATCATGATCTAAGACTGGTAGTGCGTTTGTATTTTTACTTCCGAAGTGAGATCATTGAATGGTGAGATCACATAGACATATGCTTATTCTCATATGATATGAGTGAGATCGAGGAGAGCAAGTAGTGGCAAAAGTTGTTAATCTGACAAGGATCACCCTGTATACAATATCACATATAATGGCCATAGAGACATATGTCATATGTCTATGACACAGCTTACTTTATGCAGCTGCACAACTCTCTTGGCGGGAGCGGTTTGCGCCGATCTACGCGGCAGCGCTTATGCCCCGCCTCTTGGGGTAAAAGACTGCATTGGCTGTTTGGCGTGCAATTGAGCTCAGTGTTGCCACGTTGGCCATTTTCCCGAATTCAATTCAATTAGGCAAAAAATGTATTAAACACCTAACCCTACTTTCATTGCAATATTACGTAATATTGTACAGCAAATTCTAAACGTTCACATTACAATCAAAGACTATGAGGATAGTCTTTGTTACAATACAGCACAAAAATCACCTACTACGGTACTGTGAAGCTACCGTGTGATGAAAATTCGTTTAATCCGGCCCCGACTTTTACCCCAAGCGCGAGAAAGTGCGCACCATTCCATCTCGCTTGGTTGTAGACCGCCAGATCAAACGCGCCGCTCGAGAGTTGCGGAGCTGGGATAGTACCTAAGTAAGCTGTGTCTATGATCTATGATAATGGCATGGCATGTTACCTTCACAAATCACTTGTTACAAGCATGCAGCGTTACCAGATCTACCGTTTTTGCGGTAGATATACCGTTTTGAGTTTTAAGCTACCGTTCTACCGAAATCAATATAATTTCTACCGCTAAAGATTGCAGTTACACAATACTATTATTTGTACCTCTTCATATCTTTTTAGCAGCATTTGCGCTCAACTGACCTGGAAGCTTATTCTCAATAAATAAAATAAGCATAAAAATTAACTCGGCATTATCATGGAATTAATTTAACATGAATTAACAAAGATTATACCATGATTATACTATGATTGTACGTACATTATCTGTAATCTTAAATGATAAAGTAAATTATTATAAGCAAGCAAATTTAATTAATTTAATGATCAATGCAGGATATAGATTTTTTTAGAGCTAACATACCCCATTTCTCTTAAAACGGTGCTTATAAAAAATCTACCGTCAAATTTTTAAATATACCGCTTGTTACCTTTGTTTTTGAGATGACTTGTGGCAAAGAGTATTATGGTTACTCTTTGCTTGTGGGACAGTGGCGGACCCGGACAGTGGAGATGACATTAACCTAACTTTTATTGTGCAGGTAAGTATGTATGTGTACATCAATTTTATTTTGCATTCGCAATATTCGTATTAAAAATTAAAGGGAAAATATGGACCCTACAATATGGGAAGAATCTTTACTTCTTGCTTTTGAATGACTATTCATACTAATCAATCACCTCCATTGTCCATGATTTTCTTTTAAATCTTTATTCATTGTTTAAATCCCTAGCTCTACTACCTCAACTCCTACATAACCTTGCAATGCATGCTGCAAATTTAACAGTTTGGAATTTTGGATTTCGAGAGCCTTGTGCAAATTTTCACAAGGACTAAGTGGTCACGGAAGAATTTTGCTTATGCAATTACCAGCTTCGAAATATAAAAATATCTACTTAATCTCAAGGACTTAATCTGTGATTAATGATTGAAATGAATCCAGGCGTTAAAATTACCTTATGTACCAATATCGCATACCGTGACATTCATGTCATCTGAAATAATGTCTGCTCCCGATGTGTAGAAACAATGGCTGCATCCACGTCGTCTACAGAAACACGCCCAAAATTGATCGTTTTTGATTTGGGTAAATGAAGAGTGTGATTTGGGTGTGGAGTAACCAATAACTTTTTTAGATTATACCTTGTGGCCATTCTGGGTTGACACACACGTTACTCCACCATTCCGTAAAAGGTAAATGTTGGCCATACACCTGTAGCCATTGAAATATACGCTGTCTATATAATGTAATATTATTATACTAGAGGCTGTTACATCTATTACATCCTATTTTTTCAACTTTGGTATTATCTTACAGTTCATCTGGAAAAATTGTAGATGCTAGAGGAGCGACAATTTCATGTTACAAGGAGGTGCCAAAGGTGTTAAAGAAACTAAACGAAGATGGATATACTCTCGGTGTAGCTTCACGCACCTCTGAAATACAGGGAGCCAATCAGCTTATCAAATTATTCGGATGGAGCAAGTACTTTAAATATAAAGAGATCTATCCTGGAAGTAAAACGGCTCACTTTGCAAGGTATTTTTATACATTGCTATGGATGGGTAATTACAGTGTTTGTTTGTGTAGGTTTAAGAAACAGTTGGAGGTGCCTTATAGCGATATGTTATTTTTTGATGATGAAAGTAGAAATATTAGAGATCTAAAAGAGGTAGGGGTTACTTCAATTCTTGTCAAGGATGGAGTCGACGCAAAGGTTGTTGAGATGGGGATAAGAGAGTACCGCAATGAACACAGTGCTTAAAATAATTTGTATTTATTAAAAAATATATGTACATAAATGTGATTGTTACAATGTGTTGAACTGTATTAATTAATAAAAAAAAAAAAAAGATAATAGGTACTTTACAACTGATGCAATTGGGAGGGTTTTCGAAAGCATTCCATGATAATAATAATAAAGGTCTTTATGGCCTTTTCCTGTTGCACCAGATATAATTATTGCCGACCTGCGTAGCTCAGATGAGTTTACATTAGTAGCTCTAATTTTAGCTACAAAGGTTGAGTTCGAATATTTTATTTAAACTTTTTCTTTTGTAACTTTATGCTTTTAATGGAAACCAAATAAAGACTAAAACATCGGGGCGCCATCAAATCAAACCTAAAGCAGTAGTCACCGGCAATAAGGAATGAAGGCGGATGTAGCACATCGTGAAATATGTTTATTCGAGAATGTTCTAGAAGTGTTTGTTATCTATATAGACGTGAGTGATAAATAATACGTACTCTGTAACTCAGTACATAAATAAATCGGGTATTTAAGTACATATACATATAATATATATATCAAAACGAGCTTTCTAAGGATTTCCAGTGCCAAGATCTTGATGAATGTGCGGTGATGCCAAGATGAAATTACCTAGCTAAAAATTAGAAATATCGAAGCTTCGAAAACATCGATTTCATTTTAACAATATCGATCACTTTACTACAAGTTTTACAATAAGAGACCTGCATTTAACTTTGACAAGAACATGCCTATTTAAATACACCTAACAAGAAAAATTATTGAAGGTAATCCGAATTCGCTGATACTCTGTTGAACCACGGACCATTGGATGGGGGGGGGGGGGCTTTGGTACTTCGAATGTAATAAACAGAGAACTAATTAAAATATTTATTGGTATAGTGCGTTACAAAATAATGTATATGCTTAATTAACACTTGATGACAAATATAAAAGATATATTAAGAAAATAATAACTACAACTGTGAATAGTATGTACATGTATCTAAGAAATAAATAAGAAAAATAATATGGAGTCCTTGCAGTTTGTAAGAGTTCGAAGACTCCCTTATTTTCGAGCTTATCTTAAGGATTATTGAAAAAAAACAAAAATTTTCAAAACTATCTTTCAGCTCTTTAAAACATTTGTATTTCACCATGTAAGTACTACAACATTTGTCCTAAACATTTTTTTTCAATTTATTCTGGAAGAGGGGCCAGCTCGGAAATCAAAATTGAAAAAATGTTTAGGACAAATCTTGTAGTGATTTTGTTTTACTTTCAAAAATTGATGGAGTGGTTTTCAAAAAAACTTTTTTTAATTTTTGATCAATCGCTATTTTGTTATTTAAAAAATATAAAATAATTGCAAATACAAATGTTTTATGGAGCTGAGAAATATTTTTTTAAATGTTTGCTTTTTCAATAGTCCTTAAAATAAGGGAGTTTTTTTTTTCGAAAAATAAAAGAACGCCAATAACTTCGAACGGGAGCACCAAATCAAAAGTTGGAAATATGAACAGTCTTTTGTTTTAAAAAGTTCTAACCGCCATTTTAGGGTGTAACGGCTTTGTATTAACACCCTATATAACCCACTTGACTATATATATATATTTTTTTTTTCAGGAAAAGGCAACGACAACAAAGGTCTTACGCCTAATGTATTCGTGTTAATCGTTACTTCTTATTTATAGCGTTTTAAATAAATTGATATTTTTTTTTTAATTTCAGTGTATATGTATAATGGAATGATTTTAAACGTATTAAATATTCAAATTGCCAAATGCGAGTCCAAATGAGGACCCATTCAGCATACATGCCCTAAGCCATGGCTTGATGAGCTTAGTGAAAAAAAAGACCCTGAAAACTACTCAACTGTTTTTCTAATGTCGCGTAATCGTTAAATTTGTTCTTTCAATGGGAGAAGCTGAGGAGCACCCTGTCATGTGAAGATAACCACTAACATATCCCAAAAAATGTTGCGCAAAGTCCAATCTCATAATTGCAATTACTTAGCACATTTAAAACTTTGGACACTTTTATAAATGTTTTAAACCATGCTGTTTAAGATAGGATTTCTCGAGGGATTTATAGTTCATCTCAAAATTCACAATTAGCACATTTAAAATCTTTATCAAATTTTATGTTTTAAAAGATGTTGTATAAGGTTCCGTTTACGATTTGTCCCATAGTCACAGTCAGAACATTTAAAATCCTCAGAAACTTTATGTGTTACAAGATGTTGTTCCAGGAGGTATTTATAATTTGTCTCATAATCACAATCAGCACATTTAAAATCCTTAGAAACTTTATGTTTTAAAACATGTCGTTTGAAGTTCCGTTCATTATGTGTCCAATAATCACAATCCGTACATTTAAATACCTTAGAAACTGAATGTGTTAAAAGATGTCGTTTGAAGTGCTGTTTATAATTTGTCTCATAATCACAATCAACACATTTAAAATCCTTAGAAACTTTATGTTTTAAAAGATGTTGTTTAAAGTTCCGTTTATTATTTGTGCCATAATCACATTCACTACATTTAAAATCTTGAGAAACTTTATGTATTAAAAGATGTTGTTTAAAAAGACGTTTGTTATTTGTCCCATAATAACAAGTAACACATTTAAAATCCTTGGAAATTTTATGTGTTAAATGATGTTGTGTAAAGTTGCTTTTATCATTGGTTTCATAATCACAATCGGAACATTTATAATCTTTAGAGACTTTATGTTTTAAAACATGTCGTTTAAAGAGGCGTCTATAATTTGTCCCATAATCACAATCGGCACATTTAAAACCTTTAGAAACTTTATGTTTTAAAACGTGTTCTTTGAAGAAGCGTCTATCTTTTGTGCCATAATCACAATCAGCACATTTAAAATCTTTATGTTTTAAAACATGTCGTTTGAAAAGGCGTCCATCTTTTGTCCCATAATCACACTCAGCACATTTAAAATCTTTAGAGACTTTATGTTTTAAAACATGTCGTTTGAAAAGGCGGCTAGCATTTGTCCCATAATCACAATCAGCACATTTAAAATCTTTAGAAACTTTATGTGTTAAAAGATGTCGTTTACGGTTCCGTTTATTATTTGTCCCATAATCACAATCAGCACATTTAAAATCCTGAGAAACTTTATATTTTAAAAAATGTCGTTTAAAGTTCCGTTCATTATGTGTCCAATAATCACAATCCGTACATTTAAAATCTTTAGAAACTTTATGAGTTAAAAGATGTCGTTTGAAGTGCGATTTATAATTAGTCCCATAACCGCAATCAACACATTTAAAAGCCTTAGAAACGTTATGGTTTAAAAGATGTTTTTGAAAGTTCCGTTTATTATTTGTGCCATAATCACATTCAGCACATTTAAAATATTTGGAAACTTTATGTTTTAAAACATGTCCTTTGAAGAGGCGTCTATCTTTTGTCTCGTAATCACAATCAGCACATTTAAAATCTTTGGAAACTTTATGTTTTAAAACATGTCGTTTGAAGAGGCGTCTATCATTTGTCCCATAATCACAATCAGCACATTTAAAATCTTTATCAACTTTATGTTTTAAACTATGCTGTTTAAGAGATGATTTATACCTGGTCTCAAAGTCACAATCAACACATTTAAAATCTTTGTAAACTTTATGTTTTAAAAGATGTTGTTTGAAACTGCATTTATCATTTGTCGCATATTCACAATCACCACATTTAAAATCTTTATCAACTTTATGTTTTAAAAGATGCTGTTTAAGGTTCCGTTTATTATTTGTCCCATAATCACAATCAGCACATTTAAAATCCTCAGAAACTTTATGTGTTAAAAGATGTCGTTCCAGGAGGTGTTTATAATTTGTCTCGTAAGCACAATCAGCACATTTAAAATCCTTAGAAACTTTATGTTTTAAAAAATGTCGTTTAAAGTTCCGTTCATTATGTGTCCAATAATCACAATCCGTACATTTAAATACCTTAGAAACTGTATGAGTTAAAAGATGTCGTTTGAAGTGTGATTTATAATTAGTCTCATAACCACAATCAACACATTTAAAAGCCTTAGAAACGTTATGGTTTAAAATATGTTTTTTAAAGTTCCGTTTATTATTTGTCCCATAATCACAATCAGCACATTTAAAATCTTGAGAAACTTTATGTATTAAAAGATGTTGCTTAAAAAGGTATTTGTTATTTGTCCCATAATAACAAGTAACACATTTAAAATCCTTGGAAATTTTATGTGTTAAAAGATGTTGTTTAAAGGTGCCTTTATAATTGGATTCATAATCACAATCAGCACATTTCAAATCTTTAGAAACTTTATGTTTCAAAACATGTCGTTTGAAGGAGCGTCTATCTTTTGTCCTATAATCACAATCAGCACATTTAAAATCTTTAGAAACTATAGGTTTCAAAACATGTAGTTTGAAGAGGTGTCTATCTTTTGTCCTATAATCACAATCAGCACATTTAAAAGCTTTATGTTTTAAAACGTGTCTTTCGAAGAGGCGTCTATCTTTTGTCTCATAATCACAATCAGCACATTTAAAATATTTGGAAATTTTATGTTTCAAAACATGTTTTTTGAAGAGGTGTCTATTTTTTGTCTCGTAATCACAATCAGCACATTTAAAATTTTTATGTTTTAAAACATGTCGTTTGAAGAGGAGTCTATCTTTTATCCCATAATCAAAATCAGCACATTTAAAATCTTTGGAAACTTTATGTTTTAAAACATGTCGTTTGAAGAGGCGTCTATCTTTTGTCCTATAATCACAATCAGCACATTTAAAATCTTTATAAACTTTATGTTTTAAACTATGCTGTTTAAGAGATAATTTATACTTTGTCTCAAAGTCACAATCAACACATTTAAAATCTTTGTGAACTTTATGTTTTAAAAGATGTTGTTTGAAATTGCATTTGTAATTTGTCGCATATTCACAGTCACCACATTTAAAATCTTTATCAACTTTATGTTTTAAAAGATGCTGTTTAATGTTCCGTTTATTATTTGTCCCATAATCACAATCAGCACATTTAAAATCCTGAGAAACTTTATGTGTTAAAAGATGTTGTTCCAGGAGGTATTTATAATTTGTCTCGTAAGCACAATCAGCACATTTAAAATCCTTAGAAACTTTATGTATTAAAAAATGTCGTTTAAAGTTCCGTTCATTATGTGTCCAATAATCACAATCCGTACATTTAAATACCTTAGAAACTGTATGAGTTAAAAGATGTCGTTTGAAGTGCGATTTATAATTAGTCTCATAACCACAATCAACACATTTAAAAGCCTTAGAAACGTTATGGTTTAAAACATGTTTTTTAAAGTTCCGTTTATTATTTGTCCCATAATCACAATCAGCACATTTAAAATCTTGCGAAACTTTATGTATTAATAGATGTTGCTTAAAAAGGTATTTGTTATTTGTCCCATAATAACAAGTAACACATTTAAAATCCTTGGAAATTTTATGTGTTAAAAGATGTTGTTTAAAGATCCTTTTATAATTGGTTTCATAATCACAATCAGTACATTTAAAATCTTTGGAATCTTTATGTTTTAAAACATGTCCTTTGAAGAGGCGTCTATCTTTTGTCTTGTAATCACAATCAGCACATTTAAAATCTTTATGTTTTAAAACATGCCGTTCAAAGAGGCGTCTGTCTTTTGTCCCATAATCACAATCAGCACATTTAAAATCTTTGGAAACTTTATGTTTTAAACGATGTTGTTTGAAACTGCATTTATCATTTGTCGCATATTCACAATCACCACATTTAAAATCTTTATCAACTTTATGTTTTAAAAGATGCTGTTTAAGGTTCCGTTTATTATTTGTCCCATAATCACAATCAAGACATTTAAAATCCTGAGAAACTTTATGTGTTAAAAGATGTTGTTCCAGGAGGTATTTATAATTTGTCTCGTAATCACAATCAGCACATTTAAAATCCTTAGAAACTTTATGTTTTAATAAATGTCGTTTAAAGTTCCGTTCATTATTTGTCCAATAATCACAATCCGTACATTTAAATACCTTAGAAACTGTATGAGTTAAAAGATGTCGTGTGAAGTGCGGTTTATAATTTGTCGCATATTCACAATCAACACATTTAAAATCTTTATCAACTTTATGTTTTAAAAGATGCTGTTTAAGGTTCCGTTTATAATTTGTCGCATATTCACAATCAGAACATTTAAAATCCTGACAAACTTGATGTATTAAAAGATGTCGTTTAAAAAGTTGATTGTTATTTGTCCCATAATAACAAGTAACACATTTAAAATCCTTTGAAATTTTATGTGTTAAAAGATGTTGTTTAAAGGTGCTTTTATAATGGGTTTCATAATCACAATCAGCACATTTCAAATCTTTACAAACTTTATGTTTCAAAACATGTCGTTTGAAGAGGCGTCTATCTTTTGTCCTATAATCACAATCAGCACATTTAAAAGCTTTATGTTTTAAAACGTGTCTTTCAAAGAGGCGTCTATCTTTTGTCCCATAATCACAATCAGCACATTTAAAAAATTTGGAAACTTTATGTTTCAAAACATGTTTTTTGAAGAGGTGTCTATCTTTTGTCTCGTAATCACAATCAGCACATTTAAAATCCTTAGAAACTTTATGTTTTAATAAATGTCGTTTAAAGTTCCGTTCATTATTTGTCCAATAATCACAATCCGTACATTTAAATACCTTAGAAACTGTATGAGTTAAAAGATGTCGTGTGAAGTGCGGTTTATAATTTGTCACATATTCACAATCAACACATTTAAAATCTTTCTTTAAAGTTCCGTTCATTATTTGTCCAATAATCACAATCCGTACATTTAAATACCTTAGAAACTGTATGAGTTAAAAGATGTCGTGTGAAGTGCGGTTTATAATTTGTCACATATTCACAATCAACACATTTAAAATCTTTCTCAACTTTATGTTTTAAAAGATGCTGTTTAAGATTCCGTTTATAATTTGTCGCATATTCACAATCAGCACATTTAAAATCTTGAGAAACTTTATGTTTTAAAACATGTCGTTTGAAGACGCGTCTATCTTTTGTCCTATAATCACAATCAGCACATTTAAAATCTTTAGACACTGATTTGCACCTAGGTAAAACGTGAAAGTCAGACTGTGACTGTACTTCTTCATTATAAAGAGATTTTGAACTTGGCGTACTAATGGTAATTTCATCCTTTATTGTCACCAAAAGTTTGTTGCTTACTGAAGTATGTCCTTGAAGAAAGGAATGAATTTCTTCTTCTTGTTTTGGTTCAATTTTAATGAGTAGTCTGTCATTATCTCCATCCTCGTCTCCATCCATACCTAACAACAATAACCTTATAAGTAAATGTGTTAAAAATCTATTTTCGTATAAACAATAGAAATCCCAGGGCAACCAGACAAGTAACTTGGACTAATACAAACTTTGTCAAGTTCTTCCAATTATTAACGAGCTCCTAAGCGACTTCGCATGATGTTGGACCTTCTGTTCGTCCATACCTAATCAAACAAAATCTAATGCTCAGTGGAAGTAATACAATATTATCTTTGTTTCGGAATAAACAATGCTATTATAACTCTCGCCAGGAAAGATTGCCGGTCACAGCACACCTTGTGTCGATCTACAATCTATATGTTTTTCTTAAGATGCGAGCGACTTCCGGAATAGGATCGTGCCAATGTTGAACGAAAAGTCTTTTTGTTCAATATTGTCACGATACTATCCAGGAAGTCGCTCACATCTTTAGTCAAACACAGATTGTAGACCGAGATGAAGTGTTCTGGGACCGGCAATCTTTCCTGGCGAGAGGTTTATATACGTTAACGTCGGTGAAATATGTTTATTATAAGCCTGCCTTGCTCTTATGTTTAAACACTTTAATGTAAATGTAGAAGCTATGACATTTGGTAAAAGTAAATGTAAAAATAGGTCAATGCGGGGGTAAATACTTGATAGGTACTTACCTAAAATATTACAAAATCTTTCTCTACATGTTCATTATTGTTCTTTAAATGGCAAGTAAAGATACTAATTAGCTACTCTCAGTCACTGACCTCTTTTTCATTTATAGGGTTTTCCACTTGCTGCCCACAGACCATCAACGGATTGCTGCCCTCTGCCCTCTGACGAACTGAGATCGACTTTTTTACGTTTTAGTGGTCTATGGTTTTAGCGTTTTCCACACACCAAAGATCATACACGTAAATCAGTTCGCATTATATCAGAGCAGAGCAGCGTTATCCACTTGTCCGGTTGCTCCCTGAAATTTCGCTTTAAATTCGCATTTTGTAGACCTGGGGGCCGATTCTAACTGATTTCAACGGTCTAAAAAGAATTTCGACGGCGCCATGACACCAAATTTCTACTCATAAGCCCGTTTGTAACGATCTCTTATTTAGTCAATTTTTAAATAATTTTTTTGGGAACAAAAAAATTGAACATTTCATACTTCAACTTTGATCAATTTTTTGGATAGGAACTGAAAATTGTCCTATTTTTGTAATGTTTAGAACCTGTCCTATTTTTCCCTCAATTTTTTAGTAATTTTTGACAGATAATAGGGAATTTGTAAAATTAAAATTAAATTTATATTCATTTTTAAAGCTCACTATAACACGTTGACAGTAGATAGAGACCTTAGTTTACAGAAGATAAATATCTAGTCTCCAGATCTGCAGTTTTCCTAATTCGTAAGGTAAATACCGGAGGAGTATAGAACAACTTAAGACCTTCTGCAGAGGCACCTCTAAAAAGCATTATGCGGATCACTCTGTAATTGGGCCCAAGCCTGTTGAGGGCCCAGAACAAGAGAGTGATAATAAAATTTATTTAATAAATAAATAAATAACATAGGTTATGTACAAATGTTTACATTTTACTGGTACTAAAAAATTGACAATATTATGGAATGTTACATACAGTTTCATCATTTATGACATTTTTAGGATAGCATTATCTTTATTGAAGTAAAAAAGGGCTAAAAATTTTACTAAATACATAAGTGATCGTTACAAACGGGCTTTATTAGGGTGTAATAGGAAGTTTATGTTTCTTTAAGTTTGCTCTTTTATTTTGCTAAGGTGGCTATCTGATTTTGAACTATTTTAAACTTTATAAACAAAACCTTATGTTCGCCCTAACCCTACAGTAGCTACAATCGTACCTATTTATCAGTGCATCATGGCTTTTGGATTAATAAATTTTTTAATTGTTGAGGATTTAGAGTTAGAGGAAGAAAGGAATCGTGCCAGACTTTTTCGAAGAATGATTCGAGATACCCAAGATCCTTTTACCATTTCTGATTGATAAAAAATGTAAATAGTGTACCTACCAAAACACAAAATTGAGGTTAAAACCACGTGCGACTTTGCGAATAACAAAGCGCGCACTGTCGCTATCTCTTCTATTCTAGCGCAGCGGAGAGCCCGGAAAGGGCATACAGCAAAACCTATTCAAAGACTTACCACCAGTCTCTGTAACTGTTATATGGTTGCCGAGAAAAAAATTAAAGGAGAAATGGAAACTTTGCCACTTTTTTGAGGGTGGCTCCTAAACGAAATACGTTGGACCCTCGGTTTATTTGGAAAAAATGCTTGTTTTTGTCAACTTTACCAGTCACCACCCAATTTTTTTACATACTTATATTATATGTAACACCCTGTATATTTCACCAAAGAACTGAGATACATGGAGTTAATGAATTGTTTGAGATTTTACAATACAACTCGGCGGAATGCATTTGTAAACGGCCTATATGGCTAGTTTTGGTAAACTATTCGGAGAGAAATTTCTTAGTAGAGTAGAACCTCTTACGCATCGCTCCTTGTTGCGCGAACGCTGCTGACTATCCTTCCCTCTCCGTCTCACTCGCGACTCCCGACTCGGCGAGGTCGGTAGGTTTTTACTTAAATGACTGTAACTTTTTTATTATGAAAAATTCACGGTAATGTTATAGGAAATAAAATAATCACAATGCTTTGAAGCATCGAATGAGCTATGAATATTGGAAATCGATATCGTGAAATAAAAGTTCAAAGTGTGCACTTTTCATCTGCTACACGAATTTTGGAAGTTGACGGTCATTTTTCTAAAAACTGTGCATAACAAGGTAGGTAAATATGAATGCTTTAGATTCTGCTATAAATGTACTTTCATTTTACAAAAGGAATTATTGATGTATATCGCTTAGTTGCTGAGAAAATAAATACTTTCGGTGGTCTAGTCGCGCGCGCGAAAATGAGTAAATTTCAACTTTAGCGGCCTATAACTTTTGTCAGGACCACGGGAAAATGTCGTAAAGCGAGATTCTGAAGGTTCAAACATTTCTGAACAAAATGGTGTGGGTCCCAATTCTTTCTACTCCGAAAAAATTTTTTGAACGATTTCGCGGGTCTCTCCGCTGCACTATAGTATATTTCTTATTTTAGTATCTATAATGCAAAAACGAAATACACAACTGGCAAGTGACAGTTCAATTCTTGCCTGTGATTCGTTAGCTCATCAAGTTTGTCCACGATTCGGGAATGCAGCTAAAATTGAACTTATCCCTATCAACTAACTTCGGGAATCGATGCCCAGACCAAAGAGTAACCATAATTACTCTTTGCCCAGACGTACTTATGTAACACAGTTTGTTGTATTTACCTAAACCCTACAGTCGTGTCTCTTCCAAAATAGTCGCTGGAATTTGAAAACTAAACCATACGCCATTTTCGCACCAGGGTTGAAGAACACTAAAACTTGAGAAGTAGAAATAGATTGTCTGCCTCCTCTACAAATGGTATGGATCCAGTACACATTTTATATGAAAAAAAAAATAATAAATTAATATCAAATATTTATTTAAAAAAACATTCAAAATGTACAATATTTGAACAAGGAATTTTAAAGTTTACAATACAAAGGCACTAGTCCATATAATGGCACAGATAAAAGTACAACTGAAATAAAACAATATACATTTTCTTATAAAAATTCGTTTTACACCGTTATAAAATGGATGGTACCCGATCACTGATATTTTTACATTACTATACATTTTGTTTGGCCGATTACGTATACCAAATTAGATCTAAGCACAATATTTTTTTATTGCTTTGTAAAAACTTCTCAGATACAATAAGTACTGTAACTATATAAAATAACATACAAGACAGGCAATTTGTTAACTAAATAACTAGAGTGTAGTCATTAAATATCACAGACAATACGGGCAAGATTGTTTTCGAGCCATAACTTACCCCATTTTTACATAGTGTTTAGATATGTTATACCTTACAATAAAAGCGCCATTAACATTAAGCGTAATGGCACAAAAAAGTTCAAGTCGCCTCTCGTTTATTGCTAATTAAGTATTTTTCTTCACATTGTTGCGTTGGCACAGCCTCACCAAAAAAAACCACTTCACTTCTATACAGTCGTTTCCCCCTTCTGCTGCAACGGCTGCAATTCTCGTTGTAAACGATCAAAGTCATTGTAGTACTCGTGATCGGATTCATCTTCCAACGATTTCTGAGGTACATAATTACTAGATTTACTATTTACATTATTATCGTTTGCAACAGTGTTGGAGTGTACAAATTCGGAGACGGTGGGAATGCCCAAAGTCTGACACGCCGCCTCCGGTCCCATTAAATACTCCGGGTTATCGATGTTCGTTTTACAGAAGTCTGCGTAGGACTGATACATGTTAGTGGAAGTATCGTCGGAATTTTTACTACTATCGCCTATTAAGTCTACATAAGTGGAAGACGTGTGCGTCTGTTGCGGGGACGGCATCAAGTAGTCGTCCTCGTCGACTGGCAATTCGAGTTTTAAGCTGCCGACCTGCGCTTGAGATCGTCCGGCGTCGTATTCGTCAGAGCCGATATCTTCTTTATTGAATACGCTTAGCGAGTCGTCTCGATATTGTAAACTTGAGCAATCGGAGTTGTTCCCCATGTTTAGCGAGTTCGGATCTAAACCGTGCGCCTTCGCGTAGCGCAGGCGCTCTTGATTCCAGTTGTGCTGATTTTGAGGAGAACAGCTACCATCTGATATGGTATGAGGTGGGGCGTTGGGCCAAAACGATGCTAGCGTGGAAGGTATTGATCCAGACATAGATGTTAAACCGCCAACGGACAAAGGCGCTCGAGATTTCGGTTGTAGATATTCTTCTCCTGATTGGCTTCCAGAATTTTCCATAGATGAAGCCAGGTTGCGCACCACATCTTTTTCCTCCTGGAATATAAAAGGTTTCTTAAGCGAGGATCGGGGTTTTTGCCATATGCTTAAACTCTGGTACTACCATACAAGGCTGAGTCACAAAAAGGATGTATACCCTTTACCAAATGTTTCAAATATATTGGATAAATTACAGGCAAAAAAAGGATGAATACTCTTTACAGAATGTTTTAAATACATTGGATAAATTATACTATTTGTATATCAATTAGCACATATCAAAATCTCATACTTTTGATTCAAAAATTCATACAGAATTCAACGAGATACAAGACTGGTACAACTCACCTGTAATGGAAAATTTTGAAGTCGCATATGTTTATCGCCAACAATAACCAGATACCTTCCAGGGTCTCGTGTCATTTTCGAAAAATCCTCCGCCAGCTCCTTGAAACTAGGCCTACTCTCGGCATCCAACATCCAACACTTAATCATAATCATATATACATCTATGGTACAAATTTTTGGTTGCGGAAGCCGTTCGCCCTTCTCCAACTTTTCGGGCACATCTCTGGCGGGCACGCTGTCATACGGTCGACCGCCAAAAGTAAGCAACTCCCATATGGTTACGCCAAAGGCCCACACGTCCGATTTATGCGTGAAAATGCGATGCTGAATACATTCGAGTGCCAGCCACTTGATGGGCATTTTTCCTCCGGCGGCCTTGTATTCTTCCTCGTTGATGTCGAGCAGCTTCGCCAGTCCGAAGTCGGTAATTTTGACGCAGGCGGGAGTTTGTACTAAAACGTTTCGAGCGGCCAAGTCGCGATGTACCAGCCTCTTCTCTTCCAAGTAGGCCATACCTCTCGCGATTTGAGTGCACCAATTCAAAAGTAGCTTGGACCCGATTTTCTCACGATTGTTTCTTACAAAATCCAGCAGACAGCCCAACGGCATTAGTTGCGTCACCAACATCATTTGTGACGTCATGCAAACGGCTAGCAACTGTAGCAGATTCGGATGATCGACGCTTGCCATGATGTACGCCTCGTCTAAAAATTCTTTGCTCGTGTTGACGCCGGTGTCCTCACGCAGCACCTTAATCGCAACCGGAATTTTGAGGTTTTCACCTTCGGGCACCCAAATGCCCTTGTAGACAGTTCCAAACGCGCCGAAACCCAATATACCACCCCGACGCATTTCTGCTTCTTTGATGATACGCAGTTTAGCCAGATTGGGTTGAACGTTAGTCGGCCGCAGAGGCTCGTTATCTTCGAGTCCTTGTAACGCTATGGTCATGTTTAACGTATCCTCTTTTTGCCTCAGTTTCTTACAATAGAAGTAGAATATCACGATGACGACTACGGTAACCACAATGAATAGCGTACCACCAATTGTACTTCCGTAGATCACTGACGCGCTTTGAGATTGCAGGGGACTCTTCATATGGGCCATGTACTCAGATGAACAGTAAGGATACTCGTTCGTTTCCGATGAGAAGATTTTGTTGGGATATTCTGGTGGGCATACTGCAATACACTGAAATGTCGAATTCGGCGAAGGAGGGTCGTCGTCATATAACTTCAGGTGCTCGCATTGCAGGCAGTTTCGTGGACCCGGTCCGGTACAACCCCTGCACTGTTCGTCGCATTTGAGGCACTCCTGACTGTTGTCGTCCGGATAGTACTGTTCGGGACACTCGTCCTCGCATTGCTCACCTTTCTTGTAACTGGTACAAAGCTGGCAGACGAGTTCGTGGAATCCGTATCCGGTGCACTTCTTACACCTCGGATGACACTTTCGACATATCGCTTTTCCCGCCAAAGGTTTCAGCTTCTCTTGCTCCTGAGGCCTACCGATCCATTCGTAAAAGTAACCGTCCGGACACGATTCGTTCTTGTGCAGGCACAAATTCACCGTCGCGTTCTCGTTCATTATCGCTTTTTCGCACGAATTGCAGCCGCCTACCCCTAGCGTGTTGCGCGGACCGGTGCAGCCGTCGATGCAGTTGACATGGCAGGGCTTACATTCGCCGCGATCCTCATACTTTGAGGCCGGACATTTTGAAACGCAGAAAGGGCCGTCGCGTAAGTGTTTACATGTGGTACAGTTGTCAGGGCCGGGGCCGTAACATGAAAAACCGCACTGTTCGTCGCATAACTCACAAACTTCGTCATTTGCGCGATATATCCTGCAAAAGAAAGGAAACTGTGATTTACGTAACACACATCTTTCTATATAGCTAAACTATATTATTGTATTATTTATGACGTCACGTGTACTGTTGTATATTCTGTATGGTCTGAGCGTTTATTCCGTACCAGTTACCTGGCAAAAACCTGACCTATGCGATTAGGCAGCGAAAACTACGTGTTTCATATTACCATGTGAGGTTGGGAATAGGTAGCAATGCGGTAATAAAGGTCCAGTTAAACCGAAGGCGACGCGGGAATGCGGGAACAAAACCGAAGCGTTATTAAAGAAATTGAAGGAAATAATAGGAAATTGTAAGGTAATGCAAGAGCATTTGGGGAGATATTTTGTAAACATTTTTGTATAATTTATATAACGAAATGGAATCCTGGTTTCGAAATTTGTGGATACCTTTAAAAACGTAAATATCGTATCCAAAGAAAAAAAATTTAACTGTAAGTCTTCGTCGGAGAATAAAAGTGGCCAGAATCGCATGGCATTTTTTAGATTTTTAAGTACAACATTTTTGTACAGTTATTGCACACAACTTTTCAAACATACGCATATTTTTGCTTTGCCTATTTGTTATGACAGTGCGCCATTTTGAATTTTTTTAATGGAGAGGGACGTTATTTTGAAGTTCATTTTATCCATAGTTCCGATTACCAACTAGATTTAGAGTAAATTATTTGTATTTTTTTAATAATAAACACGTTAAATCTTTCGTGTCGATATCCTTTCATCCCTCTCATAATACAAAGGCATAATAAGCAATTACATTTAATTATACCTACATTCCATTACATTATAAATATAAAGCCGCTTTTTTTGTACGCTCCAGTACTTCTTATAAAAGCAAATTGAACTACTGAACATCTATGTCAAAAATTGCTACATCGCTAAATTAAAGGCGCAGCGATACACGAGACGTAAATACTATAAACGGTCTTAATAGATGCTCCCGTGCGATCTTTTTAATTTGTAAACTTCAGAAACCATACGTTTTGCCGAAGCGCCACCTGTTGTGGGGTTACAGTGCATACTTGGGAGATGAACTGCGGTTAAAAAGACATGCCACATGACCTCCTTTTCATGTAGAGAAAACAATCAAAATAGCGCATAGTCGTCATCTTAGAAATGTCTATTTTATGTCATTGAAGTAGTAGATATTTAATACATTACTGTATTTTATAGCAGATGTTACATTTGACATTTTAATAGGTTTAAAATGAGTACGAAAAGTCGCTCTTTAACCGTAAGGGTAGATTAAGTGAAACAGATGATTGTGCATTCTAATGACATCTCTCACTCTTAATTTTAAACGGGACGCGAACTTCAGAACATATGAGAATGCTGTTTCTATGGAAACTTGACCGTGGCGGCAGAACCTAAGCTCGCTATTTTTGAAGTCTAAATTAAATTCAGAAATGACAGAAGCTTTACGATGATTTATATGGCTTCTCCTATTAAATAAAAGCTTTGTATTATACACGACGATAAAGAGAAACTTGCCATCGTGTCTTTCACTCAATAGTTAATATCCCTTTAGCGTCTTGAATAACAGCTATGTACTCCCTTCGGCCCCAAATTTCAACGTGATATGTCAGTTTCCTATTTAAAAGGGGGGGAGGAGAGCCTATTTACGTACACAGTGTATAATTATAATCGTGAATTTTAAATCATAAAAAAATTTAAATAGAATAAATAGGATATATAGACGGCTATTGCTGCAATACAAGCAATAATGGCGATTTTCCAGTATTTTTTGTGCAATTGTGGCAGCATTCATAGGGTTGGTTTCTTATCGATTACAATTTTTAGTTGTAACTTGTAGGGACGAATTTAGCTACATGCCACCCTTAATTCGACGTAAGACCAGTCGCTCTCGATATCAGACTCTCACGCAAATATGCGAGGGGGCGGGGTTGTAGAGAAGAGGACATTTATCCTTCAGGAAGAAAGGAAAATTACAATTTAAAGTGCTCGTTATTCGCCTCATGGTAGCCACCTTCCCCAGATAAAGGTTTTGAATCGTACTTTAATAAGTCCCAGTGTCATCGCAAGCTTGGGCCTCTTTCCTTCACTTTTTATTTAAACTATTTAGCATTAAATACGTAAAAAGATGCTTGCCCTAAGACGAATAACTTCAGTGCAGTTTCCATGCATTGATCAATACTTCCCAAAAGGCGATAGCTATGTGTGCTATGATTTTCTTTACTAGAGGCATCTATGGGTAAAATTTCAAAGAAATATCTCCATAAATTAGAAAGTTGACGTTGCGCAGTTCGCGTATGTGCACATTTAATTTATCCTAAATGCGATATGTTGGTTTTTACTAAATGCGTTTATGGTTAAAATTTTAAAGAGGATCTTCATAAGTAAAAAAGTTGGCATTTTGCAATCTGCGCATGCGCGTATTTGATTTTTTCTATCTGCGATGTATTTGCCTTTGCTAATGACATTTGTATATAGTTTTCGATTTAGACTGCCCATGCGCACATCTAATGTTTACAATATGAGATATGTTTGCCTTTAACATCTGCGATTTAAATTTCAAACAGATATCTCGATAAACAAGACATTGATGCATGCGCACAGTAATCTGATGTTTACAATATGCAAATATGTTTGCCTTTACTAGAAGTATCTGTAGTTAAAATTTCAAAAAATATATTAATAAATAAAAAAGGTGATATTGCGCAGCCTGCGCGTGCGTATATTGATCGTCAAGATTTCTTACTTATGAAGAAATTTTTAACTTAAACTTTTAAAGACAAATACATATATCGTACATAGTATAAATTGCACGCGCAGACTGCACAATGTTCTTAAATTCTTTTTGAAATTTTAACAAATGTAGCGCATAAATCTTTAAAATGTTATTATACGCATTTTATGAAATCGGTAGTGCACTAGAATTTTTTTAAAAACTGAAAAAACGCGTTTTTTGTAATATTTCAAAAAGTATGGATTCGATCTGTTCCAAATGTATGCATTATGTAAGGGACAGGGTGGCAACAATACATATAAATTTCAGATTAATCGTATGAACGGTTTGGAAGTTATGAATTTTTTTCAATTTTGGAAGCATACACGCCACTGACCAAAAATTTAAAATACACAGTAGATTGGTCGCAAACTTGTAGTTGTGGATAGGTACCATACAAAATTTCTTTGTAAAAATTGTAGCTTTCGAGATATAGATCCAGATCCAGATAAAATTTCCACCCTGTATAGTAAATAATAATATACAGTGTCGCTATTAAATATGGAACCAAAGCTCTCACGCTCAAACCGTTTTGAATTTTGCTTGCATATTCCGTTACCGTTGTGTGTGTGCTGAATCAAACCACTTACCCTGGAATTACGCTGCAATTTTGGAGACACATATTTCCCAATCGGTAATTGGCGCAAGCTAAACATTGGTCGGGCCCCTTTCCCCAGCATCCATCCTTGGTGCACTGCTCGTGACAAACCAACCCAGCCGCGCTGCAATTATCTGGACTGCGATTATTCTGTAACATTGCCGAATGCTCCATGCTCTTCTTAATCTTTTTCCAGTTAATTTTTTCGGCGAAACACAAATGCTTATTTTCCAATATGGCGACCGTACCGGAATTGATTCGGCGCAACGAACGCAAATCGAGAGATTCTAATGAGGTCTTAACAATGTACAACGAGGAAAAATAGTCATATAAGGTACGCCCCCCTATCACTTCTAAATTGCGAAAACACGATAAATTTTTAAAGTCCTGATGATACGCTTGAATATTTAAAAAACCCGTAATTTCCTTGAGAGTAGTGAACACTTGCAACCGATCAGGGTGCATTGCAGGGTATCGTTCTCCGAACGTTAGATTGGGGAAGAAGTGTTGATAACCGGTGAACGAGTTCTCTAAAATATGCAAATAACCCTCTATCACTGTACATCCCTTAAAGGTATCGATGTTTCCCGCGTTAACTTGCACGTCACCGGTGCAAGTCTTCGGACACGGCCCCGTACAAGAAACGCACTCCCCTCGTTCCGCCTTTTTATTATTAGGACATGTTCGTACACACGCGCCATTATCCTTTAACAAATGTTCTGGGCACTTTTTTACACACGTCGCGCCATACGCGTACTTCCCATGAGGATTCGGTTCCCACGAGTAAGTCGTAGGGTTGTAGATCTGCATGGGTGGACACTCTTGGGTGCACACACCATCGTCGTAAAAATTTTTACACGCTATACAGTCGCTCTGCTTCGGTCCCACACAGCCACCCGCACAGAACAAATGGCAACACTCCCGCGGATTACTCCCAAAACAGCGTCCCTGGTAACACTGGGGACTACAATTCTCCTTGGAGAATCGCTGGCAATTTTCGACACCTTCGCCCCAACAACCGGCCGAACAATTCTTATGACAAGGCGCGCACTGTCGCTCGGGTGACGAGAAGTTGTAGTGGTAGACGTACTTGCCGATCGGATCCGAGATGATTTCCTTCCAATTGATCGTCTTCACATGGCACAGATTGTAATTGTTGAACAGCACCACGCTCCCGCTCAAGATATCGCGAAGCGCCGGCAATTCAACCGTAAACATTTTCGATGTCGTGACTATCAGCGCGAACTCCTCGTCATAGTCGGACATCTTGAAGAGCGTCCGACCACGAATTATTTGCAGACTTGGAAGTACGACGCGTCGAACGTCGACGTGCGAGATCAAAACGTAGCCGGTCACTTCGCGTATGTATTGCAGGAAGCTCAAGTCGAAATTGCTATCTTGCAGCCAGGTCAGTTCCAAGTTGCCGTCAACGTACGTGCAGTTCGTAAATCGATTCTTCAGATTTCTGTAGTGGTGGTCACGATTGGAAGGCACCGACCAGCGGCCGTTCGTTCCGATGCATACTGTAAAGAAGAAGAGAGCAATTAGGACGGTACTAATGCTTCAAATCACGATTACTGATGGTACAAGGTTTAACTCCATTATGGTTTGGAAATGGTATTTAATTAGTTATAGTTTCCCGTTTCAAACATACAAACATTCGTTGAGTACTTACACAATTTAGCCTAGTCTAGAACCATCCATTTTGATTGGACACATATAGATTTTGGATTCAAAAATCCGTGGATTTTGGGCAACTTCACGCCCTACAAATCACTTCTGTTTTTGTAACACAACCTATCAATTGGGGAAAAACCGAAGTCGATAGCATATTTTGCCCAGGCGCGTCTAAAAAAGCTCACTTTCCTTTTTCAACAGATTAGGAAAACTGCTATTTTGTGTGATCAATTAGTCTCACTAGTCTATGGTGATAGGATATCTATGGTTCTCTCTAATTGGACAGATTACTTCGTCTTCTGTCAAGGTGGTAGGAGGAAAGACCTTTTTCCGCAGCAATTGAAATCGGAGTAAAAGTTCCTTGGGCGACGGAAAAATCTTCTCTTGAAAGAAAAAATTCTCGTCTAACTCAAGAACAAAAAGAGACAACGATTTTAATTCTTCGCCAATCGATTTCTACGAGTTCAAGGATCAATGCTATTGAATAAAACCGGATAAAAGGCGTGTTTCCGAATGCGAGCCGAGTATCAAAAAAAGTCCCTAGTGAAAATCATATCCGATTCTTCGTATCTTGTTTGTTTATGCCATTAAAAAGATACCCCCCCCCCTCCCCCACCCCCAAATTGTCTGAACATAGCGAAATTAAGGAAATGCACTTTCTTGCCACCTTTATTTTTCTAGACGGTTCAATTATCAATTTTCTTTATTCCCACTGTGTGTTTCTGTATTGTTCTTCATACTTTCTCTTTCGTCCTCTCGCCAGGGCATATTATACGTAATTTACATTGTCTAGGTAAATGTTACAACTTGTCATCCTTTTCTTTTCTTTTTGGTTTTCGTGGTTAGGTGGAAGATCAGCAAGAGGAGCTGTCTCCCAATGCTGAACCTCGCCACGAGGTTTCTTTACCTTAGTTAAAATTTTTGTTTTATATTTACAGCTTATTTTAATTTATATATTTATGCAAGGTAATGAAATAAAGGCATTTATTATTATTATTATTATTAATTGTGTAAATAATTAGTGATTTCATTTGTAAATGCACCTACAGTGAGTTGGATTAGTAGAGCCCACTTAATAAAGACTAAATAAATATATCTCGTTACAGGTTTCAGACAAATAGCCCAAACATGGGAAGGAATAGAAGAATCGAAAAAGTGACCTCAACAGCCATAGTGATCATCAATTTAAATTCTGATATGATAAAAATTGACAGTATACAAGCACAATTATTTTATTATTTATTTATTTATTTTTGTCTTTATTAAGTTATTTGTGTATACAGAGTGTTACAGATAGGTGAATGCATTCATGGCACCCTTTTATGATGGTACGCAGAAATTTCAGAGGGACGTTTCTAATGAGGGGTGAATTTACCGTAGATTTGTCGCATCTCAATCATTCGCTCTAAGCAGCAATTAGTCCTCATTTAATTAGCTGAATTTTGATCGCCGAGTGTAATCATTGAATTTGTTATAAATTCAATGGTATAATAAATGCCTTTCAAATCCGAAGACCTTCAAATAGAACTGGAGAAATTCGAACTTTACGCTGAATGTGGGACCTCCGAAAGGTGGCGCTATCGCAAGGTTCGAAGTAAAGTCACTAAATATAGAAAGTACCGCAATCCGTTGGGCTCGTGTGTTAGAGAGGGAACGCATGATTTTTGCCCAAAAATGGCGGAAGTTACCAGATTCTAGTAACTTTAATGTTAGGGATTGTTCCACTATGAAGTTAGGTTATAAAAAATTACAGCTATTCAGATTTTATTTGTCAATTTTTTTTAAGTTGGCAGCAAATTTGCCCAAAAATGGCGGATGATTGCGGTACTTTCTATATCTAGTGACTTTATTCATTTCTGCATACGCATTTCGTTCCTTTCGCGCAGTGAAGATTTGGCTTTCACATTCGTTGCACGAAAATTGTAATTCGATACGCCATTACTTTTTCTTTGACTTATTGTCTACCTGAAAAGGGAATATGGTTGATTCTTGCTATCACCGTATTTCTTTGGAGTGGTTTCCTTCTCTATTTCTAATCTGTCTGTGGCTGCTCCATTGAAACGCTTTGCGGATTTGTATTTGCATGTAAGGGTAAGGGTTTTATCTTTCCTCATAGTTCCCTTTATCTTCTCTCAAACGTTGCTTATAGTTTTCTCTTCTGGATTATTTATCTGCTCGGATACGGCTACGTCAACACCCGTTGTAAAATATCTACGCCGAATTTGACTTACCACGCCTTGGACAATTCCACCGCCATCTTGTCAAATCAGTCATGTGATTCTACCTCATTCCACCAACATTACCTGGTGACCTACTTCGAAATTTACAACTGGAGACGTACCTATTTGTTCCTGTACTGCAACTATTAACGAAACCTTTGTAAATCGCTCCGATATATTTGATGTTACGTACATCACCTTTTTGTCGCTACAAAGATATACCTTCCGAGACCTGATGTAGTCTACGATTACTTTTGTTACTCCGAAGATTCATTTGTACTAGCTTAACTACGTTTCATATCCTTTACATTAGTTACCGTTGCTTTGTAAATTAGTTTTTGACGTTACCGAGATTTAGTCCGAAACCAATATTTACGATTTTTAGTTAGGTTACTTGTTACATTTTAAATTTATTACATTACCTATTTACTTATTTGCGCATCGTAAAGTAATTCATGCATTTACACCCCGATTTGTACGGACACTGATCGATGAAAAATTTTGCTTTTGCTAGTGTAACATCATTTGAATTATAGATTCTTATTGAGTATTAATTACAAGTTTCGTATCCAGAGTGTTGGACATTGCTATACCGCAATATTTTGTGCCACGCTATTCACTACCCCTCTTGTTTGTTTGTGTTGTTATCTGTTACAGATAAGGCAGAACGCGCCCTTCTGAACTCAAAAGGTTGCGACCTGAATTTCAAATTTTGTTTTCGTCGTTTCCTTGATATAACGTTTGATTCTCGGTTTGATTACATACTGGTTTTCGATACAATCGAATTGAAATTACGAAGTGACATCCGATTGTTCTAGTGTTTGTGGGTTGTGCGTTTTTGGTTTATGATTTGAACTGTTCACGATTTAAAGGTAAGGTAATTAAGACTTCATTTAATCTGTTTCGATCGCCCGACTGAGTGCGTGGTATATCTCTGGCCTTGCCATTTTTATTTGCAGCATTGTTGTTTTGTGTAAGAAAACAATTTCGTATTAAAATGAGAAAGGGTTTTAAGAGTTTCATGTTAATTGTCTTTGTGAGTGACTTTATTACATTGAGCTAGGTGGAAAAGTGTTTTGTGGGTGGCTTAGTGATCGTTTGCCATTTCACACAGTAATATGTTTCGTCCAGAGACGTTCCACTTTACCCTTTACACGTCTCCGACACTCCGTTCTCGAGATATTCGTTTTGAGCACCTCCTCTCCAATTTTTGAGACGAGACGGGGAAATTTCGCTTCTTAGAGGGGGCAGATACCTAAATCTGTCGCTGATAAGAAATCACAAGGAAGTACCTTATGTTTTTCAGTAGAAAAGCGATGCGAAAAACGATGAGTTGTAGCGAGAATATTTCTGATGCTAAAGAAATCCTCAAAAAAAATTATTCTCGAACCGTTTTTTCTTTCTAAAAAAGTGACAATTTTCTAAACGACCTGTTGACACTCCGCAGCCATCGTTGCATAACATCCGCTTCAAATGTGTCATCAGAAACCTAGTTGTCAATTTAAATGTAAGGAAGCACTTAGTTTCACCCCCCAAAGTAAAGACCACACCGTATATTTGTGGAGCCTACCAACTTTGCTGAACGCCCGGTAGGTATCTGGATGCAATTAAAGTTGGAAGAGCTTCGTTACAAAGACGGTCGTTCAGAAATTCATTTCTGTTTTACGAGTTACTTAATATAAGATAGAAAGTAGTTATGTAATTGTTCCATTTGTAGCGGTTTCCAGGGACATAATTACATTTTGTTGTAGCGTTCGACAGCTTTTATTTTGGTCTTTATTTTTAAGTGGATGGAAATTAACCGTTTTTAACTTCTCTTGATTTTGAGAAAAAATCCTTTCTGTTTCATGAATTATAAGGGAGGATATTGTTTTCATTCCCGCTAGGGAACTTGCCGTAAATTTTGTTTTAGTTCTTCCATAGTTACCGCCAACATTTGCTGAACTCGTAAGACTCCTGGAGCTGCCGTTTACTCTAATTGAACTTACCGAAGCTTCAGGCACCGTTCTGGAACCACCGTTTTCAGTCTGTTTACCTGGATCTGCTATCGCCCACCTTGACCAGGGGCAAAGCCGTGTCTCTTGGTGGCGCTCGAGTCCGTCGACAGCATATCCAAGTTACCGCCGATTGCCGCTACTTTCGTTCGCTGGTGTGATTTCTTTACAATAATTTGTCCATTTATTTATTTTTCTTGGAATTAAATTTTAATCTTTATTCCCCTAGTTAGTACCGAAGATCGTCGCTTAAATGTGTCGAAATTGCGTTCCACAATCATTCTTTTTCATTATGTACTTTTTACCATGCGTTGTTTCTTTGTGAATTATTGTTCTGTGTTGGCTACTTGGATTAACTGTTGTTCGAGTTAGTTTAAAAACGTTTAGTTGAAACCTAAAAATCGGATACGCCTTGGATGAAATGACAAGTTGACAATGAGGACGTGCACTTTCAGCAAGATGGGGCTCCGTCACATTAGGCGACAATGGCTCAATTGAATAGACGGTATTCTGGTGAATGTAATACCAAAGGGGGTGTCATAGAATGGCCACTGAGATCTCCCAACTTTGACTTCGCTCGATTTCTTTCTTTGGGGACATTTGAAAACGGTAATGTATAATGATTAATCTCTA